AATGTTCGGTCTGTTCGGTCAGAACTCATAACTGGGAAAAAATTACCCCAATCCAATTCCCATCATTCCAGCGACGATTTTTTTCGGTGGAGGTCATTTGAATTCATGCTATATCCACGATATTCCCACGATATTCCCACGATATTCCCACGATATTCCCACGATATTACGATATTCCCATTATACCCACCGTCTTTCTGGCTTACATCATCATTTATGTTGGTGAAATCGTGGTTTTCTAATCCGCAACGACTTAAACAATCCAAACAAATCCATAAACGTGGACCTCCTCAAGCGGAAAGGACACCCCCGAGGCACTTCTCCAGAACTTCTTTGTTAAAGACCTGACTTTTTGTTGGAAGAAAATGGCAGAAAAATACATAGCCAATCTGACTGGCAGTCCACAAACAAAAATGTTGCAGGTTATGTTTTTTCTTAATTTCCATGTACATAGCAAAAAAGATAAAAGGATTAGCTTCTACCAATCCAAGGTTGGGGATGAATAGGAGAATTGATCAACGGCTCCGTTGGAAAATGGTGGATTTGTTTTTTTATGTTTTGCCTTTAGATCTGTTTATAGTAGTTTCATAGGGAACACAACGATCTACACTTGGATCGAGGAATAAGTAGCCTAGTGTCAGACTGAACCCCCCCCAAAAAAATGTGTTTCCCAGGAAAGGGGCTGCTTCGGCCATGGGTCCTCATGTCCCTGTTGATCCTGGTGTCCGATGAGTGTTGCCCGGTGTAACAAAGAAACCCTAGCTGGGAAAAAAATATGTTCAAAGTGACCCATAATCGACCCATATATGCCATACATCCTGAATTCAGCAATGTTCAAAATCCGAAAAAATGTCGTCCCTTCAAAAACTGCTTATATAATGAGTTCATGGTTTCTGACCTTCCGGTAGGATCAGCCCCGGCGGAGCGAAGATCGGTAAGTGAGTGGATGTTCACCCCCCACTTGGATGGTCGGGTGTGATCCATCCCCACTTGGATGATCCCTAAAACGTCCCTGGGACGCTCTAAATGTCATCGAAAAGGTCAGGATCTTCATAACCATGAGATTCCCGTAGAACATCCAGAAATAGCCATGGCGGTTTGACCAGTTAAATCTTCACTACCACAGGGCATCAACCATGTATTTCCCCACCTGCCAGGTGAGGGTTGTTAGATTTTATGTCAGTTGCCTGCTCCTCCTCTCCTCCTCTCCTCCTCATCTCCTCCTCCTCTCCTCCTCCTCCTCGTCTCCTCCTCCTCCTGCTCAACCGCGACCCTCGACGCACAGTGGTCTCTGTCGGACCTCAACCACGACCATCCACGCCCAGTGTTCCCTGCCGGACCTCAACCACGACCATCACCGCCAGTGTTCCCTGCCGGACCTCAACCGCGGGTATCCCCGCCCAGTGTTCCCTGCCGGACCTCAACCACGACCATCCACGCCCAGTGTTCCCTGCCGGACCTCAACCGCGAGTATCCATGCCAAGTGTTCCCTGCCGGACCTCATGTAGGAAGATATGGGACAAAGAATGTGCAGAAGAAAGTTAGAAAGAATGTCAGACAAATATGTTATATATTATTTGCAAACTCGCGCGTGTGTGGTAGAGTGCCCGGGGCAATGCCACTTCTTACTTTGCGGGTGGCAAAGTTTGAAGCAATCAGTTTGAACAGATGACAGAGTCACTGGGGTGGACAGAGACATTTCCACTTCTGTACCTTTGGAGCTGTTTGCAAAGACGCTTGAGACAGGCAACATCTTACATCTATGTCATGCTGACGCGTGCCCGCAAACTGAAGAATCCCATCTTGCTGGGGTTCACGGAGCAAGTGGAGGAGCTTTTACGCAGAGGCCCTCCTACCTACTTGCGAGAACTGACTGACAAGTTGGAAACCAAAGCTGCTTCGACGCTGGAGCGGCTGCAGTCCTGGCCTGTCTATGATGCATTGCAAGCATCCTGACACAGTGCTCTGCCAGTGGGACCTAATCGGTTCTGACTGAAGAGGTCCGGGGGAGGCATAGGCCTGACACGTTGCTCTACCTGTGGGACCTAATCGGTTTTGATTGAAGAGGTCTGGTGGAGGAATAGAGAGTTGCAGCTGCAGCGATCTGGTGAAGTAACACTGGCATGGTTTTGTCTAGTTTACACACGAGCTTGCGAGCTTTTGACTTTGGTTCAGGTGGTCCACTGGCTTGTTTCAGTCATGTTTTTACAAACATGTTTGACAGGCGGTGTGCTGACATGTTTGGGCATGTTTGTTTGTTTGGCTCAGGTGGTCCACTGGCCTGTTTGGTCATGTTTAAGCAAACCTGTTGAGAGCTCTGGAGTTTACTTCACATGGCCCACTGACATGTTTATATCCTGTTTGACAGACTGACATGCACAATGACCTGCCAGGTGAAACAAATGATTGGGATAGTTAGTTGGGCAAAAGTCCCGTGACAAAAGCTTCAGACAAAAGTGGTGTCAACAAGCTGTTTTGAAATGTCATGGTGGGGATCACTCGAAGCAAAGTAATTCATGTTATTTCTGGTTTTTTGGGGTTCCATGGATGGTGTGTAATTGGGGTACAAACCACCATACATGGGAGATTTAGTAGCTTCCAGCCTTAAATCTCAATCATTTGAGCCATGAAACCTACCCCTGTCCCATTTATCTGCCAACAAACCAAGTAGGTTAACAATTCCCTTCATTATAACCACCCATAACCACCCAATAGGCGCATATTTTTTTCTGATACTCCTCATATCTTTGATACGTAAGAAGGTATAAAATACGCATGGTTGAATCTCATGAAAATTCCATTCAAATCCCCTTCATGCCTTCTGATTCATAGTTAAATTTAAATCCAACGAAAATTTCCATGGCACGTTCTTCATGGCTCATCATGGTTCCACGAAAAAAACATCCAGGGATCACCCAGGTTGATGTGCCTCGGGCAGCGACATGGCGCGCAAACAGATCAGATCTATGACAAAGTGGGAAGCACAGCTGCATCAAATGCATTTTTTATGATATTGTGAAGGAAATAGCCATGTTTTTTTCCACTGAACAACCATGATTGACAGGGTGAAACCCACAAGTTCGGCCAAGTTTGGCTTGGAGTAGATCGGCTATCAGGAGCGGTCGTGTGAGGATGGATACATTAGGGTTCTAAACAAGATATAGAGACATATATAACACATCCATATATATATATAAATACGTGTGTATGTAATGTAATAAGAATAAGATGTAATGTAATGTAATGTAATGTTATGGTAATGTAATGTGAATGTAATGTGAATGTAATGTGAATGTAAAGTGAATGTAATGTAATGTAATGTAAGTGTAATGTAAATGTAATGTAAATGTAATGTAAATGTAATGTAAATGTAATGTACTGTAATGTAATGTAATGTAATGTAATGTGATGTGATGTAACGTAGTGAAATTTAATGCCTGTATGTATGGTAATGTAATGTAATGTGATGTGAATATATATATATATATATACACATAAGGTAATGCTATGTAATGTAATGGCGTGTAATGGTATGTAATGGTATGTAATGGTATGTAATGGTATGTAATGGTGTGTAATGGTATGTAATGGTATGTAATGGTATGTAATGGTGTGTAATGGTATGTAATGGTATGTAATGGTATGTAATGGTATGTAATGGTATGTAATGGTATGTAATGGTATGTAATGGTATGCAATGGTATGTAATGGTGTGTAATGGTATGTAATGGTATGTAATGGTATGTAATGGCATGTAATGGTATGTAATGGCATGTAATGGTATGTAATGGTATGTAATGGTATGTAATGGCCTGTAATGGTATGTAATGGCATGTAATGGTATGTAATGGTATGTAATGGTCTGTCTGTCTGTCTGTATGTATTTATGTATGTATGTATGTATGCATGTATGTGTGCATGTATGTATGTATGCATGTATGTATGGAAGGAGTTTATGTATGTATGTAATGTATGTAATGTATGTAATGTATGTAATGTATGTAATGTATGTAATGTATGTAATGTATGTAATGTATGTAATATATGTAATGTATGTAATGTATGTAAGTATGGTAATGTATGGTAATGTATGGTAATGTATGGTAGTGTATGGTAATGTAACGCAATGCAATGTAATGTAATATGTGGTATGTAATGTGATGTAATGTGATGTAATGTAATGTAAGGCAATGTAATGTCATGTAATCAGATTTTGTATTTTATATACATTATATATGTACATATTCAGTTGCATGGGGAAATAAAGCCAACAAACATTCGCAGGAGGGCCCCATTTTGTAGTGACATGACTCGTAACCCCAGGTATCTTTGGGTACCCAGCTACGGTTGTTGGTTTAGATTCACTCATCTACTGTAACTAGAGACATGTGTCCACCATTTTTATCCAATTGTTAACCCAGCTGAACAAAACCAACTTGGATGAGGATTTGGGGCGCCACGGCCGGTGGATCTGAAATTTATATAATGGGTGCGGAGTCCTGGTACTCTATGACCTACAAACCCGATAAAACAATGGTCACGCATCTAGGTATGAAGCATGGATTAACCATGCTATTCCTTTTTGTTGGCACTTGGGCAACTTCTACAAACAATCCCAGGTCGAAGGACCCTTGACGACGATCAAGTCCAACTCATGCACCGAAAACATGGTCCCATCATTGCGAGGATGGCCTACTAAATCCGACTAAATCCTACTACATAGGTATAACAACCCATGAAATATGACCCCCTTTGATCATCATGTATCAGGTATCATTTAATGATTTGCTGTTACAGTCATCGTGATTGCTAAAAAAATACTCAATTTCATCATAGTTCAAAAACATATGAACTAAATTGAACAAATGTGTCATTGAACAATTGTGTTTGTGTTGTTGTGTTATTCAACTTAAAAATTAACATCATGTGATTGTCAACCGGGTTAAGCGAACACTGTTCAGCATGTGGCCCTGTCGACCCTCGGATCACTTTTTCTCGAATCACTGGGGCTCCGTGGAAAGCGAGGACTTTGCCCCGTCTTCCAACAACCTCACGGAAAGATCACCTGACGAATTGCTGGCGCAAAAAGGCGAGTAAACCAAGTTGCATCGCTGGGATTCAATGGTGGGGTCAACCAAGAAACGAGGAAATATACAAGTAAATGGTGATTTCATCAATGAACACGAGGATTCAACCAGGAAAAGTGAGATTTAGCCAACATGAAGACTTTATTTTCAATACTAATAATGTGGATTGAACCAGAAATAACGCTGCTTTGGGATAGTTACAGTTACCCCAATCTCAACATATCTCAACAATCATTCCAGTGACGTTGCAGTGAGCTTGTTCTAATCTATCCAGATCAATGGAAATCCAGCTTGATTGACTCAGAATGAGGTTCTCAAACACCAGCACGTCACTCCAGGGATCGCAACTGGTTTGCAGTTCGGACTGAGGCAACAAAATGGCAAGACAATGGCAAAACCTGGGGGTAGAAGCTGCAACGTATGGTAGCATATCTATGTATACATACATATATACACACACACACGAGAATGTACATGTGCATATATATAAATAATTATATATATATATACTACCCGGTCCTACCTTTTGGATAGCAGATATGTTCTTACATCCTCTTTCTTTCTGCTTATATTATCACTTATTGTAACACTACATCGGGAAACTTCCTTTCCAGTGGAAAAGGCGCTCAAAACATAACGTACACACTGGACATGCATGTAAACTTGGTTACTCTATTGTCACCTTCGCAGGTCTTTGAAGTTCAAACATAAGGGCACGACACCAAGTGGTCAAACGCACGGTTTCTGAAACCATTTGTCATGTCTTGTTCCAAAGTTTTTTTAAAGGGACATTCGTCAGGAAGTTATTGAGTTCAAGGCTCATATCGGCTCTCCCTTGGGGACCTTGATCTACCACGTCGTCTTGAATCCCAGGAGTCGCTCCTGCTTCGTCGCCTTCTGTAAGACGAGGAGGCTGAGGCTCTTCCCTGATCCCTCTCAGCCACCAGCGGGGACACCACTGACGTCAGCTCACTGATCCTTGCAATCAAGGCCTCTGTCTGTGGTCCATCTCTGGCCGGTGATCTTGATCTCCTCGGTGGTGAGGGGGTGGTCTCATAGTTGGTGTCTTTGGTGGTGGTCGTGTCGCATGAGCAGGTCGTGCTGCAGAGTAGCACTGTTTCTTTTCCAAAGGTGGCATCCTTTTCTATAGAGGAATACTGCACACTTTGAAGGTCTCTTTGAAGGGTATTGCCCACTCTGCTAGTGCTACACTTTTTTAAGATAACACAATAGTCATGATACACCATCACTGAACAAATAGACTTTTGTACTACTAAACGATTGTTTTTGAAAGTAGTGCATCCATTGAACAAATCTATTGTGAAGTATAGTGCTGCGCAATTCAGAAGAATGTTCCACCATGTTTCTGTCGCTTCCCAAGGAAATACTACACCCTCGAAAGGCTAGGCACTTTCAACGTACTACTACATCTAGAGCAGGATGCTAGCTGAATCAAGGTTACAGTATATACTTACATTGTTTAACATGTTACACTACACGATTTTCCAGACATGTGGCAACAAGTGATGCTTCACTTCTACAGTTCTTTCAGAATACGATTTCAAGAGAGTACTGCATCCGTTCAGGTTTTTTGGAACTAAGACCTTTTTTAGGTATTACTGCATGTATTGATGTATTCTATGACAAAATACTGCTACATTTTCTTGAAGGAGTGCCCGACCATGTTTAAGGAATCTGTTATTTTTTCACTGTAATGCTACACTACATGTTGTTTACAGACTTTTGCCGTTTCATAAAAATGAATACTGAATAGACTAAGAGGAATCTCTGATCAAAGCAATGCCGTGCTCTTTCAAAGGAACCTCACATGTTTGCTGCCATTTTCAATGGAATACTGACTAAGAGGAATCTCTGATCAAAGCAATGCCGTGCTCTTTCAAAGGAACCTCACATGTTTGCTGCCATTTTCAATGGAATACTGCACCATTGGAAGAGTCTTGCAAAGTACTACTGCATCCATGCAAGGATGCTAGTTTGAGACAAAACAATATACACTATTTCCAGATATGTCTCACTTTTCCTATCGGAATATTGCCTCAAAAATGGTGCCACAGTACTGCATGTGCTTTAGAATGCAACACTACTTCAAAAGAGTGCTGCATCCACTCAAGGGCTTTTTTTGAAGGCAATACTCCTTCAAAGTACCCGCGCATGTCTCTATTAGAAAGGGATAATACCATCTTTACAAGAATGCCAAACCATGTTATGCAATCAATATGTCCGATATTTTTCAACATAGGGCTACATCCATTGAAGGAGGTTCTTTCCAGTAAGACTCTTTCAAAGTGGTGCTGCATCTATTAAAGCTTCTATTACAAAGCAATGTTACATGCTCTCAAAGAAATACCCCCACCATTCCCCTTAAATTTTGATCTGCCCGAAAAGGTTTGCGGGCAAAAGCGAAGATTTCGGAGGGATGCCTCACCGAATCGGTGCACTGGATTTCAGGCTCAGAGGAAAAAACTTTACTTCGAGTGATCCCCACCATGGCATTTCAAGGCATGCAATTATTCTGACATATATTCTGAGAATTTATCTCACATTCTATCTGGCATCTATTCTGGCATTGTATCTGGCATCGGTGATCCCTTTGCTCCTGAGCTTGCTGTTCGGGTCCGGCCGGGAACGCTGCGATCCAGCGCTTGCGGTTGGGGTCTGGTGGGGAACACTCTGATCCTGAGCTTGCTGTTCGGGTCCGGCGGGGAACACTTTGATCCAGCGCTTGCAGTTGAGGTCCGGCGGGGAAACACTCTGATCCTGAGTTTGCTGTCCGGGCGCGGCGGGGAACACTGCGATCTAGCGCTTGCAGTTGAGGTCCGGCGGAGGAGAAGAAGAAGGAGGAGGCGGAGGAGGAGGCGGGACAGCTTACATAAAACCTAACAACCGTCACCTGACAGGTCGGGAAAAACTTGAATCCAACCTCTCTGGATTCAAGATTCAAGACTCAAGATCCAGAAAAAACATCTTGAATCCAAACCCTCTGGATCTTGAATCTTGAATCCAGGGAGGTTTGGTTCAAGTTTTTCCTCTGAGCCTTGTATCTTGAATCTTGAGTCCGTGGGAAGCTGAGGTAGCAACTTCCAATATGTTCCAATGGTTCATCATTTCCCTGTTGAAAGGGCTATTGGGGCTATACCCCATTCTTCGCATGAAAACACGTGAATCGATCCCGTCCACAGCTGGATAAAACAATACTCAGCCCCAACATCTAAATCATCTGAGAATGAAAGAACATGAAATATAGTGAAATATAAACCATAAAACAACATGAATGCACGAAGACCTTTTAATCAGAAAACATGGAAAACAAGTGCTTTGCTAGTGAAATCCAATTGAAAAAATCCTAGGATGGTCCGTCACCACCTCCGGTTTGCGCCTGATTTACGCGCAACGGCCTGGCAGAAAACACTGGAAAATGCTTCGCTAATGGAGGGAAACATGTTTTCAGAATTGCTCAAGGTTGGTTGTCACAAATTTTGAACAATTTGGGACCAGCTGGCCATTGTCGGGAATTAATGTCAATAAATTGTAAAACATCCTAACTCTGGTTTGGAAACTCGATGCAGGAAGATGGATTTGTCTGAAGATGTGGTGTATCACTAAATCACTTTTTTTCTGTCACATTGATTTGAAACCATTGGGTTTTGGGGGTAGCCAAAATGGCACCATCTGCGCCGGGTCACCCAAGGACTCTAGTTCACATTGGGGTTCATCCCCCCATGGATTTATCATAAGAGTAGGGTACTCCCGATTCCATTGGAATATTGCAAGCCTCCTGTTCACATGGCCGTTTGAATCGTTTCAAGGGCATCAAGTTGATTATATCAAGTTGATTATATCTCCGATCACATCCAGGTATTACATCACCAAAACCCCCAGCTACATTATTTTTCTTCTGCCTATATATCATTTTTTACTATATGCAAATACAAAGATGTCCTTTTTGTTTGGGCATTTCTCAGGTTGCATGTGATCCATCCCCCGGGCTACAACCGTCGACCAATGGGGACCGGCTCCGCCACGGAACCTCGGAGTGATGCCACACGCTGAAACTCAGCAGCATGGTCAAAACGCCTGCGGCCTCGGAACCGCGGAGCTCAAAGAAAACGGGGGGTTTGATAATGGGTTTCAGTCAGCAAAAATGGGAATATATATATATATATTTAAAATATATAGTGATATAGTAAATCCTAGTATATAGTGCATTGTTATAAAATGGGATATAATGGGATCTAATGTGCTTGATGGTTCATCCTCCTCTGACGAGCGGTGAGCGACATCCAGGTGGAACTGGTTCGTTTCCATTATGGAAATCGTCCTGGGATATTGAACGAACACAGGGCAAGACGGATTACTCAAAGAAACAACAACTGTGCTGCCAACAAAAGTGTGAACACTGCTGCCAGCCACCAAGTTTCATACGATTCCACGGATGGCACGCCAAGCAAGAATCAGGAACTTGATCATCTTCCAATTCTACACCACCCCCACCACCACCTCCTCCAACTCCTCCACCTCCTCCACCTCCACCTCCACCTCCACCTCCTCCTCCTCCTCCTCCTCCTCCTCCCCCTCTCCATCATCGTCATCATCGTCACCATCGTCAAAAACATCGTCAAAAACATCGTCATGATTATGTTCATGATCATGATCATGATCATAACCATCATCGTCATCACCATCACCATCATCATCATCGTCGTCATAATCATCATCACCATCATCATCATCATCATCATCGCCATCATCATCACCACCACCACCACCATCATCATCATCATCAGCATCATCATCATCATCATCATCATCATCATCATCCGCAACGTCACCGTCATCATCGTCGTCGTCGTCGTCGTCGTCATTGTCATCATCATCCTTACCAGCATCATCATGTTCTTCTTCATCATTTTCAAATTCATCTTCATCGTCATGAGTCGTCATCATTGTCATTACTGTCATCATCGACAACATGAACTTTAATCTGGCACGCTCCATGCCATCAACTTTCCCCAAAGACTTCCCAGAAATGAAATGTATTTCAACCAAAAAAACAAGCTGGAGGTTTATAGCCTTCGGTTTACCTCATCCATTTCTGTTCTGCTCACCATCAAGTGTTTGCAAGCCACCTGATGGCAACTTTTTTGCTACCCCCAACCTTCGAAAGCCAAGGGCATGAGAATCACTGCCAGCAGCGCCATTGTTAATCCCATTGCTAAAATGTATAAAAGGGTGTTGGATGTTTTTAGATGTTTTTAGGTGGGTTGAATTTCGTGCAAGAATACCCCAAATACGGATTCCAAAAGGAACACATATATACTAAAGCAGGACGTCTGGGGGATTCAGTATTGGGGGAACGGATTATGCATCTTGAAAAACAAATCCTATGATACCCTTGATTTGTCAAATCGAATGAGCTGATACAATACATAGATGCCCCGCGGGACTTTGGGTTCAGTTGGCTTGTTTCCCGCATGGGTTCCTGCTTTCGACCATCAATGTACATATGACTACTAAACAGATACAGATAATTCCAATATTGTTCTGGCCCAACCCAACCTGACCTAGTTTGCAGTATACGTCCTCTACAGTTGTATTTGTTAGTGGACAGCTCCATGAGCGGGCGCACTCCAGTGAATGACATATTCGTTGCTGTCATACCCGTATTGTTCTGCTCCTGTTTCTGGGTGGAATCCTCCATTGGCCCATGTTTTGTCAGCCAAAAAAGGAATGCGACCAGGAGCTACAAAACTGGTGTTAAATTCCAACATTAATGAAATTGATTACAAGTGGTTGGTGGTTTCAACCCCTCTGAAAATATTAGTCAATGAGAAAAAATATCCCGGTTTATGGAAAAATGTTTGAAACCACCAACCAGACAAGGTCCCTGGGCCCATTCTCTACTCGACCTGATCCTCATGGTGGCTGGTCATCCAGCTTGTATCAACCCTTGTTTTTGCTAGTCTTCAACCTTCAACAAAAGCCCAAGGTGGGTTGGCTAAATCTTGGACTTCAATTTGCACAGTACAAGGTGGTGCTACTTCGTTATATATAATTATAGGTTGCTGTTATACCATAGTAACTGTAGATCAAACCACTACAAACCATAGAATTCACCAAGTTATGTGTGTCAACTTGCCTAACGTTTCTGAACACCACCTTGTACTGTGCAAACATCTCCCAGATCTTGGCAGCGGCACCTGGCACCAATGGAAATGGCTGTGGACGATCAACCTGATGAGATCTGCGATTTTTTCGCTGTCACGAGAATGCAACTCGAAGTGGTTTATGGCTCTGGTATTCCCGGTATCCGAAATCAAAAACAAACAGCAAGACATGATTGCTTCATTATGGATGTTGAAGTCATCACACTGGGGTAATGCCAACTCCACGGGAATAAAACCTAGGTCGTTTGATTGAGGGTAACCTTCGCACGACTCCCACCCATTCTGATTGGTTGGTGATAACGGAAAATTCATCTGCTTTGGTGAAGCCGCATCCAAAACTTTCCCGACAATAAAACCTTATGTTGTATATAATGGATCTCAGCTATTTCTGGAGTCCCGTATGCAGGGACGGGATTGACAGGTTTGGGCAGCTTTGTTGTTTTGCCTTCCCTGGTGACATGGCTAGTTTATGGGGTTCGATGCAGAATTCTGGGGTGTATCATAGGTGTATGTTTGCCCAACTGTTTGTTTCAATGCATGTCAAAGCTATGTTTTGAATCCATCAAACCCAACATGCATACGCTATGTTCTTAATGACGCAACATCAATAAATAAGTGAAACAGCAAATGCCAATGTGGGCACGTCGTTGGAAATTGCCTACCGCACAACATCTGTGAACTGTCTTGGGATGCTAAGTGCTCAAACACATGGATGAATTGTGAAACACAAACTGGCTGAAACACAAGCTGACGTTGCAAAGGGAACACCAACAGGGAATAACAACAAGCAGCAGGAATAATCTGGAATCATGTTTGGGGGGCCAATTTCATTTGTTCTTCGGGAAATGATTTTGTTGTCACTCAAAGAATGCACTGTTTGCGTGTCGAATTCCGTTCCTATCTGTTGTTTGGATCCAAGACTCGCCCTAAATGACTGCCACAAACAAAAAGGCGCAAAAACTCAAATGATACCACTATTTTATCAGACGGATATTTCTGGCACGTTTCCGCTTGCTTCCCGTGAAATTCACGTTGATGTCTTTGAAATTGGTGTCCATAATTCCAACAAGGAACACGTCGACCAGCAAGTTCAAAGGAATTCCTGGCCCCGTCGCGACTGCTGAGGGGAAAGGAATCAGCTGATCACTGGTTTTGAACATGACCCATGGCCTGATGCTACAGTAGCTTGCCCCCACAACCGCCCATCCTGAATTGCATTGACTCCACGAATCTTGAGACCAATGTCAAGCGGACAAAAACACGTACATATATTACATACATTAGAAAAATCACATACAATACATACATTCATACATCACAAACATTACGTACATCACATACATTATGTACATACATTACATACATTACATACATTACATACATTACATACATTACATACATTACACGAATTACATAAATTACATTCATTACCTATATCACATACATTACATACATTACATTTCATACATCACATGCATCCATTACATCCGTTAATGGCTTTCATTACATACATGACATAAATTACATACATCACACACATTACATGCTCTACATGCATTACGCTACATACATACATACATACATACATACATACAGACAGACATACAGACATACAGACATACATTACATTACATTTCATTACATTACATTACATTACACTACATTACATTACATACATACATACATACATTACATACATACATACATTACATACAAACATACAAACATAAATACATACATACATACATACATACATACATACATATATGCATACATACATACATACACATACATACACATACATACACATACATACACATACATACATACATGCATGCATACATACATACATACATTACAAACATTACATACATTACATACATTACATACATTACATACATTACATACATTACATACATACATACATACATACATACATTACATTACATTACATTACATTACACTACATTACATTACATTACATTACATTACATACATACGTACATACATACATACATTACATACATACATACATACATACATACATACATTACAAGTTCATACATACATACATACATACAGACATACATTACATTACATTACATTTCATTACATTACATTACATTACACATACATTTACATTAAATACATACAAACATTACATACATACATACATACATTACATACAAACATACAAACATAAATACATACATACATACATACAAACATACATTACATTACATTACATTTCATTACATTACTTTACATTACACTACATTACATTACATACATACAAACATACATACGTACATACATTACATACAAACATACAAACATAATACATACATACATACATACATACATACATACATAACATACATTACATACATTACATTACATTACATACATACATACATACATACATACATACATACATACATAAATTACATACATACATGCATTACATTACATTACACTACATTACATTACATCACACATTACAATACATTCATACATACATACATACAAAACATTAGATTACATTACATTAGATTACATTACATTACTTTACATTACATACATACATACATACATACTTTACATACATTACATACATACATACATACATACATACATACATACATACATACATACATACATGCATACATACACACATACATACGTACATACATACATACATACATACATCAATACATACATACAATACATTACAATACATACAATACATACATTACATACATTACATACACATACACAACATACGTTACATACATTACATTCATTACATACATGCACACATAACATAACATAACATAACATAATATAACACAACATAACATAACATAACATAACGGAACGAAACAAAACATAACATACATACATAACATAACAAAACAAAACATAAATAAAATGAAATAACAAAACTTTACTTTACCTTACATGTGCATTACATTGCGTTACATTTGTAAATATTATCTGTGTATGACTAGATATATGTATAATTAACTGGTTTCTCAGCCACCTTTGGCCCATTCCGAGCCTATTTGAGTGCCTAAGCTGGTGGTCACAGGAGTCTCCCTGGACAAGCCGAACTTGATGAGGAAGTTGAACAACTGAGAGCGTTGGCTCCCAAGGCCATGGCTCCCCCATTTCATGAAACAAAAAACGCCCGACCCAAAAGAACACTCTATGCAAATGCAAGAAGATGTTTTAATCCCCGGCCGGCGGCACAAAGTTGGTTGAGGGAACCTCGCCAAAACCTACCCAAAAAGTGCCAGGAGCTCGCGACAACAACAAACGCATTAGTGGCAAGCCCGAGCGAACTTCTGTGGCGCACCAAGCGGCAACAGTTGGCCAAGGTTTCTCTCCAAAAATTGGCCGCATAAGTGAAATTAGATGGGGGCAGCTCATGATTCATGCACGGTTCTGTGCACCGCATTAGTTATTGGTTGGAACACACCCTCCGGCTGCATCTGCCATTCATATTCCTTCTATTGCAGCGGCATGCAAGTTGCGGGACACGTCCGCCCTGTTTGTCGCGGCTCTTAACCGGAAGCGGACAATTTGTGCGGAGTATACCTTGAACTCCGTTTTGGTGGAAAGTTCCGCTGATGCTGGACACAGAGGCAGTTTTATTTGAGAAGGACCTTTGGGGGGATACCATTTCTTTATGAACCACTGGCCGGAAAGTCACACATATAAACATGGTGATTTACTTGGGATGCTTGATGTTGAAACCCTCGGGAGTATCACCATTCAGCATGCAATGTGAGTCTGTTTGTAACCGCACCTTCGGTGCCTGAAAACTACCCTAGCATACTTGGGTTGAAGTTGGCCAATCAATGCTGAATGAAAGATCCTTGGTTGTTATTCCTGGATGACCTATTTACACAACAAACCGAAAACAATCTCTTGGCGTTGGTTCCCCTCACCGTCATCGGTGAGGTCGTTGCGAAATGCCGCAACAATTTCCAGACGTTGGTGCGAACCGTTCAGCAGCAAAAAACGAGAAACATCACGTCATCACGTCCGGAAAATCGTCCCAATTTCGAAAGCCCGCATATTCATATTATTCATGTAGATCGCAGTGTCACAAATGAATGGCGAAACATGCATTTCATCGCAGAACACCATCATCATGGAAATTTTGATGGGATGAACCACAAGCAGTCACGCTCCCAAAGTTTCAACACATACTCGTGCAATCCGCAAAACTTTCACTAAACTGCAGATAGAAATCCTTTACCAAGCCCAACAAACTTAATTTGTTTCAGGACTTAAATATCCCTCATTAATCTCACACAAACAACACCCTAGCAATTCACAAACAATCCAATAAAAACCATTCAGCGATTTGTGAAATTAAAATCCATAAAAAATCAAAGACATGCATTCAAAATCAAGTTACCCTCTGGTAATTTAACAGTTCGCTATTGAAAATGGCCATAGAAATAGTGGATTTACCTATTGATAGCATGGTGATTTTCCAGTTCGTTTTTTGTTAACGTTTACCAGAGGGTACAACCCCAGAAAAAACCAGAAAAATCATCCGTCCAAATCCCTCAACATACGGCCCCAAACCCGGCTAAAACACGGTGTTTTTTTTGCAAACCTACAGTTAGAATGCCTCCAAGCACCCTGGTTCTCAACATTCAATGAGTTTGTCTATCACTGATGCCAATTGATAGTTGAAGAATCAAAAAGCGGCCATCCTGAAACAATGGGATGGCTGACTTCGAGTTAAAATTCTCAAAGTCCACAAATTCGCTTCAAATCCAAAGTCTGAGAAAACCCTGGGCATTCAAAAAACCGAGAGAATTTCACCAAGCAAATGTTTAAACAACTCCCCGAAGAATCTCTTGGTTACCGCACAGCCGAGCTAAGGGAGGACGAGAAAACCATGGCCTCAAGGGAAACTCCGAGATTTGACTCAACCCAACGAGCAGTTTGGGTAGGATAAAATGCCACTTCCCAGCATCAGAAATGAGGAAAATGGGGGTCTAAGCACCTGGATTCGAAATCGAAAGTTGATCTTTATTGACCCGTGATAGCCGACTTGGATTGGATTATGTATGAATACACAAAAATAGGCATTTGTATATATATATATATATATAATATATATATATATAATATATATATATTATATATATATATAGAGAGAGATATATAGATACAGTGGGCGGTAACGCCAAGTTTAGATAGGGTAAGTAGAGTCATAGCCCGCTCGTACAAGGTGGATCCCCCTGCACGACAGCTAAGTTGGACTATAACTAAGGTGAGTTCAAGGGTTTATGGTACATATATCTATAGTTGATGGAGTTGTAAACCAACTTATAGCTGGGAGGCGCCGCCTGCTGTAGATATGTATCTGTACACAGATCATAACGAGTATTTATCACTGTGACACATTGGGGAGAAAGATATGCAAGATATGCAAAGGGCCAAATATGGACATTTGAGTGATATATTTGCGAAGAAACATGTGATATATCGGGATAATTTGAGCAAAAATATTGTTCAGGCTCAGGTATACCAATGCCAGGACTAATGAGTATGTGTATATAAACAAATCTCACTATAGGTATATGTAGAGTAGCATGCAGAGTAAGATAAAAGAACATATCGTTTTTTATTGGTGACTACCAACAAACCAACAAACATACTTCAGATCTTCAGCGTGCCATTACACATAGGTATATCACCAAAAAAAACATAAGAAAACATTATGAATTTGCCCAAAAGGGTCAGATGCCCTCAATGCACTGGTGGATAGCTGGGGGCCCAGACACCAGTATAGTCTTATAGTGGGTAGTTTTTTTCCCACGAATGCCAGTGAATGACTAGATTCCGGATGGCCAGATGTGGATTCACCACAGAAACCGGCCATGCGGCCATGGCTACCCGCAAGGAGCACATCTGAAAAGGCTTGGAACATGGCTTTCTGCAGTTTCCTATTACCATCTGGTCATTTAACATAGCCATGGAAAATCACCATTTTTAATAGGTCCAGGAAAATTGTCTATAAATAGGCCATTTCCCATGGCGAACTGTTAAATAACCAGATGGTATATCCCATAATCATGGGGTCCGAGTTAGTCCAAGAATTCCAGACTGGCTCCAATGGATTATCCCATGTTTTCCTTAGCCTCAATCGGCCTTAACCTTGCACTTGGGGCGCTCCTAAGTTCTGGACAGAGCAATATATAGATCTTGTCAAAACTAGCAAAGTGATTAGCAAGTGGGTTGTAGCGACAAAAAAAAACTTATAGCCCATGAGCTCCATGTATGGTATATTTACCTACATTTCAATGACATTTGCCCGAACAAAATCACCCACTCATGTAGGTAAATGTACTATACATGGAGCAAAAAAGGGTGGTTGGGACGGGGATACACCCATCCCGTGACCAAATCCATCAAGGCCATTTTTCGCTCCGAGGGCCCGGGCCCAAGGTACTTCTGAAAGTTTCAAGAGGTAGATTCCCCTGGCGCGTTTTGCGTCGAGACGGGACCCCGTTTTTTGTCAAACATCATCAGTTGTCGCAAGCTCCAAGTCGTGTATGCTTGAAATTGAACGCATCTGAGAGATCTCTTGATAGATTCATTGCCAATCAGCCAGATACCCTGCAAAAAATGACAAATTCTTTGCTGGTGAACGTAGATATTCCCATTAATACCAAAAGACTAAAGGATTAAAGTATCCATGTAAAATTGACCTGATTGTCAAATTATAATCTTCCACTTACGCAAAATAAAGAAAAAACACACAAACAGTTTTTCGTGGGATAAACGGCGATCCCATCTAAACCCTGCCTCGCTGCAAACCAAAGAAATCTTTTTGCTGAATCTCCTATGATCACTTGTGGTGTCTTGCTGTTCATCAAAGTGCAAGTTGCCTAAACCGATCTTGCTCACCTGCTCCGATCACCTTTGAAGGAGCTTAGCCAAATCCCCATGATTGGTTTGGTTGACTTCATGAGTGTACGTTGTAACCCTTGAAACATAAACACACACACACCCACACACAATTGCGAAAAGGATGGCACATGATGGAAAGGGACAATATAATATAAACACATATATACTTATACAATCTTATGTACATATATATATACATACGCATGACTTGCAACATTTGGCCAACTTTCCTTACCGGTAATTTACATAGCTATCGAAGACATGGCCCTTAAGTAGTATATGAACTATCAAATGCATATATATATATATATGAATATTAATGATACTAATAGCTAAGCAAACAAAATGATATAGATTGATACATTGGCCTCATTAACTTATTCGCATATATATATATATATACACACGTACAATATATATATATTGTTAATAAGATGAACAATACGATCAATGATACGATTACTCAAAGTCATACGAAGAATGATTCACATGTCCTACTCCAGTACGAGTAGTATACCAAAAGCCCAGGTCGCAGACGCCTGCTCAACATGAAGGCCAAACCAGAGCCCAGGAGGATCGAGGCCCAACCTCAGCGCCGTGATTGGGAGCGCTTGGGGATTGGAGATTTAAGTTGGGAAGATGTGGGAAAATGTGGGAAAATCAGGTGATTTAGGCATCGAAGCTGGGAACATGAAGATTCAACTAGAAGTGATGATAGCTAAGTTGCCTGATCTCACTCAAATCCGAAAAATGGTGGGCAACGATATCGAAAAATGTACAAGCCAACATAGAACGCATATCATATACATTATATATATGTGATTATATATATACAGTATATACATATATATGATTATATATGTGAACATAATAAATCCACTATTTTTGCTGGTTGATTCGCACAATAATTACGACCAACCACTAGTTTCTCAATTGTATTGATGATGCCTTCATGTGGCTTTGTTGGTTCTCCTGAACAAACAAATGCCATTTTGAAGAAAAGCCTCTAGCACTTCAACATAGGTATGGAAAATGGCCCGTTCATAAATGCTTACCTTCACCTTTTAACCATTGTGACTTGAACAGCCATGGCACAAATTAGCAAACGGTATACATCTGGTATTATATTCCCATGATATCCCCATATTCATATAGTTGCATGGTTATATCCTCAGTGATCACGATTGAATTACCAGATGGTACTCCTTTTTTGGATATACCTGGAAGTGCAGCTCCAGTTGTAAGAGGATATATAACCATAATGCATCATAATACCATGGTTCAAGGGGCCCATATTCCAACAAACATGAAGGGTTTAGTTCGCCGTCATGAGTACGTTACCTCTGGCCTGCCCCGCAAGATGGTGCGTATCCCATTTGATCCCATTAAAGAAAAAAACACGGAATCCCATGAAACCATCATGAAAAATACCATGAAATCGAAAAATACCCAACTTAAATCCCACGACATCATGACATCTGCTTGGTGGTTTCAACCTACCCCTCTGAAAAATGTGAGTTCGTCAATGGGAAGGATTAATTATCCCGTATATGAAATGGAACAATAAAATTCTTGTTTGAAACCCTGAGTATATATTTAGTTTATAACCCCGATGTAACTATAGTCATTAAGTACCATAAACCCTAGTTATTGTAGTTAAGTACCACCAACCATGTTTGAAAGCACCAATCAGTTATGTTTCATGATTTCCAAAGCCATTTTCGCACCGGCCAAAACCTCCGTTCCGTCCCGCGGCTGAGGCAGCGAACCACCCATGTGTGCTAAGAACAAGCCGACCTGGCGGCGCCGATGGTAACTTTGAGGCTCTTCAAGGTGGTTCTCCCCCAGTGAAATCTGTGGTTTTATGAACCCCACCATATGTATGTATACATATATATATATCATAATCATAAATCATATATATATATATATACAAATATAAATAACCACCCAATATAATAACAACCAAACATATGGGTGTATATATATACATATGTATAAACCCAATACAATAACATAAATTATATTCAAACCACAATATAATATATATATATAATTGTACTATAAGTCATAGTTAGTTAATGTTAGCTAAGTTGGATCATAAACAATCTCATTACCCTCTGGTCTTCTCAAAGATAGCTAGTGTAAATTCTCTGAGTTATGCTATCCATGGGCCCCACCTTGTAACTTCTTTGGTGGTTGAGTAGAAAACTCAAAAGTACGCTAGTCACCACAATTTGAACCACAAAACCTGTTTGTGGTTTCTCATTGTATGGTTGTGGTTGTTGTTGTTGTTGATGTTGTAGAATACGAAGAAGGGAATGAGAAACAACAAACATACTGGTCTTCAACTCCTGAAATTGTGCTCTGAAATATGAGTACAGCATATTGACCAGCAAACATGGGAATCTTTGACTCGCACGAGTTGGGGAAAGGTCTACTGGTAGCTGACAAAAACGCCTAAAAACATAGGAGTCAACGGTGGAGAATTGACCCTTGACCCAGCACATCGAACGTAAATTCCAAGTTTGATATCCATGAATATCATGAAATTAGCATAAAATCGAATCATTATGGTCAATATCCATCATTTATTCATTTATTACCTGGTTGGTGGTTTCAACCAACCCCTCTGAAAAATGATGGAGTTCAAGTCAGTTGGGATTTTGAAATTCCCAACTGAACGGAAAGTCATAAAATTCCATGGTTCCAAACCACCAACCAGAATATATGGATGATAATCCCAATATATGGAAGATCATCTGCAACTTGTCATGTTCATCATTTATTCATCATTTATTCATCATTTATTCATCATTTATTAATATACCATCTGGTTATTTAACATAGCTATGGAAAATCACCATTTTTAATAGGTAAACCATCTATTTCTATGGGTCATTTCCCATGGCGAACTGTTAAATAACCAGATGGTATATATACTGGTTGGTGGTTTCAACCCCTCTGAAAAATATGAAAGTCAGATTGGATCAGCATCCCAACTATTTGGGCAAATAAAATTCATGTTCCAAACCACCAACCAGTGTGTATATATATGTACACACAATGTGAGGCCCCCAAGATAGCTAAGTTGGTTTATAACTCCAATTTCACCATGGTTTATGGATGTTTATGGTACTTATAACTAAAGTTACACTGGGGCGAATCTAAACCAACGTTCACATCACGTTTGGGGGCCTCACATTGTATATATTCCATGGTGGTTAGTAACCTAAGCAGCCATTCATCATCAGATCGATCCCCGGGGGAATCGATGTTTCGGATCTTTCTGGAAAAAGAAGATTCGGATGAAGCCCAGAAAATAAAGCCAAAAAATAACCCAAATATAGATGAGGTATAGTATGTATGTATATATAATAATAATAATATCTATATATACATACTATGTATATGTCTATATGTATATATATATACATGGGTAGCTACTTCCTGACAAGGATGCAGCCCTAAGTAGGCAGGCGTACCCAGCAAAAAATGATAAACGTTTATTTTTGTGATACCTCGTATAACATCCGTATTTGATCTCATCCTACACCGCCAAGTGGGGGCGATAGGAATTGATTGTATCAAATCGCCAAGCAATCCCAGGTGCAGAAGGTACACAGCTGGTAATCCTCTGTTAAATAATGAAACTTTCATGAACCGTATCGTTCATTTTATTGCTTAATCCCAATTCTATTCCCTATATTGTATGATTGGATGGGGAATATGTATGTATATATATATATATAGATATATGTATGTATATATATATATACACAATTAGAGGATGAATTATCACCTTAATATGGAATCTGTCCCAATTATATTCCCTATTCACCCCAGTAAAATAGCGATACACAATGTACATTGACTCGATTCGAGAAACTTTGTTCCAGGCAAGGAAAGACTTTAGTCTTTGTTTTTATTGACTCCCCCTCAATTGTTTGAATTGGGATTATCGCTCCACATCAAACATTGTACGTATGAATAAACATAATCTATACAGTCCTGGTATTTTGTTCCATATCTTTGATGCTTAAAAATCTAAATTCCGGAAAAGGATGGTGAAGTCCCACTAAGCCAAGTGTCAACCATCGACCTGAGAGATCCGTTCATTTCGACCTTTTTTCCAACTCGCTCTGCAGGCGTTTCAGTCACCGAGGCGCATCGAGGCGCCACACGCCAGGCCTGGTACGTTTGGTGATGCCACAGGAAAGTGACTGGGTTTGGTGATGTGACTATACTGGATATATCATGATATATCAAGTTATCAATGGTTATGATAGTCACATCACCAAACCCAAATTAGACTACCCAGTATAGTAATATTGGTGATGTGACTATACTGGGTGGTTGGTGGTTGAGCCCTACCCTTCTGAAAAATGATGGAGTTCGTCAGTTGGGATCATGACATTCCCAATATATGGAAAGTCATAAAACATGTTCCAAACCACCAACCAGCTGGGTAATCAATGGTTGTGATATCGGTCAATTATAATTGTAGTTTAAGATGATTTGACCAGAAAAATGGTGCTAAAAGGGACATGATATAATGTGTTGCCTCATGGTTGTTGGGGGAATTCTATGGAATTCTGGGCTTTTACCAACATGGGAAACTTTTTTCGGGACGAAGCCAAGAGTTTCATGGGGATAGCAATGGGATGGGTTTCACGGCACCAATGTGGACCATCCCAGTCCTGAACTGTGTTTCAACCCGCTGTTGCCATGGAAATACTGTTGATTTTACCAGGGGGAAAACATAAACCCTTGAAATCGCTGGTAATTAGGATGTTTTCAGAAAGGTATGAAGATTTTATAGCAACTTGAAGCCAATGGTAAGAAGAATTTTAAATGAGATTCCCCAGTACTTCAATGACAAGATATTTGAATCTGGTGATCATCCCCCCCATACCAGGTATGTCAAGCAACAACAACTTACCCGTCTCTGGAGCTCTGGAGCCCTCCTTTGCATGAAATACCAACACACATCCATTTCTTTGGTCATGTTCACTGAGAGTTCCTTCAACAAATGGTCTCAAAATGTCAAAGTGTCTTGAAACGACACCTTAAAACTCAAGCATAAACAGGCCTCTGTATATATATATATATACACTAGACATATGTAAACTTTGTATGTATACATGTGTATGTATGTATATATATATATGTGTATGCTGGGTGTAAATACTTACATTATATGTATATCTGCACATTACAGGTGTATATTCGTAAGTCTCCAATTTGTGGGTATGGACATAGACTTGTGGGACAAATACTCAAATTATCTCAAACTCCACTAAGCAAACGCAAGTACATTGTCAATCTTTGGCCGTCCACAAAAAAAAAACACAGACGTTTGCTGGCTCTGGTGAATCTCCATAGCAAAAACGATCCAGGATTTTTCGTTTCTATCCAGTCGGTAGCTACAAACCACTGGGACCTGAAGGCGATGTTGCTCACAAAAGATCTCATGAAGCCTGAGACCATGGGCTGATTAATGGTGAGGTTATGAGACCATGATGGGCCCGGGGCAACTGTTTTGGCACCACAAAATCACAAAAGACATGCCAAGGAGTAGGAAACCTGGAAAATATGGGGAAAACATCATCAAACTACCATCCTGGGAGCACGTGAAGCGGCATCTTTTAAGGGGTTACCAATCTATCAATGGGAATTCCAGGATCCTAAAATGGAGGTACTGTACCATATAAGGCCATATTTTGTGGGGATATTCCCTTACATAGCCCTTAGGCCTTATATATGGTAGGTACCTCCATTTTAGGTTCCTGAAATGGCCATTGAATCTATATCCACCTATAATCCTGTGAGTATGAGGCAAAAACAAAGGAATGGGAACCACCAAAATGGCTAGGATTGATGGATCTTCATCCCCTCAAAATATGAATGGTAGGGGGTCTTGATCCATAGCCACATCTCATCACATCTCCTGATATCTGGAGAGGGCCTATCGGCCCATAGCATCTCAGAACAGGGAAGATATCAGATCAAACTGTGGCTCATCTGCTTGAAGAGTTATGGCATGTGTTGGCCCTTAACCAATTTATTAACCGCAGTTTTTTTTATAGCTCCTGCAACTAGTTGGTTGTATATATCATCACTAAAGCTCGGTTGTAAGCCAGTAGTTATAACCATGAAGGGCTATGGCTATAACTGTATTATGGTGAATATGATTTAATGGATTCACAAGTCTAGAATTGGGGAAGCCCACCTTGCAATTCTCCATTTAGTTCGGTGATTTTCCCATTTGCCTTTTTAGTTCGAGATTTCCTAGCCATGTTTGATCTCCGAAGGGTACAGTGAACATACCCAAAATCTGCACAACAGTATATTCACAACCCACAGAGAAGGTCGATCTGGGATGGTTCTCCAGGTATCAATCATCTTTTACGCTCATGGCGGCACCCTAAAACAAGTTGTCAGCAATCCTCAATGATGGTGGTGCACCTGAGTGAAATCTTTGTTGCTTTATAGTTACAATGACCACAAGCCCTACTTTCAGACACCTAAAAACAACTTTGCCCACAGCACCAATTGCAAAAATATGTAATTAAACATATAATGTCTCCCAGAATTTCCGGTTGCTGATCTCCTATAATTTTGGTTGAACTTCCTGTGGGCCAACAGAAATGGGGATAGAATGGTATTGCCCTGGATAAATATCTACGGTTCATCCAGTTGAAACAAAAACGGTCAATCCCTGGGTGAAATCGTCGCCAAAGTCGAAGACATGACTTTGCTGACATCCACTCAGTCACTATGCATATTACCTGCTAAGTACTTTAGGGACCAAGAGGGGGCTTTGGTTCGAATTGGGGCTCCCCAAGTCATCCTGCCTGTTGATGCAGGGATTGGGGCGTGCGCAAAGTAGAGGCAATGTTAAAACCACATCTATGTGATTCTTTTCTTCCGCAACTCCCCTCCCATATTTTTTTAGCACGTCCTAAAAATATAAAATATAGGATTCGGACAGCAGGGCGACTTTGCGCCAACCTCGCTACGGATCTCCAAACTGATCGGCAACTGCTAAACTGTCACCACCCTCATTTGGGTTGCCCCAAGTCACTACTGACCCATCCGCCAGGATCGCAGCAAATGCGTAGTCAGTTGCTTGAACCTGCTGGACACCCTTGAGTTGATCTTGGACTTCAGAGCTGTCACCACCAAAATCTGGTCTGCCCCAAGCCACAACCAACCCATCCGCCAGGATCGCAGCAAATGCTTTGTCAGTTGATTGAATCTGCTGGACACCCTTGAGTTGATCTTGGACTTCAGAGCTGTCACCGCCATCATCTGGATCGCCCCAAGTCACAAGTGACCCATCTGCCAGGATCGCAGCAAATGCGCGTCGATTTGCTTGAACCTGCTGGACACCCTTGAGCTGATCTTGGACTTCAGAGCTGTCACCGCCATAATCTGGATCGCCCCAAGTCACGACTGACCCATCTGCAAGGATCGCAGCAAATGCGCTGCCAGTTGCTTGAACCTGCTGGACACCCATGAGTTGATCTTCGACTTCAGAGCTGTCGCCGCCATAATCTGGATCGCCCCAAGTCACGACTGACCCATCCGCTAGGATCGCAGCAAATGCGCGATGGGTTGCCTGAACCTGTTGGACACCCTTGAGTTGATCTTGGACTTCAGAGCTGTCACCGCCAAAACGTGGAACACCCCAAGTCACTACTGACCCATCCGCCAGGATCGCAGCAAATGCGTAGTCAGTTGCTTGAACCTGCTGGACACCCTTGAGTTGATCTTGGACTTCGGAGCTGTCACCACCAAAATCTGGTCTGCCCCAAGCCACAACCAACCCATCCGCCAGGATCGCAGCAAATGCTTTGTCAGTTGATTGAATCTGCTGGACACCCTTGGGTTGATCTTGGACTTCAGAGCTGTCACCCCCAGAACCTGGAATGCCCCAAGTCACAACAAACCCATCCTCTAGGATCGCAGCAAATGCGCTGTAAGTTGCTTGAACCTGCTGGACACCCTTGAGTTGATCTTGGACTTCAGAGCTGTCGCCGCCATTATCTGGATCGCCCCAAGCCACGACTGACCCATCCGCAAGGATCGCAGCAAATGCGCTGTAAGTTGCTTGAACCTGCTGGACACCCTTGAGTTGATCTTGGACTTCAGAGCTGTCGCCGGCATAATCTGGATCGCCCCAAGTGACAACCTGGTCACCTCCAGAGCAAAACAACGCAAAAGCTCGGTCTGTTTTTGCGGCCTTTGCCTCTATGACAATAGCTGTCAGGTGGTCTCCATCTTCAAGTCCTGCAGCTTGCAGAGACAATGTAGGATCCACCACGCTATGATCTGCATTCACAAGCCTCAAGAAGCCACGTTGAAATAATTTCTGCGCCAAAACTCTTAAGCCTCCTACTTTGGCGGACTGTGGGAGCGAAAATGTCTCACTCCGACCGCTTGGCAGAGACACATGGATTTGAAGCACCTATCAGCAAGAAAACCATTCAAAGGATTTCGAAGGTATCAGTTCCTTGAATTTATCTTGAACCAAGCTGCACCACTGTTTTGGCATCCACAGTGGTGGGGAACTGGTCCAGATTCATGCCACTATGCCATTCGAACTTGGCTTACTTGAATCTCCCAGCCACTCTGGTCGCGATAAAAGCGGTTTAATGGCCATAGTTGGAACATTTCTCAAACATGATCAAAATCAAACATGATCAAAGTAGTGCTTTCAAAATAGTGCTTGGGTAAAGTCCACAATCCTTAATGCCACATCCATGTAAACAAAAATGTGATATTCCTCAATACTATACATCAAAGTGGGGGGCCCTAGATAGCAAAGTTGGCTCATAAATCCAACAATTATGGTTTGTGATACTTACAACATCTTATAAGATTAGAAGTATAGTTTGTAAGTTATGTATAGTTCATATTAGTTTATATTAGTTTATGGGGTTTATAAATCAACTTGTAAACCCCACATTGATAGATTTTCATCCCCTTTTTTATGATCATCAACTTGTCGCCGGGGTAAATCAAGCAGCACCTGTCGCGCTTGGAGTGGAAGGACTCCTCCGGGGACATGGGATGCCGAGATGGCGGATTTTTCTGGCGCTTTTTTGTTGGTACCCTCTGGTTATGACGAACGCTTTGCTATATAGAAAGATCCACCATTTTTAAAAACGGTAAACCATCTATTTAACGGTAAGCCATCTATACCATGGCGAACTGTTAGTCATAACGAGATGGTATTTCTATTATAGAATGGCTTTGCGGAAATTCAGAAATCCTGTTGCTTTCTGGATTCAAAAAGGTACCGAAGTTTATACTAAGTCGGTAAAAATCAATTAAGTTGGTAGAACTATACAAAACACCCAATTGTAGAACTATACTGGTTGGTGGTTTCAACCCCTCTGAAAAATATTAGTCAGTTGGGATGATTATTCTCCGTATGTGGAAAAAATAAACATGTTCCAAACCACCAACCAGTATATTAACACCCAATTGTGAACGGTTGACCGTGTACCAACTTAGTACTCCAAATTTGACCTGTTCATGTTACAGTAGTTAATCGGGTAATGATTCACTGCTAAATCTTCTAAGAATTGTTGAGTAGCGAATGGGATTTACTTGGAGGATCATCCCACTACTCGTAACTGGTTAGTAACCAAAGTAAATTAAGCCACATAAACAGTACATGGGATTACCCAACAAATTGGGAACGATCACTAGGCTTGGCCAAACCACTTACGATCCGTGGAATAATTCTCCAAGTACTTCCCGCGGTGTCCGCAAACATGGCTAAATCCCCGCAGTTTTTTTTGGGGGGGAGTTTAAGTTTAATGGGAACATCATTGAACTAAATGGAGGATTTTCCAGAAAGCCATGTCTGTTCTGGCCATGTTCACTGGCTTGGTTTTTCAGGGACAAAACCTACAGCCGAAACATCAAGATTCTACCAGCCAAATAGTATCAAATAGTATATCTGAATATGAGTTATGGAAGGCTGTGGTTTATATCCCGCAATGTATGAACACTTTGGGGTCCTGAGATTTTGAAGGGATCTGATGGATGTGGTACAGCTCAGCCGCTGTTTGATCATCCATATGTGGAAGATCATTTTACTGATCGTAGGTGGCTGATAAGCCTGGTTAATAAAACTCAACTCCCCTCCAGTTTCACAGTTCGACCCTGGCAGTTGTCGGGGTTGGAAGATGAGTTTCAACATGTTTCAACTAAACAATGATTATTGATAAAGGGTCCAACTGTTAATTTACCCAGAGGCTAACAGAACTTCACCACTTACCATTCGCGGAAGATGATTTTCCAAGGTAAGTACCTTCCAAGGTTTAGATGTGGAAAACCCACCATGAGAGTAGATCATGTTCCTATACAGAGACCCTTAGGTCTTGGGTGTGTTTACTGTTTTTTGCATGTTTTCCCGTGAAAATCCCAGTATGCACCATCAAAATTAGATGATCACCCCATTAAAATCAATGCTCCCTGGTAAACGTTTACATAACTATGGAAAATCACCATGCTATTAATGGGTACTGTAAATCAACTATTTCTATGGTCATTTTCAATAGCTTTTTGTATGTTTACCAGAGGGTAAACCATCGTTTTTTTTTCATATTTTTTGCGGTTTAAATCCCATGAAAAAAAACAAACATCAAGGAGGATCGTCCAAGGCTGAACGTGGCCGTGCTCGTGGCCGTGGGGTGTGACATACTGTGGTTGACATTCTGCAGCAGTTGGATGGGCAAAATCCCAGTATCATCCCAGTATCATTTAATCTGAAGAGGTAACTATGAATGTTAATCCCATTCAGAAACTATTAATCCCATTATTTAGAGTGTATTTCATAGGAGTTCCAAACAGTTACGAACTGGTGCAGGATGGCTTGTGCATCCAGAATATGGTGATATTGCAAAACACATACCGTCCAACACAATGTTCTTATATCATAATGTTAAAAAAAATCATTACATTATCACTACCATTCACATTAGATAATATTCCAGCACATTAACGTACATGATCTTTATATCTTAACTCCTAACACCAAAAAAACATTGTGGATATCTTGACATATCATGGGGGCCATGAGATCGCCATGAATAACAGCCATCAGGAAAGACACATTGTCATCATTGTTCATCATTATGTTTTGGTATTTGCTATCATTATATAATTACATATTGTTACTATCAGCCATATTCATGATCATGATCATGATCATGATGAGCAGCATCATCATTATTATTATCCTTCAAAGTGAAAGAAACACTTTATTGATTCCCCCCAAGAAAGAGCATTTAAAGTGCAGTCGGCCAGAAATCATTACACTGTCAACCCCGGATTAGCAATTAAGTTGATTAAAGGGGTTCCCTCCAAAATGATTGAAATCAGAGCTCAACCATTTATTTGGTAAACTGGTGGGTGATCAGGCCTGGGTCATCCTGGGTCAACATCCCTTTTCCCAAAGGGCTCTGCCCAGTGTCCCGAGTCCTTCAATTCAGACTTCGACAGCGCTTGTCGATTTGTCCGGCAGAACAGTTCAATCGCCTTTCGCAATGCCGCAATGGTATTTGTGCGGGCTCCTATCTTTTGGGGTGCCAAACATGGGCTGGCCCCCCAAGATAGCTAAGTTGGTTTATACTTGGTTTGTACCTCCAATACCCCAATACCCAGGAATTCTGGTGGATATATCATCTATAGATCTCTTATCTTTCGTTAATATGCGTTCTGAACCAACTTAAGGAACACCGGGGCACCACCGGAGATTTTTTCGGGGAATGTCAGTACTGTTCCCATCCAACAAGATGGGAAACTTATGAGGGTCATGAGGGTTCCATGATTGGGTATCCCTTTCAATTCCGATTGGGATACCTTGTATGCATGAACTTCTAATATTTTTTTAAGTTCCAACCAAACTGGAATGTTTTTTCTTTATAGTTTATTGTACATTGTTTGATATTGATACATGGGCGAGATCATTCCATAAATCATAGTTCCGCAATGTTTCTCCCACTATTGTACCATCTGTTTTTTTTTAAAGTAGCCATGGAAAATCACAATTTTTAATAAGCAAATCATCTATAAATGGGCCATTGTCCATGGCTATGTTAAATAGCCAGATGGTAAGTCTATAATGTAGTAAACAAACACTAGACCGTCCTCAAACCCTCCAAGGTTGGAGGTTTACGACATTGGCGAAAAGCCACATTTTCGTCACGACATATGTGTAACTCCTTCGTTGGGACGGGATGGGATTCCTGAACTAACCATGGGTGTCATGACTGACATCCCAAAGAACGGGGTATACCCATTTTCACACCCCACAATGGGTGATGGTTTATGGCATTGGGTTTACCACATTCATCATTAAACCATTAAACAACCATAATCCTATTTTGATAAAAACTTGCAGGTTCGCCAAGCAGTGGGTTTCCACGGGAAAATCAAGGTAATCAACCATCGGAGATCTACACTTGGCAATCAATTAAGTTTTTCAAATTAACCAATTTTAATCAATTTTCCCATGGGAAATACAACAAAAGGTAATTCCCATCAAGGTAAAGGAAAAAAATCTGGGAATATGTTTTACTTATTTAGTTAAGATATGTTAAACTACTTGATGGGAATGACCTCTTCAATCCGTTTCAGAAACACCAAGGTAATACGTTGTTTTCCATGGGATCATTGCCAATCAGCCAGATACCCTGCAAAAAATGAACCAAATTCTTAGCTGGTGGACATAGATAATCAGATAATCCCATTGATACCAAAAAACCAAAGGATTAAAGTACCCATCCAAGATTGACCCAGGGATATGTTTGCAAATTGGTTCTAAGTTGGTGTGTAATCCCTAACTAGTTATTAAACCGACTTAGCTGAGTATGGAGCACCACGTGGTGGAGCTATCAATCTGGGTAAATTGTAATATTTCACTAACCTGAATTAAGGCCATTTGGGGATGATTTCCCTTACTAACCCTTACTCCCAGTGAGGTCGCAGTGAGGTCGTTATAATTTACCCAGATCAATGATTGACCTAGATGGGATTACTTACCTTCAGCCCCAGGGAATTCCCCTGCCCTGGCCTCATCCAATCCTCCTGGACCAAGAAAACCCAAGCGTCGCAGCACCTGCTCGACCAACTGCGGGCCTGGGACCGTGCGTAGGCATGGGAGGGTTTGCCCAGGGAAAGGTGTTTAAGTGGGGCTTAAACGAGAAAACACATGAATATATATATATAATTATATATATATATGTATGTATATGTTTCTATATATTATATATTATATATTATATATTATATATTATATATTATATATTAAATATTAAATATTAAATATTAAATATTATATATATTATATATTATATATTAAATAATATATATATATATATCATATATTATATATTATATATTATATATTACATATTATAAATAAAATAAATAAATATATAATATAATAATATATATATATATCATATATATAAAAAACAAATATAATATATGATTTACAATTTAAGATATATAATACAACATATGTTATATACTATATATTATATAATAAATAATAAATAATTATAGTATATATATATATACATACAGTATATATATATAGAACGCTGTGATTTTACATGATCTTGCTAATAAACGGGGATTAAACCACCCCATCTCATGATATGGAACAAAGAACATATAGGAATTCGAACAAAGCTTTCTGGGAATTGGGTCAACAACCTTGGGATTTTGACAAGCAACCCTAGCCCTAGGGGTTCAATTTTTAGTAAGAAAGGGGAACCCCACAAGCAACAATTGACATGTTTTGGCACGGGCCAAAACCTATGGGAACCACATGTTTGCTGCAACATATGACATGCAACTATCTCCTAAGATCATACCAGCATGGGTAAACACCCAGCGTCTTTGGTTCCAATCTGATCACTGGAAACAACTCCTGGTCAGTGCATCTTGGGAAATCAGCCCTAGCAGAACAGTGGAAAAAACAAAATAGATCCCACAGCTTTGGCCCCTGAAAACAGCTATGAGGCTATGAGTAATACCCGGCTTATAATTTATAACCCCATTTGAGTGGTATATTTCACCAACTAGTTGCAGGAATTATCATCCCATCTACGACTGTCAAGGGCTATAACTGGATGAGAACCAACCTACCAACCGGACCAGGCTCCCGCACCTGCGTGTGTAAGAAAGGGTCCACCAGCAGTTGCCTGACCGAAGTGGTAAAACAAAAATTCGTGTATCGCTTGGGAAAATCGATAGGACATGGTCGATACCACAAAAAAATCCTGCAGTTTTTCCAATTTAAACAGTTGGACATTGAAAATCATGGTGAGGCATGTCCTCATGGGCAAAAATACGTTTGGAATGGTTGTTGTTTGCCCGGCTTCTCATAATTCACGTATTGCTTGCGAAAAAAAACAATGAACCACCTTAGGCATCCATCAGAATCCCATAATTTTAAATCTAATATCCATATTCCGGTAGATATATCGCGTATATGGATATCGGATTTATATCTACCACAAGCAAGATATATCAATATAGATCAATATGGTAGATAATCCGTTTTTTTATCCAATAACCATAAGCTGGTTTTTAAAAACAAAGAGCTGGTTCATTCATGGTAGTTTAAAAAAAATGGTATTTATGGTAGACAATCCAATTCCATATTTATGGTAGATAAAAACCATCCGCCAGCTTCAATTCGATTGTCCAGATTCCGCCCCCGAGATCCCCCGAGCCATCTTGGCAAAGTCCCGCGTTCCGCTTCGAGAAGCAGTGGAAGCAGTGGCCATGCTGTTTCTGTGGTCTCCGGAGCCGCGGGGTCTGGCGTCTGGCGAATTAAACTGAGTGGGGCACCACATTAAATGTGGGGGTTTCTGCATGGCTGTTTACCAATGGTTATAACTGGTATTAAATGGTTATTTCAATTATAACTGGTATTAACTGGTTATTTCAATATTTTCAATGGGATTATACATTCCATACATGGGCTTTTGTTAGATGTTTTGTTAGTACTGTAATTATAACTGGTACTTCGGGCCATTACTGTGCTGATTCGATTTTTGTTCACACCGACTGGGAGGGTTGATAGACCAACCGACCAACCCAAGTTACTAAGTAATGTGGGATGATCAGCCCAAACGATGGCTAAGTTGGTTGAGAAGTAACTTAAGACTATGGTTATTCCACGGTATGATTACTAATGATTACCATCAACCATAGATAACCATAATAACTTATAATCAAAAACTTAAGACTATGGTCATCTATGGTTGTTGGTAATTATCATAGTTCATGGAGGATCCAGGACTAGGGGACGATAAGAACGAGTTTTTTCTCCGTTTTGAGATCCTCCCAGATTGACAAGCTGAATCCAGCCGTTGTGTACCGAAAGCAATGGCGACATATGAAAAAAAACATGAAACGCGCTTAAGTGACTATATAAACCCACAGTTATGGCCCTGTTCACAGTTACAACTGGTCTATCAGCCCAATGAAGTGATATATAACCAACATTAACCAACCAGTTACAGGAGTTATTTCATCCCATTTAGAAGTTATTACACCAAAATAATCCAAACTACCATCCCAGTGTTTCAGCCCATCGATCCGATAGACACAAAGACGCTGGAACCACTGGATGGGTGACCAGAACCGTCGGGAGAGTTCCGCGACCAAAGGTTCCCGAAAAAACCAATCCCGAGATGCACCTCTTTTGGCGTGAATATCTACTTACAGATATCTGACATAGATGGATTTCTTAAAATTTAAAATCTATCTATCTATCTATATATATGTGTGATAATATATATATATATAATATCTGATATACATAGATGGATTTTTCGGAGTCCTCTGATTTGAGGTTTCTTGACTTCGCTCCCATTGGACCCGAAGTTGCTCAACAATCCCAAAGCATCAGAACGCAAATTCACATGTCACAGCATGTGCAGATCTTAGACAAAGCTAATCACAACAAGCCATAACCTTGCAAATCAATCCTGTGAAGGAGGATTTTTGTATATTGTTGTCGTCCAGACATACACTCTTCAAGCAAAAATATCATCGATGTCCTCAAGGTTTCCGCTGATACCTGATGTCCAAACTCTGGACATCAAAGTTACGCTGCAAGCCCCATCTGGGGGAGGTGGTGAATCAAACGGATGAACACCTCCAAGGTAAACCCAGGAACATACCAACAAAAACACACTCCAAAATTATCCAAGAATTGCTGGTTGGTTGAGTTTTAACCATCTTGAAAAATGATGGAGTTCGTCAATGGGAAGGATTATTCCATATATATATATATAATAATTATATTATGGAAAATAAAACATGATTGAAACCACCAACCAGTTATCTAAGAATTGAGACCAACAAACATGAGGCTTACCACATAGCAAGCAACGGCCCCATGACTCACCTGAATCTTTGACATCGATTGGTTGAGTTGTTGACCTCCCCAAAAAATATACAATCTTATTGTATAAATCCATAATCATCACATCCAACCACATGGTATACTCCCAGTCCCCATGTCCATTTTGTGCAAAAATAAAATCAATGATCTCAGCTGTTTCTCCGGGAATTTCCTCGCTCTTGGCCCTTAGATTTCAACAGAATCATGGCTAATCGTCACAGAATTTGATCCCGTTTTCTCGCAGGTGAATCATAATCTGGTTGTATATGTTTAGTGGTTGAGCCAACCCCTCTGAAAAATCATGGAGTTCGTCAGTTGGGATGGTTATCTCCAATATATGGAAAGTCATAAAATTCCATGGTTCCAAACTACCAATCAGATACATATATAGCGCCGGACAACTACTTAGAACATCGTTTTGGAAATTTTTCGGTGGGTACGCGCGCTCTACTTAGAACATTTTCGGCGAATAGGGGGACGTATGTTCTAAGTGACTTAGAACATATGAGGATCCTCTACTTAGAACATGCCATCATATATACATGTAAATATATGTATATGTATACATACATACAACTTAACACTGCATATTTATATTATATATACAGGTGGTGTGATGTTGCGTTAAGATACATGGAGATGTCTATATTGAGGTATATTGAAATTATATGACCGATTGAGCGGTTGGAATGGTCCAAAGCCTACAGCGGGACGAGATTCGAGATTCGAGATCCTACAGCGGGACATATATTGAGCTGAACAAAATGAGCGAATGGATCCGGATGCTCTAGGTGAGAGGCTACAATTCGAACATCAGGTTTGGAAAGTTTTTATTATATGAATATATAGTGCCGGACAACTACAATATTAAAAATATATTATATATACACAGGATTTTCCAAAAATGCACGTAGATAGCTGGGGAGATTCTTACTTAGAACATGGGGGAACCCCCAAAACCTCTACTTAGAACATCCCGTGAACATATATGTTCTAAGTAGTGGTCCAGGATCTCTACTTAGAACATGTTTTGGAATTCCAAAACCAATGTTCTAAGTATATGTCCGGCACTATATAGAGGTTTCCTAAGTCATGGGGGTACCCCCAGTTGTCATCAATTTATAGATGGGACTTTTCCATGAAATAAACCATGTTGACTCCCACTAAGTCCTCACCATGAACCACTAGAGCTTTGGGGTGTTTCTTCTTTCTCCCAGGCCAAACCCTGTCCCAAATGTAAGTTCGTCGTTGCTTCGATACCCCATGGGATTAGTTCACAGGTTGGCGATCGGGTTGAAAACAATACCCAAAACAATCCAAACACACAACGGATTACATGTCATGCTTAGAATCCACTTGTAAGGTACTGCCCGCAGTTATAGCTTCGATATATCTACCATAAACATCCAAAAACCCAACAGCTGTTTGGATTTTTGAAACAAACAACTATCTATTTTATCAAATAAATCAACGATCAATCCTGCAAATATCCATGATAATGACTGATCATGGTATTTAAATCCAACTAAATCCATATCTGGATGGTGGTATACCTACCCCTCTGAAAAATATTAGTCAATTGGGATCATTATTCCCAATATATGGAAAAAAAGGTTCCAAACATTATATATATATATATATATCCATATTACTTCCATATACTTCCCTTATGTTTGATACGATGCAATTACCTATAACTTCATGGCCCAACCCACTGACCCATTCACCATGTCGGCGGTGCGAGATAAAAATCAGATCGCCCGGGTTTGGTAGCCAAGCACCTGCACGGGCAAGTGACGAGAAGAGGTGGAAACGACGCCGGAGACAGGAGGCACAAATTTTGTTCTTTCCTGTTGTGTTGAGGATAAACAAACATGTTGATAATAATACACAAATGAGTAGTATGGTTATGAGTCTAAACCCTGGGACCCTAGGTACCCTAAAATAACTAAAATAGCTGGTTCATGGATGATTATTCCTCCAAATATGGTAACAATAGGTTTCGACCCATTCCCTAAAAGTAGCAATAACATGCCTCTTCATATCGATTGTACTAATATATATATATATACTAAGAATACTGACTATGGTGACGATGATGACGATGATGATGATGATGGTGGTGGTGGTGGCGGCGATGTAGGCCAAATCTGGACAAACATGATCCGTGAACGCATGATTAATTTGTCAAAAAAAACTTGCAATTTGGCGGCTGGTCTGTTGAACAGTTGAGAAGCTAAAAATTGGATACTATTGGATGATTCAATACAGCTAAATGGCTAGAATCGGCCTGAATCACGGTGCTGAAATGTCTTGAGGACACAAATGTCGTAATCCAAACTTATTTGCCATAAGCCAAGTGACTTGGAACTGCAAGGCTTGATTTACTTGAGTCCGCAATCTCACCACTGAGTCAGTCCATGAAGTTAGGAACTCCAAATTCAGGACTGGATTATGATCTCTAAATGGGGTGGTCTGAAAATAGATGAAAATAGGGGATACACCCAGTTACGGCTATTTTACAGGGAAAATGCTGATTGACCAGAGTATTTTCAGGATCACCTGAAAACCTTCCCACCTGCTTGTGACTCGAGCGCCGCAAAAGCCTTCAGAGGTGCTGGGGAGGGGTTCCCCTCATGGGCACTTGTCAAAAATAACTATAGATGGAGTATAAACACACTTAAAATGATGGTTAGATTCTTAATGAGGATAAATTATCCTCTGGTGATTTGCCACACTTTCCTAGCCCATTTGCAGTGTAATTAGTAAATATATATTTATATATATATATATAATTATATATATTGCAAATGCGGCGGTCCCCTTGGTCTCAAATGCACGAAATATCCAGTACCTAGAGCTGCTATGGCACGAAAGCGCTGTAAAAAGAAAACGGGCCAAACTCATTGAGATAGCAACAAACAAGGTGTTTAACCATGCAAAGTGGGAAACTGTAGTCAGAGCAATGCTTTTAGCACGTTGCGGTTGGGAATGTCATGGAATCAGCCTGGAAACTGGGCACGCGTTCACCCGTTCACCCCCTTCGACGATTCGATTGGATCGTCCCAAGAAGATGGCAACGGCAACAATTAGACACTCTACAAGGGCCTCCTCCACGAAAATTCTAAGAATTTTCAGCTGGGTGTTTTCGTCATGTTTTCCAATTGGGTTTTCCTATGGGGTTTTGACACCAACACACAACAAAAAATGATCTTCAGCTGGGTGTCTGGTTTGTTTTTTTTTGAAAACGACAGCAGAGCCGACACCGAAACCCCGGCCGCTTACTGACGCTTGTCATGGCAGTGGAGGGATCTCACTTGGGGATCCAGTTCTTGGTTGCCCCACCAATGGTACATGGCCTTCACAGTCAACAAAAACTGCTTGCCAGACATAACTGATTCCCTTGGCCGTGCAGCAAACGGCTTCTGAGTCAGCATTTTTGTCAATCCTGGTGATCACCTTTGATGAACGTAGGTCCCTGTTGCAGCCAGGTATTCAAAGCAAACAATGATAACGTAACAGCTGCATGAAGGTGCCACTGTCAGCATGGGTAGCAACTGTCGTCAACCACGTCATACTCATCGGCGCACATTCATCGAACATCCAGCGATACCATGGCTGATGAGGTCAAGTGTATGCCAATCCGTTTGGGACAGTTATCTGTGCCATGCACAAAGCGTGGGAAAAAGGCGCCGTTTTTGCAAAGAAAGTATCCAACAATACAAAGTGTTTTGTGTCTCAATCACGAATTGTGCCCATAGTTTCCCTGTTGAACATACCATTTAGAAATGGTGGCTGATCTATTCTAAACGTTGATTTACTGGAGGCCAACGTATGTGTCATACGATTTTGTTCATCTACTGGGTATGTAAAGTATGTCTTTGTGAATGGCTAAAAATTGATGCTCAGTTGCCATGAAAAAATCAGCTGCCAGTGGAACCAAGGATCAGTTCAAATCCTCATTTCATGGATCCAAAGACAACATACTTCAGCAGATTTACTGGGCACGGAGTTTTGCTTTCAATACATGATACAGTAATACACAAACAAAAAAGTATGGGTGTGTGTATATATATATGTAGATTAACATCATAGTCGTACTACTATGATCTTTATTGCTATTACCATTTCTATTATTACACATTCTTACTACTTGAAAAAAACTAGCATCATTAGTATGATTGTTATATCTATTGTTTTTATTGCTATCATGAGACAACAATGTTGAAAACAATGACGACAAACTGAATCATTGCTATTCCTATTCTGTACCAATCTGGGGTATCAGTCATTGTTGGGCTGGCGTTTTTTTTTTCTATTCCCCAAAGTGGCATAGAAGAGCTTCAGCTTCATCATTATTTTAGCTTCGGATTTGACCCAATCCTATGTGAACTCGTGGAGTAAAAATAGAAAAGTGCTCTATATTGATTTACCATCATTTACCATTAGTTCAGCTTCGAATACCATGATTTACAATTAGTTCAGCTTCAATTTTTACCCTCTGGTAAATTAACATAGACCCTGGCAGATAGGGGTTGGAAGATTATTTTCCATTAAAACTAGCCTATCTTCAGGGTCTATGTTAATTTACCAGAGGGTACATGTTCTAAGCTTTGGGGGAAATTCAGGTTCTGATTTGACCAAATTCTTCCGCAGCAGCCGCCTCTGTAAGGCCTTGATGTAACGGCCAAAGGGTTAAGGTGCCCAACCTCCGCAACGCTGGGAGTTGGAGATTTTTTTTGGATCACTTGGGGAGGGGAACATAAATTTCGGTGATTTAACATTATGTAACTATCAAAAAAATGGACATTGATAGTTGAACATAGTTGATTCTGATTGATTGATTTATATAACTATCGTTAAATGGGGATGTTTGATCGGTGATATTTATTGATTGATCTGAAAAGTGATAGGCTTCTGCTATGCAAATTCTAGGGCTTACACATAAATCCGTATAATTCTTATAGAACCCTATGAAAATCCATTAAAATCCCATAAATCTCCAACTCTCAAAGGACACCTGAAAAAATCATCAACGAAGTGCTCGCCGGGTCGCCGGTTCACGTGGAAGAACTTGGTCAAGGCGGCCACCATGATGCCTGGCTCAACATGTGGAAAAACCAATGAAAGCACAGTGAAAACCAAAGAAAACCGTGTTTTTGTTGATGGTTACTTAGGTACTTCTAACCATAGAATGTTTTTTTTATTTATGGAATAGACCCTAATATAGCTATAACATTTCCTATATATATATATTATACAGTATATGTTTGTTGGTAGTGAAACATTGCCCTTTCATATAATTTGACCATTACTATAAGCGTTCCTTTAAAGATTCTTTAAGATTTTCGGGATTCCTCCAAACATGGATCCTAATGTCAGGGAGAAACAAGCCTGATGTGATTCATGGATCGTTTAGCATGCATTTCATCTCGCATCTGCACACAGCTATGTTAGACAACTACAGGGTGGTGCCCTCCCCAGTTGTGTCTGTTGGTTTATGCCGCCATTTACTAGTTCAATATATCTACAACCATAAACCCAGCAGTTGTAGGCGGAATAAACCAACTTTGCTATCATTTGGGACCCCCACCTTGTAGAAAATTCAAAAGAATGTAATCCCATCATCCCCAAATATTACCCTGCCAAATAGGGGTTGAAAGATTCGTTTCCATTGATTTGTGAATATGTTCAGGATCTATGTTAATTTACTGGAGGTGAACGAAACCATGTTTTAGTATATACCATGGGTTATATATATATATATGAATGTATTTGAATGTATAGTATCTATTCATACAGGGACCCAAGACTAGAAGCCCTCCCACACGTTTGCCAAGGTTTAGATTGTTGGATGCCACATTCTAAGACACACCCCACAGCCCACCTTGTTCGGGCGGCTCGGGCCTTAGAGATTCCATGGAGTATTTCAGGGCCCAGCCGGCGGGATGTCTCTAGGGGAGATTCACATTTTCCACTATCTCTTGATGGCATCTAGACGCATAAGCGGGAACATTTGCCGCTCAAACGTGTTGCCAATCTTGTTTCCAGTGGGATCTCGATCTGCGATTTTGAGTGGGTTCAAAGCTATAACCAAGATGCATTTGAATGGCACTTAGACTAGTCCGAATGCAGAATCATGCTTTGCAGCTTTGTTTTCGGTGATTTGAGGGGAAATGCATGTGACAAAAATGGACCCAAACCAGAACGAAAAGTAATGAGAAAGCTCCAAGCCAAAGGCTCCGTGGTGGTTGTCAAGCCTTGCACATGAAAGTCCCACGTGGACAACTGTACCAGCAAGTCCCTGCAAACATGTTGCCCTGGAGCCACTGGGTGACGGTGGAAACCCAGGCTATCTGATGGCAGATGCCGTGGAGAATCTCTCCAGTTCGTTGTGCGGTCGACCTGAATCCCAGCTGGATTGGTTGGAAGCGTGGAGGACACTGGAGAGAAAACTCGCCAGCTCTGAGCATTGCCATCCGTCATGGACTCTGGCCACGACGGCAGCAACTTGTCTGAAGGCCCGTTTTGAGGTGGATTCAATTTTTGGTGCCCTATCTGTTTGTAGATGTGGATAGCCTAGCTATTTCCTAACTTTCAAGACCAGTGACATCACCCTGCCTAGTCAAAAAACGTACTCGCAAGACAAATGACACACTGTAAACAGAAACTGTCTTTTCCCATCAGGGAGCAACACACAATGGATATGTTTCACCCAGGCTCGTTGTGCCAGATGTTTTGCTGAAGTCCTTTCCTTCATGATACAGTATGATAGGTCCGACAACTAAATGAACACAAAAGCATTACTGGTTGGTGGTTTTAACCATCTTGAAAAATATTAGTCAGTTGGGAAGGATTATCCCATATATCCCATAAATTATGGAAAATAAACATGTTTGAAACCACCAACCAGATTATACTGACAAATGAACACAAAACTATTATACTGACTGTTGGCTGGTTGATCGGGATTCCAACTAATGGAATTGGCAAAACAAAACGCCGATAAACCAGTTGATAGAACCCCACAACATACTATATAATTATATAACATAAAACACGTAGTCAGGTCAAGGGGTAGAGTCAAGTGTCGCGGACCAAACATCTTGGAAGGGCTGCACTTGATGACTTAATTAATGGTTGTGTTGCACGTTCTTCAGCGTTTTATGTTTAGAGAAATCGTTCTGCCCCATGATAAACTTACTACCACGGGCTGGTGGTTTCAACCCATCTGAAAAATATAAAGTCAGTTGGGATTATGACATTCCCAATATATGGAAAGTCATAAAACTCCATGGTTCCAAAGCACCAACCAGACCATCACCCTAACATAGCAATGGGAAATCCAGGAGAATCTTCTGGAGATCTGGCCCGAACAAAACAACTCCAACTTGACTGGCACATAATCCCATCTAAGTCATATATAACCTCTGGTAAACGTTAACAAAAAACTATGGAAAATCACCATGTTTAATGGGACAATTCACTATAGATGGCCATGTAAAAAATAGCGAAATGTTAGTTTACCAGAGGGTAACCTTGGGTGCAGGAGTGTTTATCCCATTTATAAGTGTTAAGGGCCGTAACTGTGGAGTGTCATCTTGGATTTCTACAGTCAAATTGGATTGTGTTACATGCTAAGGTAGCTTAACCTGGGTCTGAGTGCCCAGAAAATACCAAACATTGCGATTTCGATGGATTCCCACCACAATCATTTGATGACCAAATTGTAGATTCACATATCACAGACCACGGAAATATCTCAAATGCTCAGTTGTTGGTTGAATATCTCATGGTTGTTGGTTATAATATTCATGGGACCCCGAATGATGGGAGCCCTATTCCCATACTATTCCCTGAGAAACAACCTTAATAGTATGCGGAACTTGTGGGAATGGGAGTGTGGGTCCCCATAAATTCCATCGATAATCACCATAAACCCAGCAGTGAAGTTGAGCAATTATAAGATAGGGCAACTTTGCCATAATGAATAAACAAAAACCTGGTTGGTGGTATACCTACCCCTCTGAAAAATATGAAAGTCAGTTCGGAATATTCTTCCCAACTGAATGGAAAGTCATAAAATTCCATGGTTAAACGTGTTCCAGTCACCACCAAGCAGTTTGACACTATTCCTCTCCATCATCATTCGGCCGGGCAGTGAAAAATTCCCATGTTCCTCTTGGTCAAGTCCCCAACCGCCGAGGGCCACGACAAGTACTTGAGCTCTTGCAGCACCCGTTGCAACTCTTCCATTTGCCTACCGTGGAAGATGAATCCAGCAAAAAAGATGAAAACCTACCAGGAAATTACTGCCATACTGGGGATACGATGAGATTTATAATGAGATATACTGGGATCTATCTATACAAGTAAATTATATACAATATACAATTATATACATATTATTGTATGATGTTCAGAGATTGAGAAACCCTGCTCTATTATTGCGGCGTATCTTGAGTTTCCTGTATTGCCACACCCTCTGGTAATTTAACGTGGCGATGTACAATCCCAACTTCTATCTGGAAAATACTCAGTAATCATTGCGCTCAACTAACTGGGTGTTTTTCCAGCTAGCCACGTTCAATTTACTCGAAGGCAAACCCCGGTATTGTTGGTGACAACGATTTTTGCTTGTTAAAATTTGCTGATTAAATCATTGTTTCCCTCTGCCAAAGTGGGGTGGCTTCTCCCTAGAGGTTTGGTAATCCATCCATCATCTAGCATCATGTAACTATAGAAATACTAGTTATATAACCAGTTACCAAGTGGATATATATATATATATATATATACATATATATATATTAATATAATTATATATATATAAAATTATATATATAATTATATATATATAATTATATTATATATATGGGTAAATTACAATAATTCACTAACCTGAAATAAGGCCATTTGGGGATGATTTCCCTTACTAACCATGATTCCAGTGAGGGAGAACAGTGAGGTCGTTATAATTTACCCAGATTTTATAAATGGGATATTCGATATGTAACAGGGGTATAATACGGTATAATATGGTATAATATTATTATCTAAACTCAAGAATGGTGAACGATTGACCCCTCCAAAAGCGAATGTGTGCGGTGAACATGTGTACGGTGCAATGCGCGCGTGCGGTGCGCGATATATGCCCTGGCAGATAGGGGTTGGAAGACTAGTTTCCATTAACAATTTGTGATTTTCAGGATCTATGTTAATTTACCAGAGGGTATATATAATCATAGCCATGGGGGCCCCATCTCCCATCTTATCGGGATCTCTTGCTTCATGCCCAACGAGAGTAGCGCTTCTTGTACTACAGCTATGACCATCCAACAGTTATAGTTGGCTAACCTCATTCAAGTGACCAACTAGTTGCGGGGGTCATTTCATGCCATGCATAGCTGTTAAACCTCCAGCGTTCGTTATTTTTCCTAGTCAAACCTTCAAATTTTAACCAAATTACCCTCTGGTTATTTAACATAGCCATGGAAAATGGCCATGTATAGTTGATTTACCCATTAAAACCTCCATTTATTTACGGGCTTTTCCATGGCTATGTTAAATAACCAGATGCTATAAATGATAATGATTTTCCCAGCGTTTATAACTGCTTTATAGGATCTGATTTGAGGCACCACCATGCCTTGCTTTCAGGGGGATGTTGAGCTGACCCTGTACCGAGTAGTATGGGATAGGTGTGGCTGAACCTGGGGCGGGCTCCCATTTTATTACCATCAAATACTGTAGTGACTGTAGTGGTAAAAGGATTATATAAATAGTTTAATGGTGTTAATAATCATAACATTAGTAAGGCATATCATGATAAACTATCATTATAAAATATTTAATGGTGACTAAATATAATCAACTATGATGTTGGGCCCCATTTCGTTAGTAGTAAGTTGGTTTACAGGGTGATGAAGTAACTCTAGTCAATGCTGGCTATAACCAAACACACATAACCCGGGGGGACCACAAAGACTCGCGAATTTAGCGTGGTAATTATATACTAAGTCTCAGACGCACCTCATTTCTGGTCACAGGAACCTGAAGGCTTCTTACATTGCTTACAGCAAAATAACACGGTTTATTGAGGTTATTAATTAAGCCTGAATAAGGCTTATTAAATGATTATGTATGGTTACAAGATGTTACAAGTTTATGACACGGTCATAAATGACCTGCATACTGAATAATGATAAGGAATACTGTCCCCCCTGCAGCTTGCTGCTGCACCATCTGCTGCTGTTGTTGCTGCTGCTGCAGCTCTGGGGGCAGGAGAGATACAGCCTTTGAAAGTGCATGTCCCCCTGCAGCTTGCTGCTGCACCACCTGCTGCACCACGCCCCCCTGCACCGCCACCTGCTCGTGCAGGTCCATGAGCAGCTGGGTGCATATTTGGACACAACCCTGCACATTGATTAACATTGCCAGTACTGATGAAATCGTCCTAGTGATTCTTTAGTTCGTGCATTTTCTTTGGAACATCGCGATTTCACGGGTTCAATGCTTCAATTTACCACCCACTGGGGTGCCCACCGTTTATAGACTTCCAGCAGATTCTTTTTCCCTGAGCCCGTCCATTTGTAGGGGATTTCCCGATTTCCAGATATTTCCAAGCTATCACTGGGCCCCATCTGGGGCCTTCCAAGTATGGAACCTACGAAAAGGTGGCCATGCCAGTGAAATCTTTGGTCCCGATTCACCCCATGAATGCTATGGTCGTAGCACCCCAAACGTGAAATTAAAATTCTGTTATCTGATTTGTGGTATACCTACTACCCCTCTGAAAAATGATGGAATGAAAGTCAGTTCAAATGATGAAATTCCCAACTGAATGGTGGAAAGTCATGAAATTCCGTGGTTCCAGTCACCATCAATCAGTTATGTTTATCAATTTAGCGATTTCGTAGGGCCCCACCTCGTTTCGCAAGGCTTATCACAGTTAAAGCCCATATCAAGCGCCACTTTTGAGGCTCATGAAGCCCCGTTGGGGTTACCTTTGCGGTATCCTTTCAACTCAGCATCCTCAGGCAAAATGCTGAGCTCAGAAACATTTTTGGCATAATTACTCCGATTTTCAACGCAATGTTCATTGGAAACAAAACATGAACCGTTGATTTAGCCATGAAACATGGTGATGTTCCATAGTTGTATGTTTACCAGAGAGTAAACTTGAAAATTTGGGGGCACGCTATGGAAAACAACAACCCACACTGGGTCCCTCTGTTTAAAACATGGATTCACATCTCGAGTTTCCTATGGCCTTGGTAAAACGGTACACAGCCTGAAGATTTTTCGTCGACAAAAATATGTAGCAACCCCAAAAAGAAAGAACATTGTTTCCAGGATATTAAAGATAATATTTTATATAACATATATATATACATACATACAACGTATATATATATATATATATCCGTTATCTAATTCCTTCATAGATGATATGTCTATAGTTTATCCTATTTATCCCATGATATTTCCTTTGTATTCTATAGATTCAAACATTTACATTATATCATTTTATAGTGTTATATATATAAAATCATACAATATCATATGTCCTATATTTTGTAATTACCCTCTGGTTATTTAACATAGCCATGGAAAATGGCCAATAGCGATAGATGGTTTACCTATTAAAAATGGTGGATCTTTCCATTTCGCTGTGTTAAACAACCAGAGGGTATCTATTTTGAGGATTGCCATCAGATTGTCCCAGTTCCACTGACCAAAACGCCTCTCACGGTGCTCCGTCAGGAGAGGTCTCAACGTAGGGACGGGCTCCTGTCGCGAGGACTTCGAGATGGGCAGCACTGCGCGGTTGGCTTGTGATTTGTATTCCTAACTGATTAATATATGTTTAATGATGGTTGATAATATGTGGTTAAGTGGTTAATATATGGTTATTATATGGTTAATACATGGTTATTATATGGTTAATAATCCAAGCCTTATGAGATATTTCATGGAAGAACCACATGGACATTGCGCCCCAAAATCTTGGACTCTCCCACTAGTGTCATCTAGAACAGCCCTTTTTTTGGATGATTTTGGGGTTGCCCCTTCCAAGAAACACCTATACAAATCTGGTTGGAGGTATACCTGCCCCTCTGAAAAATGATGGAGTTCGTCAGTTGGGATTATATATTATTCCCAACTGAATGGAAAGTCATAAAATTCCATGGTTCCATTCACCACCAACCAACTGATTAAAGGAACCTACTAGCATGTATTCCTGAATGCTGTTGCGGATGATAGATTTCCCTGTATACTATGGGTTATCAACAAATTAAATGATCAATGGCCGTGTCAGGAACATAAATTAGAGATACCTACCATGTATAAGGCCTATGTAAGGGAATATGGCCTGATATGGTACAGTATCTCCGTTTTAGGGTCCTGAAATTACCACTGAAATGACTTCTACAGTATATGTTTGAGTACCCTGTTCATGGATATAAATCATTTTAAATCGTACTATAAAACTCTAAATGGTGTATACATGTGTATACCAAATTATCATAAATGATATCAATTTTTGCAAATGACAATGCTAATGGGAGACAAATGATTATATAGTGACGATATCATGAGAAATCATGGTGCAAAGAAAAATGGTTTGGGCGTGTGAGAAGATGGGGTACAGTATGAGAAACAGAAACATGATGAGAAACTAGTGGTACCCTGCAGTAAACTAACAGTTCGCTATGGAAAATGGACCATAGAAATAGGTGTTTTACCTATTCAGTGATTTTCTATAGCTATGTTAGCTACTAAACTAGTGGTATTGGTTTTTGGAGTTGGACACACCCTCCAGCAATAAAACATAGATGATGTCAACCCTGGATTCCCCATGATTACAGATATAGCCCTTGACAGTTATAACTGGCTGATAACCTCATAGTGATACAAACACCTTGGTTGCAGAAGTTATACCCCCATGGCCATACCTGCTATAATCCTGTTTTTTTTGTGGCCATATGTGGCCAAAACTGTGCCCGGTACCCTGTCTTTTTTCTTCGGGGTCGCACCCCGGTCCTGTATCTCAGCAGATGTCTCCAGCGCCCTCGTGTCCAGCCGGATTCTTGGCACTTCGATCCACATCGACTCCGTCTGGATCTTCTCCTGGTGAGCCCGCGCCGAAGATAAAGTAACCATAGGAACCCAAACGGTACCCTGCTTTAGTATTGGATCTACATTAAACAAAACAAACAGTTTGGGGGGTTATCCGCGGTTGTCGGGGAGTGAGGGACTCAACCATCGAAAACCATAAACTTCTTGCGGGGTAGATCCCTTGCAACCGCAGACATAGACCTTTATATTCAATGGGAATTCCAGGATCCTAAAATGGAGGTACGTTAGTACCATATAAGGCCATATTTTGTGGGGATATTCCCTTAGATAGGCCTAAAACATAGGCCTTCTATATGGATCCAAAAATTGTAGCTACCTCCCATAAATCGCTGAATGTGAGGCCCATGATCCTGGTAGCGGGTCGGCGGGTCGTCATAACATAGTGCTTAATTATGTACCATTCATGTCAATCTATAGTATAATTAATAATGTTGAATTAATGAATTAATGATTTACATTAGTTAGATATATAATTCTATATACCTATAATTAATAATGTTGAATTAGTATACCATTATATAGTCCAACTTATATCTCTGGATAGTGTTTAATTATGTACCATTGATCCTTTCAATATCAAAGAGTTGCTTTGATACCACGTTTGATTGCTACATACCCGGTTGACCGATCATTGTATAACCCATCAGTCACCATTAACCAAGCAAGTTAACTCAGTTCTGAGTTGTTTTTTTAACCCATCTAGCTATGCCCACCACTATTGAATCCTATAGTAAGCCTAGTGAGAAACTAAGTATCCTCTGGTAATTTGACATAACTATGGAAAATCATGCAAAATGGTGATTTTCCAGTTCGTTTTTTGTTAACGTTTACCAGAGGCTACAACTAAGAAGGACCTCCCTTCAGCCGCATCCCAGGGCCTCCCCATAGCAGAGCACATGATCTGCCTCTGCCGCTTGAAGACGCCGAGCCCTGGAGGCAAAACGCCAAGTTTTTGGCATGTTTTCTGACCCAAAAAATGATATTCCTACAATGTGGTACCCCCCAGTTTTAAGTTAGTTTATAACCCCCATCAACTATAGATATATCTATCATAAGTCACATTTATTGCAGTTATAAATAAACTTAGCTATCTATGGGGCACCACGATGTAGTATACTATAGGCTAAAGGTGCCATGAAATGGATTGTATTGACACATGATGGCTTATAACACTACTATTCTATTGGTATCCGGTATCCTCATGTTTAGTGTGTCTCCGATATGTGGTTAATATATGCTAATGCATGGTGATAGATTATAAAAGTGTATGCAATGTGTGTTTGATGGCTGCATGCGATGTTTGAAATGGATATTTGCCAACAGGAGATCATCATTCCAAACATGGACAATTCAAATGAACAGTGTTCAAAACCCTGTGTCGGTTGGTTGATAGGGATTTCCACACTAGTTTGTGATTATCCCCCATATATATATACATATATATATATTGGTGAGTAAAATCCTGAAACTAATCATCAACCATTATTCATCAGTTGTATCGGCTTATATCCCCATGGTTTGATAGTGGCTGGTATTGTCTGCCAGGTTGAAATACGTACGGATGTTGCAGACGATGTCGAAGCTTTCGAGTGGCTCTGCTTCCAGTCCAGGGGAAACGCCTCAGAAACAGAAGTCTGAAACATGCTCACCCGTCAAGCTGCTCGCTCCTACCAGTTCAAGCTGCTCGCTCATGCGCGTAGCTGTGTCATTGCAAGACGTCTCCAATGGCCCGGCACGCCCATGAAATCCAATGTTCATGGTCGAGCAAACACCAAAAGAAACTGGCCACTTTGCCCGTGTTTAAAGTGCCTTACACCCCATGTGCCTTGCAGCCCTCTGGCCGTAAGCCTTTGCTGGGCTCTACTTCTCAGGCTGCTTGAAAGACACCACTCCGTCGATTGGTTTAAGTGACGATATTGGTGATCCGTTGGTGATCCAAATATTAGCCCTAATCATAGTCTATCATGTTCCCCGTTGAAGTTTCATGCTCACATAAATATCACTGCCAATCTTAAGCGGTTTGCAAAAAAATAACATGTTAGCTGCCTAGTAAGTACCCCCATTTATTGCACCGCCCAAAGAAAAACAAATACTTTCATCGAGTGATCCCCACCTTGAAACACTATTCTGACATGTTTCTGACATACCATCTGGAAGTATATATATATATACTAGTATATATTATATTCTATCTGACATTCTTTCTGGCATATACTTTGACATTCTATCTGTCAGTCTATCCGGCATCTATTCTAACATACTTTTTGGCATATATTCTGAATTCTTTCTGGTATTCAATATGGCGTCTATAAAGACATTCTATCTGGCAAATTTTCAGGCATTCATCTGGATCATTCTGGCATTCTTTCTGGCCTATTCTGACATTCTCTCTGACATTCTTTCTGGCACTCTATGTGGAACACTCTGTCGCGGTTGAGGTCCGGTGGGGAACACTTTGATCCGGAGCTTGGTCCAGCGGGGAACACTCTGATCCTGAGCTTGCGGTGGATGTCCGACGGGGAACACTGCGATTTAGAGCTTGCAGTTGAGGTCCGCAAGAGGAAGAGGAAGGAGGAATGAGGACGGAGGAGGCGGGCAGGCTGACATAAAATCTAACAACCCTCACCTGACAGGTGGGGAAATACTTTCTTCGAGTGATCCCCACTCTGACAATTATTCTGACATAGTTTCTGACATATGGAAGTAACTATTGGATATGAACATTCTATTCTGGCATTCTGTCTGGCATCTATTCTGACATTCGATTCTGCCAAACACTTCGTTTAAGTATTTCCACTCAAATCATCATTTTCTTGTTGGTTTTACAGAACCACAACGCATTTTGGCTAGTTGGTTTTGCACGTATACAGCAATGGCCCTTAACAATCCTAGTTATAACTGGCTTATAGCCTCATGTAAGGGATATATCACCAACCAGTTGCATGAGTTGTAATTATATACAAGTATAACCCCATGGCCGAAACTGTTGAGGGCTATAACTGCAGTGAATAAGTACGAACGAAACCCCATTTATGGTTTATGTATAATCCCATAGAAATAACAAGTTATAAGTTATAACCTGTTATAACAATATATGTATGTATAATTGGTATGTCCGGCCATCTGAAACACAACACCTACCACCTCTACCTACCGCTTGACGACGTCTTGGACCTTGACATGGGTCGCTGTGGCAGCAGCAGTATGCTTCGGCAGCCCCAGCTTCGAAGCTGACAGAGAAGGCTTTTGTTTGGGAGACTTCTCTTGGGTTTCATGGTGGAAACCTGTTTGGAACGACCCCACTCCCTAATGCGCTTCTGGATTATCCATTTGTTTTTCCTAACATAGTTTTATATGATCTAATAGGGAAAATGTTGGGATAATCATAGGACATGCGGTATCATCAAGCATGGCAATTGGAACCTTCCTAATTTTAAATGGACGTTTTAATGGGACAATTATCTATTTCCATGGACCATGGCTTCCATAGCTGTGTAACAAGTAAACAGATGGTATATCTACATATATCTACAAATAGTAGTTCTGTTTGTTGGCGCCAACAAACACAGAAACTACAGAGTTTCTCAATGAAGTGCTCCACTTCGGAACCGCTAGGTTGGTTTGCCAAGTTTGAAATAACTATACTGCTTGGTGGTTGACCTACCCCTCTGAAAAATATGAGTTCGTCAGTTGGGATTATTCTTTCCAATATATGGAAATATAAAAACTGTTCCAAACCACCAACCAGCTATAGTTAGGATAAGCCAAATTATAACTGGGAGGGCACCACCTTCTTCCGCATGAAATGAGTAGCTGCCATGCGAGTTTCTCTGAAAAAAGGCTCGGCCTAATTAAATCCCCAGATACCTCCAAACAATGCTTAGTCTAATACCACAGTACAGTTGATGCCACTTATTTCCCAGTGAACAACCGTCAGAACCATCATGTTTCATGGGAAAACATGGTAAAACTATAGTTTTCTTCGTGGTAAAACCACGCAAAATCATGTTTAAACCATCGTATAACCATCATTTGTTAAGGTAAAACAACCATTTTCCTCCCGGGAAAAGCGGCCGTTTTGCATGGTGAACTCCCTCAACATTCTCACGGCCGGCACCTTCCGGAGGAGAATCAGAAAATCCAAGTCCTCTGTGGCGGGCGTTGATGGATAATCCCATCATTTGGCGTATTAGAAACTGTATCTATCTATCAATCTATCTATCTATCAATCTCTCTATCTATCTATCAAATCTAATCTAATCTAATCTAATCCAATCCAATCTAATCTAATCTATCTATCTATCTATATACATACACATTATGTATATATATATATATGTGCATATTAGATAATATTATATATATATTTGTATATATGATTGTACATGTATATTGTCTATGTAAGCATGTCTTTATCGTCCGCATATGGACACATCCGATGGGGTGATGAAAAACCGGCCAGGGAAGCCACCAACCTCATGACAACCGGTTCTGGTGGCTGGTTGGTCTCCGTAGAGGGTATTAAACAATCCCCAAGAAAGCAGGTCTGGTTGGTCAGTTCAGATGATGAAATTCCCAACTGAATGGAAAGTCATAAAATTCCATGGTTCCAGTCACCACCAACCAGAGTATAATCCACATGTAACGAATTAAACATATCTTTAACAGGGTTACTTCAAACAGCCCGCGTTTTGGGGGGTAAGTTTGATACATTTAGGTAGAGAGACCAAGTTAACCCTCAAAACTGGCAGTGCAGCAGGTTTGGACTCCAAGTGCCTCCAGCACAAGGGCAACCGGGTACCGGGTAGATTACTAGTCCTCTGAACTGAGCACCAGAAAGCTAAGCCTGGCTTAGCTTTCGATGATCTCACCCAGTTTAGACTCATACCAATGATCTATGGGAAGTCCGCAGGATTGCCATATCGCATGAATGTGTGCAGAAAATCCAGCAGATCTTCTCAATTACTTAGACAATCACCAGCATTACAAGCGCAGAAGCACATGTGTGCAAACTTTGTTGGTACTGGGAGACCATACAGTTCTCAAACTGAGCTATTGAGGTGCTAGTATCATTTACCTATACTGACTATAGTGGCTTGGAGCAATCATGTTTTATGCTTAGTAAATCACATATGATTATCCCATCTGTTCAGATTATCCCTAAGAGAGATAGCTAGATCCATCATTTTCAGTGAGTTCCCATCCAATCACTATAAATGATGGTTACGTCCCCATATGTTTTTTTTTAACTACTAGTACCATTCCTATCAATGATGGTTAAAACACCCACGCAGAGTGGCTCAGCTGGGTACACTTTTGAACACTTCAAGGGCATCTCCTCTGATGCGATGGCAATGGTTTTGCAGCTGCCTGCGCCAGCTTGGGTGCCCGGAATTCCATCAGTTGAGATGAAAGGCACTTTACTAGCCATAGTGGTCATAATATGTTATAGTAATCGTTATAAATCTGGTTGGTGGTTTTTAACCATCTTGAAGGATTATCCCATATATTATGGAAAATAAAATTCATGTTCCAAACCACAAACCAGAAATGGTTTTTAATTGTTTTTAATGGTTATTTGATGTTATTTGAAGTTATGTGTGTGGTTATAGCTGTGCATATGATTAATATTCCATACATGGGGCACTTACTGACTGGTAGCTGGTAAACCGTGAAACCGCTCTTTGGTGCACTGCTTCTGTGGATCCCAGATTTTCCAGCCTGAAAGGCAAGTCTCTGCAGCATCCAAAGCCAACATGAGATCTCCGCTCTCCTGCATCGACTTACAGTTGTGCGTTTCACATACAGTGCCCGTTTCAACTTTTTCACTGGCTAATAATGATTTTCATGGGATTATAGTGGGTTAAGAGGATGAACAAGAATGATCATATAACAATTAAAAACGGGCTAGCTGAATCCCCATTTGCGTGATATATAACCAACTAGTTGTAGGAGTTATAATCCCATTTATAAAAGTTGAGGGCCATAACTGGGCCATAACTGTAGGGAATGGGGGAATGGAAGAGAGAGAGAGAGAGATATATATATATATGAATAGCTATGGATTGGATCATTCCCCCATTCCCTAGGTTTAGCACCAGCCAGTCAATTGGTGTTCTTTTTTAATATTATCATATCGTTATTGAGGTCACAGCCCGGCTTTCTGGCTTGGCTTCATGACCACCCATGAATCTTGAGAAAGTGTCTATTCATCTCAGGTATTCACTGAAGATTAATGAACTTTTGCAGCTTTTAATGGAACCATGATCAGTTATAAGGTTAGTATTCTTGCAAACTACATAACTACAACCTAGGGACCTGATTACCTACTGTTTAGACACTACTGTTTGGATGCTATGCTACTGTTTAGATTTACTAGCCTCTGGTAATTGATGTTTCTATGGCAATTACAATTTTTCTTATGGACAAATCACCAGCTCGCCAACTGCCTACTGGAAGTGACTCAACCGGATGGTCCTCTTGGGGTTGTGACTTCCCCCATGTCATCAAACGTGGCTGGCAATGGACAATCCCCTAAAATTTAAAGCTGATGTTCCCAGCTAGAAGCCTTCGATGTGCAGAGATGTTGCGCCACGGTTTACCAGAGGGTTGCAGAAGATCATCCCCTTCTTGGGGTGATTGTCCCAACCATCAAAGCCTTCATCGAAGCACCATTCTGTGGCACAGAAATCTGCTCAATACCTGGCAAATCCCGCCGATTCAAAATGTATCGAAGCGGAGTTCACTTGGCAAAATGTCACTTTCAACAAATCGGAAGTAAAATTGAAAGAATGCGGTTTAATTGGGATAAACATTGTGATTTAACCAGTAAGGACTGTAATTAGGTGTGTCTGAAAATGGGTACGCCCCCCAAAAGGTCAATTTGATAATAGTGATCGTGGTGATTAAGCCGTGCATTTACGTGCTTTCAGACAAACCCATATGTTTGGAGTTAATTTTGGCTACAACGAAACACTAATACCAGTAGGGGTGTATCTGAACCTCGAAACCTTTTTTTGTGCCCGAACAACATGAAAATAGTGTCAAGAAAAATGGGAATGGAACATGATACCGTGGATGGACAACACCCTGCACCAGCTAGTAACTATTGGGGTTCCTGTGAAACATTCTAAATAATGGAATTATGATGGGATTTTGATGGATTTTGCCCATCTACCAACTGGTGCAGGATTTCTTCCATCCACGGCATATCAAAAACAAGTCCAGCCACAAAACGGATGGTACGCTGCAGCCAGGGGTCTTCTTTTTCTGTTCAACTCCTCGTAGGCCATGCCTCAAATTTTCGGCCTGGACCCAAAAAATATTCTCTTCTTGCGCTGGGATCTGTTCCTCGATGCCTACAAGATGAAGCGCGTTCGGATTCACCACAACTGGCTCTTTGGTCACAGAAGCACAGCTGTCATACCAAGTCATCCAAGCCCAGGCTGTCGTGTCTGGTAAATGGCTGGCACACCGCCAAGATATCCCAGTTGTCTGAAGTGATCACTGACTTCGCTGAACATGTTGAGTTTTGCTAATTTGGGTTCTTTCCTGTTGACATATGGACCTTGCCGTGTGAAAAATACCAATCAACCTCAGTATGTGCATCAAAACAAAAAGTATAAACTTAGATTAACTTGGTATATCTTTGAATTTTAACTTGCCGTTTATCTTTGAAACATGTTGTCAACTGTCAAGACTTCCACAGAGAAAAAAAACCTGTGATGCACTGGAAGCAACCAATCTCCTGTTGTGAGGCAGCCTTCCCAGATCATGGGACACAGAAAATCTCTGAGAATCCACTAGCCGATCAAGGGTCGACCTGTGACTTGAAAGAAAAAACATATTTCCTACTCAGATCACTGTCTTGGCTTGGATCCAATATCTAGTTCTGCTTTCTACAAGAGCACCATTTGCGACACAAAAATAAAAAAAAGTCTCATCAAAACTCTCTGTTTGGTAGGTGGATAAGACATCAATGTGTCCATTCATTTCAGCTACATATTCACTGCCTTGCATCAATTTCTCCCAGTTCCATCGGTCCAACATGATAAAAACGGACGGAACATGATCAAACTATACCGAAGTATGTCACAACTCAGTTAGATCCTTAAAATACCACCGACTAATCCCTTCTTCCTATTACTAAACCTCCCCCAAATACTAAAAACTAGGTCCATCTCTAATTTTGGAAAATTTCAGATTGGCCAATTTGTTTTTTAATTGATCCCCTTTAGAAAACAATTTATAACTTAAAAATAGAGCTATCATTTGTGGGTTTTGCCCCCTAATAATAAAAACTAGTTCACCCCGGGGTGTTTATTATTAGGGTCCGTCCGATTTTTTTTAGTTTTTGTATATTAGGGCTTTTAATTTCTTATTAGGGCCCGCTTCGAAAACCAATTTTTGGCAATATTTTACTTGCGTTATATAAGGAAATTTAATTGATTTTGAAATCGGAAAAAATAGTTTTTATTATTAAGGGTTTAATTTTATTAATACGGGTCCGCTTCGAAATCCAATTTTTGGCAGTGTTTTAATGGCGTTATATAAGGAAATTTAATTGATTTTGAGATCGGAAAAAATAGTTTTTCTTATGAAGGGTTTAATCTTATTAATAGATTATTAATAGTGTCCGCTTCGAAATCCAATTTTTGGTAATATTTTAATTGCGTTAAAAAGGAAATTTAATCAATTTTGAGATCGGAAACAATAGTTTTTAGTATTAAGGGTTTAATTTTATTGATAGGGTCCGCTTCGAAATCCAATTTTTTGGCAATATTTTAACTCCGTTCAAAAAGGAAATTTAATTGATTTTGAGATCGGAAAAACTATATAGTTTTTATTATTAAGGGTTGAATTTTATTAATAGGGTTCCCTGATAATAAGTACACCCCTAATACTAAAAACTACCTGAGGTGTTTATTAATAGGAGGGGGGAACGTTTAGTATTAGGGAGAAATGATTATTGAATGTGTCTAGAAATGGAGCATATCCATGTCCAATGTCAAATTTGATACGGAAAATCAAAATTTATATAATCATATTGGGATATATTGGGATAGCCTATTTACCCTGTACTCCTTCATGTAGTTCGATGATTTGCACAACTATAAACCGGGAACTTTCTAGCCATGTCTGATTACCAGAGGGTATCCTCTGTTTTCAGACTTTTCAGACAAACCCAGACGGGGGGGTGCAGTTCCCATAAGTGGGTTACATAACCATAGTTTTTTGTTCACAATCTATGGAGCATTGAATCCCATAGCTTTCACCTCTGAGCTGGACCGTGATTCGGCCCCATGAAATCATCATTGCCCATGCTTCTATCCGGAAATGTCCATGACTGATGGTTAAATACCCATTAGGTCTGTTTTTTTTCGCAAAAAAAAACAATGGAACATCCACATTTTTTCAGATCCCATGGATTTTGGCGTATCTTCCCGCCTTCCAGTTCCGCTGCGCGAGCAAAGGAGGCCTGGAAGCACAGCGGCAAGTTACGAGGCCATTGAGATACACTGAGAGGTCATGGGAAGTCGGGCCCTTAACAGTTAGAACTGACAACTAAAGAATCACTTGAGTATACTTAAGTGATATATATATATATACATATGGGTGCGATGGATCGCTCTGCCGCAATCCGTACTATGGATCGCGAGTGCTTACGTAAGGTGCCTGATCCGTACCCTGTCGTAAGTGCTCATTATAGCATACAAATTGTGCTGATACTCCTACTTGCTATCACTTCTCCTCCTGCTACTGTTGCTGCTAAAACTGTTACCACTGCTAGTAGAGGGAGCAATGCCAAAAAAAACAGCACCAGCAGCAGTAGTGGCAATAGAAGGAGAATAAACAGTAGCAGTAGAAATAGCAGTAGCAGTAGCAGTAGTATTAGTAATAGTCACTAAGAGTAGTCTCATGGTAGTATTAGCAGCAGCTGCAGTAGTACTAGGAGTAGTAGGAAGAGCAGGAGTAGGAGTAGGAGTAAGGGTAGGAGTTGGAGCAGGAGCAGCAGCAGCAGGAGGAGTAGTAGTAGCAGCAGCAGCAGGAGTAGTAGTAGTAGTAGTAGTGGTAGTAGTAGTAGTGGTAGTAGTAGTAGTAGAAGAAGTAAAAGCAGAAGTAGAAGTAGCAGCAACAGCAGTAGCAGATGCAGCAGCAGCAATAGAATCGGACTTTCATATTGGCATTTGTTGTGGCGTGACTGGGTTCGGGTATGGATCGGGTATGGATCGGGGAATGGATCGGCACACGCTATCTGGGCCGGCTGTCCTGCTGAGAAGGAAGAGAGCAGAGTATTTCTAGTCTAGTCTAGTCCCACACGTGCCAGGCAAAGCAGCAACAGAAGGAGTTGTAATCAAAGCTCACTAGAAGTACAAGAAGCAACTAGTGGAACTAAAACCGGTCTTACTAGCCGCCAAGGTGCATACATATATATGTATATCTATCTATCTATCGATCTATCGATCTATCGATCTATCGATCTATCGATCTATCGATCTATCGATCAATCGATCAATCGATCAATCAATCAAATCTATTCTATTCTATACTATACTATACTATACTATACTATACTATACATCTATCTATCTATCTATCTATCTATCTATCTTTATTGTATACGCCTCTCAGTTTGGGTCGGGCATACACCGGCTATATCCACAAAGGCTTTCCGGCCTCCTCCGCAAACAAGTACCTTAAGAAATATCTATTTGCTCCAGATATTGCTTCTGTTTCCAGGGAACGAAAAATGCGCAGCCACATATACAAGGCGGCTGCTATGGAATCCTATGGCACTTCACCATTAAGCGGTAAATCATGGTTACATAATGGGCCATGGTTTCCATAGCAAGCGAGAAATCTGCGAGAACGTGGACCACATCTGCTGCCGCCTGGTGTTTGCCAATGTACACACGACCTGCAGAGCTGACAGAGTTGCAGCTGGTGTAGTTCTTACCGAAATTGGCGTCAATCAAAGATCCCGTAGAAATCCATAAGAAAAAACAAAGACACTTATAACATCTGATAAAGGTTTCCCAGTTATGTTCGCTGATCTGTGTTCACCCATCTAACTAGCACAATTGATATCCACCTTAAATTCGAGTGAAATACGAGTTTTCAACCAGTTTAACGATTCCGAATTGAGGCATCATCTTGTAGATCTGTTTGTAAGCCAACAAACACAACCAAATTGTTGATATATCCATCAATATCCATCATGAAGGCTTTCAAGAGAAGGATTACTTAAGGACCCAGCTGGACAAAGTCAATTTGAGAAAGCATATCTACCAACCTGGCCAACTCATGTGGGTCAAAACAGCATTTTTCTAGCCAAACGAAAAGAAACAACATGGCCAATCTTAGATTCCTTGTAAACATTAAACAAAAAAAACATGCCCGGTTCATATAAAAAACACCCCCTATAGCTGGATCCCAATAGACCCTACCAAACCATGGTTCGATAGGTGTGTTTAAGAGAATGTGGAATGGGGTTATGAAAAGATCCATCCAAGAATCCAAGGTTGACTCAATCGGAAACTGGTCAAGAGGATTCCATGTAGATTGTGTCGATGCAGAACAAAAAATGGTGAATCATAGACACCTGGCCAAACAGAAACTAGTTTCAGTTGGTTAGTAATATCATCGATAGCAACCGATTAAAGTACTAAAGTATCTAACAAGGTTGACCCAGAAAAAGACAACTTATTTCCTTATCATTTGACTTTTCAGTTTGGATCTGAGGCTATCAAGAAGCCAATTGGCCAACACTGAAGCAGTCCAAAAATCTGAGGATTAACCAGGGTTATATGTTGCCATAAAAGTATTGTCCCTATCACACCACCGCAGAACTACCATCCATGTTCAACCTTGCGATTGAATCGATGTTTTTTGGGTTTCTCAAACTATCTCCAGTTGTGCCAAGGACAGACAGTTTACCGATTCAAAATGTCCAAACCAATGGAGCCAAAGGTCAACAAAACCAGGGGATAGGTCAATCGTTGGGCTCCCAGACTTTGAAGGATTTCTCCGGAACTTTGCTCAAGAACCTGGGGAACAAATGGCGAAGCCATGTGTCATTGCTAGTTTTCATATCAAACATGTTAGGTACGTGGTGGCTCGTCCCACGGATTGTAAGTACATAGTGGTGCCCCATAGATAGCTAAGCTGGTTTATAATTACAATAAGTGGGACTTATGGAAGATATATCTATAGTTGATGGGGGTTAAAAACTAACTTATAACTGGTGGGTACCACATTGTAGGTTATATCCCTGGTATGTGGGATAAGTAGGGTTAGACGTGTAGCTACCTACTTACGATCCGTGGGATGAGCCACCAAGTACTGGGAAAAACCTGGAACACGATGTGTATTTGTCCACCATCAGCAGGGAAATTCAACTCATCAATTGGGGAGTGCAAATAGCAATGGTGATAAATTTGTCCGCCTGGGGAGGATTATGCAACCCATTTCTGACAAACTAGTTCTTTTTATAGACCATGAAATTTTGGGATTTTCTTCGTATGGTTTGGTCCAAAAATGGGGATGCATTTGGTATTTTCCCATGTACTTTGTGTGAGTCAGCACCACATCATTTTTCACAGTCATACCAATCAGTCCTTGCCCGAGCCGCCATGCGCGGCGACTTCTGGATGGTGATTCTACATGTCAATCGCTTGCTGAACGGTCAGCTCCTTGGACATCCTTGGACTTGTTGGGGTTGGTGGGACCCATGTTCTTCAGGATCACACTTCATTCATAGGACGACACTGCCTGCTTTTTGGAATCAACATTTTGCTTGATGATTCTGCGATCATCATTGGGGAGGACTCATCAACAGCTCGGCTTTTGTGATAAGCTCCACCATGGCTCATCATCCTTGAAGGTCAAGGCATGGGTACAGAAGGCTGCACCACCGCGCTTGCGGCAAGCCCCTTCATCCCTCCATCGTCGAAGTGCAGCACGCCCTGAATATGCTGCAATATATATGTATATAGATATATGTATATAGATATATGTAGATTATATATTCATTTTTATATACAATGAAATATGACCATTATCTTTCTCATTATATATTGTTCTAGTTTTGGTTATCATTATTGTTACTATCATGATTCTTGAAACTCTGAAACCAATATCGAAGAAAAAACTGTCCATTAAAACCACACATTCCTCAATTTACCCATAAAAACGTGGTATAGTATTTGCCCGTAGTTCCAGATACGTTCATACGTTTACTCCGTTTGCCAAAAAAAAACATGGGACAACTGAGGCTCAAGGTATCCAGTTTCCTCGCCTTAAGCATTGGCCGCAGAACGGCGGGCGAAAGGTTCTCACCATCGATGAACAAAGCAACGGAATCTGGCGCTGTTTGGAATGCTTGGACGATGGACTGTGGGTTCTCTGAAAAAGTAGAATGGAGATTGTGCCGGCAAACACATGCAATTACAACGAAAAAATAATAACGATAGCAACCATTAGGATTTGTCCTGATTTCAAAGTAGGAATCACTCACTAGTAGAAATTATGCAGGATTTACCTTAGTAGTCCAGATTGAACTAGCAAAAGCTGGGATTTTGATGGATTCAACACATATAGGGATGCATCGTTTCTGCCGCACATAGAGCGGTACCTGGTTTCGTGACTCCACAACCAGATCTGTAGTGCCAAAGATGTGATGACTTGACCGATCGGTTGACTACTGGGCCGGACTGTCATGAAGTATCTGCCTCCCTGTCGGCACTGACAAGTTGCGAGACTGTGCAACGAGAGAAGCCAGCAGGAGGATCACGATGGAGATGCGTGAAAAGCATCTGCAAGTATGTTTCGTGCACTGAGAATGTGCAAACATCTGCGAAGTCTAATGCGAGGCCTCTCCTCCGGAGCGCCTCCTGCACTTGTAGGGCCGACTGAGCGGGAGGACTCGATGAGCTTTGAGGACTCGATTTCGAGGAGCTTGATGACGAGCTTTGATGACTCGATTTCGAGGAGCTTGTCAGGCTGCTTCGACTATGGTTTATGGTAGTACTACATTTTAATATTTCACCAACCTGAATTAAGGCCATTTGCGGAAAAAATCCATTATATATTATCCATGATTTCCAGTGAGGGAAAAACAGTGAGGTCGTATTTTCGCTCAGTTCTTGGAAACCATGGTTTTAAATAGTTGCTCAATGTTGGTCACTAGCAAAAATCCATGTGAGTCATTTAGTATATCATTTTTTTCGCAAAGAGGGCGCGTGAAAAACTGGGCATTGAGTAACCCAATTGATGTTGTTCTGTTTACTTCCAATCTGAACAGATAAGTAAGAACAAAACAAGCTGGTGCCCCCCCAAGTTATAAGTTAGCTTATAATTTAAAAACCCCACTATCTATGTAGATATCTACTATATGAACCATATACTTAATCCAGTTATAAACCAGCTTAATTTGCGCGTGGCCCAACCTTGTTGAGATACCGGAGATATTACTCGTATCCAAGTGGGATGATGTTGCACAAATGAGGCGGCTTACCCCTCTATCAAGCGGTAACTAGTTAGATATCACTGATATCACTGATGCAAGCACCGTACTTAAGTCACATCAGGCGGGAAAAGTCACATCATCCCCATGGCACGGCGGCGATACAGAAAAGTCACATCAGGTAGTGGAAAGTCACAGGGAAGAAGAATCACCATGGCACAGCCTGTTTCATCTATAATTGGAGATTTAGTTAAAGGTAGCCAAAGCATTGCGCACAGCGTTGATTTTGAAGGGCGCAAGTTAATACAAACAAATTCTCGGCAGCTAATCCTATTGGATTTGAATATATTATATTGATGTCCTGCATCGCATGACCAAATCAAACCCCTTTTGGTACAGCCTCAAATTTCTTGCAATGCAAATGGGTTAGCTGTAGCCAATCCTATTGGCAGGGCTATGATCTAGGATGATATAAGGATATGGGGACCCCTTGTTTTCCGCAACCAAATCTATGGCTGGCACGATGTGCATCAATGTCGTGGAGAGCTCTCAAGAAATTTGTTGTCCTATCCACCCAGCGATTACGAGTTGGAATAAAACCTTTCATTCCATTGCGAGCAGCAAGCAGCAGCAGGCAAGAAGCAGCAGCAGGTGAGCAGCAGGTGAGCAGCAGCAAGCAGCAGCAAGAAGCAGCAAGCAGCAGCAAGCGCTTGCCCCCTTGAAAGAATGATCAAATATAAGTTTTAAAAATCAAACCAGTACAAAAATTGAACTTTTTCCAGGCGCACGGCCCCAAAACAATGAAATTGTTCAATTACTAAAAGTTGTGGTGATGCCAAACTTGAACTTTTTCCAGGCGCACGGCCTCCCGATACGACTTTTACGAGCTGATATGACTTAACCCTAGCGCTAGTATTATTCTTGTGATATCCTAAACTAACCGGAGTGATATCCTGGAATCCTATATTAATCTATATTATCAGTGATATCCTGAAATCAACTCACCGGTGATTAGTAGGACATCACTGAGTCATCACGAATTGGGTCGCACTCCCAGGTCGGTGCGAGGAGTCCAACTGTGGTCTTCCAGGGCATAGGTTGCGACGTTGATTTCAAACAAAAACAACCAGGGCTTATGGTAGTTACAAGTAATGGCTTGTATAATCCAACTTATATCCCAGGGCAACATGGTGTATAATAGTGTACATATGCCTAACACACTACAATGCTGTATGAACCTGAGGGCAACTTGGTGCTGTGACTTGATGATCCCCTGCTTTAAAGAAGAATAAAGTCAAAACACATACAACTGGAAGTGCATGGATACAAATAACTGGAATTATATGCAGTTGCCTTCTGTCTTGGAGTAAGTAGAAAACAAATTATGCCAACCAATATATATATATATACACTTATAACGAATACATGTTTTGCTTTGAACAGAACATATATTGATATATTTTCTCTGTTTCAGGATGACAACGATGACGACGACGATGGTGATGATGGTGGTGATGATGATGATGATTATGATGATGGTGATGATGATGATGATGATGATAATGATGACATAATTTATCGTTTGAAATCAATATATATATATATATAGTATATTAAATATATATATATACCCTGAGGATCGAAGTAGACAAATAGGGCAGTATCGGCAAAGTAGGTCCCACAAGGGTACTTTTCTGCCAATGCCCAAAAACATATACTTATCGGATTTATATATATATATGTGTGTTTATCGGATTTTTGTCGGATTTCTTGGATGTCTGGGCAACAGTAATGATTAAAAGACCCAATATGTCAAAATTTGTCAGGATCTACTTTTTGTGCGTGACAGACCGTGACGAACCCGTGACACCCCGTGACGAATGCATATTTTCTTACTAAAAATGTTGACTTATCGGAAAACGACCGTGACAGGCCGTGACAGCCCGTGACAACGCCTTCAAAACCAGATCTTCATGGATAGACAAAAACACATGGCTTTGAGATTCTTGGTGTTGCTCTGAATCTGACTCCCAATTTTATCGGAAAAACACGAGTTCCGGTAAGTATGGGAATTTGATGCACTTACCACCCTTTAACCCCTAAGTAGCTTAAAAACAACTACTTTCTGATAAGTGAATTTATAGCAACATCTTTTGATCCTTAGGGATATATATATATATATATATTAATTATAATAATTATTATTATTGTTTTTTTTAACATTATTATTATTATTATATGGTTATATATGTGTATAATATAATATAATATATTATATGTTGCCTATATGTGTAGGTCTATACATGGTGTCTCCCAAGTCTCATCCCAAGATATGGCACCTTGGGAAGACAAACTGTTGCCGACCCTTAGCGATTGAACTTGAATCTCAACGGTTCAGAGGTGCAAAAAACACTGGTTGAATCTCAACGGTTATAATATTTCACTAACCTGACTTAAGGCCATTTGGGGATGATTTCCCTTACTAACCATGATTTCCAGTGAGGTCGCAGTGAGGTCGTTATAATTTACCCAAATATATATATATATGAAATTGGGGATCCCCAAAATGGTTAGTTTATAATGGAAAATCCCAATCTAAAATGGATGATTTAGGGTAGCCCCCATTTCAGGAAACATCCATATGGTACTATAAGATAAATTTTCCCGGTTAGAAGTCACAAACTCATGAGTCTAGGTACATGCTTCCAGGTGAAACTAGATAAAGATACCAGCAACTGTCGGAGTATGTCCCACGTGTTCTTGGTGAAAGTTCTATTTTCGGGTGGTCAAATTAAACACTGGTTGGTGGTTTTAACCATCTTGAAAAATATTAGTCAATGGGTAGGATTATCCCGTATTATTACGGAAAATAAAAAATGCTTGAAACCACCAACCAGAACAGAGGTAAAATAATGATCTGCTTAAATACTAAACCAACTATTTCCCTGTATATAGTGAGTTCATCGGTGCACCTTCACCCTCTAAAAACTGACCTCTAAAAACTGCTGTTAACACAACGAAAAAGAAGTCAAATGCCAATTTTTCTGGGTAATGGCGGGGTCTAGGCCTCTCGGTATGTCAAAAAAAATGCGAACCCGGTGATCTTTTGGTTGAAGCTGCGGTGAGCTTTCAGGGCACCAATTCCGTGATTAACTGAGATTTCTGGCGGATAGATCACTAACTTCCATCGCTAGCGGTTATGCTCTGTTTTTGTCTGGGAATGGGGAAGTACCAATGACATTGGTGATTTATTTGATTGAACACATGATAATCATTGATTATCTGGATAATTTGATGAATAATTCCTGAACTCTAAACCTTACTGTATATTCCTGGTGATGATGGTGATGAGGAGTGTGATGATTGGCATCCGCTCTCTGGATTCGGAACCCTTCGCAGTACTGGGACTGACATCGGTTTCCGCAGCAACCCGCGTGTTTCCACAGTAAAAACTACCGATTTTCCCAGCGAAGTCCTCTGCCTTTTCGGCCAATTGCTCGATATCCACCTGGTGATTTTCACTACATCCTTCGATTTATATCATGGTGTACAGTCAGTGTTTTCGGGGTGTCCAGGGGATGTAAAGACCGGGCTTTTAATACGTACAACGGGTCTTGCCAAATAGGACTTTCGAATGCCAAGTCTTGAAGTTGCAAATCGATGCCTATAGTCTTAATGGTTTGATTTGAAGCATCGTTGCATGGAAGATAGAAAGTCGCCCTTCGCGAAAAGTGATATATAGTAAATGAGTCTTCCTTCCCCCCCCCTTTTTGGACTTCAGTCCCATTCCCCGGCCTCAGCCCACTTGGTTCACCTGAAGGTCTCGGATGTGCACTTGGTTGAGAAGGGCCCGGATGTGTCGTTGCACATTCCGGACCCACCTCCTCCTGCCGCTGATCCGCCTTTGGCGGAAGCGGCGCGCCACCCCCAGCAGGTTCTTGCGCACCATGCGGAGCCTCTGCAGCTCCATCATGGTGCCTGTGACCACGTCCTTCGATGTGAGTTAGTTCAGTTCCGGGCGGGTCCAATTTAAAGGCTCTGGAATAGCGAGGTCGTAGAGACATCCAGATGTATGTGATATATACATATATATACATATTCTTATATTTCGATTTTTTTTTACATAAGCAGTGGATCTACTGTAGGGGTGTGAATTCTTTGTTCGATTGTTTCATTTTCTGTTGCATCCATTGATCTTTCTACACTAAGAGATGTCGGAATCCTGACAGGCTGATCGTTATATCATGTCCTTTTTTATTCGAAACTGCTATCTTTTTAGACCTCATAAAGTCCAATTCGCGTTGTTTTCGATGAGATGCATCGGGGCATGGGTGATCAACCTACTGTATACTTGCTCCAACATTTGTGATAGACTCAAGATGATCGATGGTGTATCATTCATTTCTAGTTAATTCGATATCTGGGGTATCATGTCTTTTTTCATGTTCGGCCGGTCCTGGAAGCTCTGCCTGTCGCGCTGCTGCTGGTTTTGAGGAGGGAATTGGTCGCACTCCAGGAGCAGCTGGCTGACCCGCGCGGGGCGGTAGCCACGGCGGAGGAGCTCTCGCCGAACAAGGGCCTTGTCCCCATTGAACCTCGCTTTCAGGTCGTAGACAACGCGCTGGACTGGGCCCACCATGTCTGTTGGTCCGACGGGGTGTGGGAGCGGAGAGGCGAGGGCTTGTTAGCTTTGCGACGGCTGCGGTTTTTTGTTTTTTGCCGTGACTCAGATCTGGATGATGACTACGTAGTACCACTTATAAATACCGGACCCACCGGACACCCCGTATTTGGATAGCGATAGGCTTGGAACATAATCGCCGACTACTGGAGCCATATTTCTAGGATATATATATATATATATATATATCAGCTGAATCTGTAAGAGGTGCTGGACTGCCGTTTGCTTCCAATATTCTCCCCAATACTGCATCCATCCACATCACCGGCTATCATCTATGACCGATGTCCTTGCGACCCAGCCAAGGGACCAAACTTCCGAAGGGCATCTGCGTACCAACTGGGCACAAGAAACTTCATGCCGGAGAAGTGACCTGGAGAATCAAAGACAACGATTGCAGGAGAAGCTTCTTCATACGGGGCGTCTGGTAGGATAAGTCTCCATCATCAGGGCGGAGATGCTTGCAGCCTAAAAAGTTTCGTAGGCTTGACTTGAGGCGCTCTTCGATATACCATGAATCATACTCATCTAGACAACACATTTCCCAGCGCCGAGGGGGCTACTACCCCAACACTGAAAAAAATGCGCCGTCGCTCTTATTATCCCCTCGGTCGCTTTCTTCTAATGTTTATCTACCATCATTTGTTTTACTCATATAGTCTATCGGCAATACATTTTCCAGCATCGAGGGGGCTACTACCCCAACACTGAAAAATGCGCCGTCTATTCAATTCCTTCCCCTCGGGTGTTTTCTTTGCTGTTTATCTGCCATCATGAGTTGTACTCACATATAGACCAACACATTTTCCAGCGCCGAGGGGGCTACTACCCCAACACTGAGAAACGCGCCGTCGCTCTTATTAATTTTGGGACAGCTACCAGCAGCTACCGTTCACTATCATCGACTTGGCGAGGTCAGTTGAAGACACACCCAAAAGCTGGTGACTCTTCGGCAACCATAGCTGGGAAATTCCCGAACGAAAAATGGAGGATTTTGTCATGTTTTTTCATAGGAGAACTAGCTCTCAATGGATGATTCCAGCTACGATTACGGAAGGATAGGTGATGATAGGTGTATAAAAATCAGGCCACTGATCGTAACCTGTTAACACTGGTGACCCCAAATGTCCACAGTGACCATCTGGGGTTCAGAAAAAAAAACGGAACCCCAAAATTTGCTGGTTTATCAAATGTTGATCATCACTTCCCTCTTAAAATGGCCATTTGGGGGCTTTCATACCGTTTTCATACCGTTTTCATACCGACCCATTTGTAATGTTGCGTCCTGATTAGTGTGTGCCCCCCCCCTCCCCTAAACTATTTCTGGACTCTCTTTAAAGTAGAAAGTCAAAAATTTTCTTCCCAAAAGAAAAACATATCCTCAATTAAGTAAGGATTTCAATTGGCTACAATTGAAATCTAATTACTATTGTTTTTTTTGCCGATGAAGTTGTGGTATTTGTAGTACTTGTAGTACTTGTAGTACTTGTAGTAGTACTTGTAGTACTTGTAGTACTTGTAGTACTTGTAGTACATGTAGTACTTGTAGTACTTGTAGTACTTGTAGTACTTGTAGTACTTGTAGTACTTGTAGTACTTGTAGTACTTGTAGTACTTGTAGTACTTGTAGTACTTGTAGTACTTGCATTACTTGTAGTACTTGTAGTACTTGTAGTACTTGTAGTACTTGTAGTACTTGTAGTACTTGTAGTACTTGTAGTACTGTAGTACTTGTAGTACTTGTAGTACATGTAGTACTTGTAGTACATGTAGTACTTGTAGTACATGTAGTACTTGTAGTACTTGTAGTACATTGTAGTACTTGTAGTACTGTAGTACTTGTAGTACTTGTAGTACTGTAGTACTTGTAGTACTTGTAGTACTTGTACTTGTAGTACTTGTAGTACTTGTAGTACTTATAGTACTTGTAGTATTTGTAGTACTTGTAGTACTTGTAGTACTTGTACATGTAGTACTTGTAATTAGTACTTGTAATTAGTACTTGTACATTCTTTAATAAGGGTTTAATAAGGGATTGGTTCTTTGGGAAAGGCTTGGAGTTTGAATTTGGCAATTTTGGAAAGGCTTGCTTCCCTTCTGGGCTTCCAGGGGCTGCTCTGGCACAGCTTGCTGCAATAGTGAACCCAGCAAACAAACCTACTAAAGTGAAATGGAGCCTCTCCTGGTCCAGGGCCTTGGAAAATTGTGGAAAAGCTGTTCTTTAATAAGGGTTTAATAAGGGATTGGTTCTTTTGGGAAAGGCTTGGAGTTTGAATTTGGCAATTTTGGAAATGGCTTGCTTCCCTTCTGCAGGGGCTGCTCTGGCACAGCTTGCTGCAATAGTGAACCCAGCAAACAAACCTACTAAAGTGAAATGGAGCCTCTCCTGGTCCAGGGCCTTGGAAAATTGTGGAAAAGCTGTTCTTTAATAAGGTTTAATAAGGGATTGGTTCTTTTGGGAAAGGCTTGCAGTTTGAATTTGGCAATTTTGGAAATGGCTTGCTTCCCTTCTTCAGGGGCTGCTCTGGCACAGCTTGCTGCAATAGTGAACCCAGCAAACAAACCTACTAAAGTGAAATGGTGCCTCTCTGGTCCAGGGCCTTGGAAAATTGTGGAAAGCTGTTCTTTAATAAGGGTTTAATAAGGGATTGGTTCTTTTGGGAAAGGCTTGCAGTTTGAATTTGGCAATTTTGGAAATGGCTTGCTTCCCTTCTGCAGGGGCTGCTCTGGCACAGTTTGCTGCAATAGTGAGCCCAGCAAACAAACCTACTAAAGTGAAATGGGGCCTCTACTGGTCCAGGGCCTTGGAAAATTGTGGGAAAGCTGTTCTTTAATAAGGGTTTAATAAGGGATTGGTTCTTTTGGGAAAGGCTTGCAGTTTGAATTTGGCAATTTTGGAAATGGCTTGCTTCCCTTCTTCAGGGGCTGCTCTGGCACAGCTTGCTGCAATAGTGAACCCAGCAAACAAACCTACTAAAGTGAAATGGGGCCTCTACTGGTCCAGGGCCTTGGAAAATTGTGGGAAAGCTGTTCTTTAATAAGGGTTTAATAAGGGATTGGTTCTTTTGGGAAAGGCTTGCAGTTTGAATTTGGCAATTTTGGAAATGGCTTGCTTCCCTTCTTCAGGGGCTGCTCTGGCACAGCTTGCTGCAATAGTGAACCCAGCAAACAAACCTGCTAAAGTGAAATGGGCCTCTACTGGTCCAGGGCCTTGGAAAATTGTGGGAAAGCTGTTCTTTAATAAGGGTTTAATAAGGGATTGGTTCTTTTGGGAAGGGCTTGCAGTTTGAATTTGGCAATTTTGGAAATGGCTTGCTTCCCTTCTTCAGGGGCTGCTCTGGCACAGCTTGCTGCAATAGTGAACCCAGCAAACAAACCTACTAAAGTGAAATGGGGCCTCTACTGGTCCAGGGCCTTGGAAAATTGTGGGAAAGCTGTTCTTTAATAAGGGTTTAATAAGGGATTGGTTCTTTTGGGAAAGGCTTGCAGTTTGAATTTGGCAATTTTGGAAATGGCTTGCTTCCCTTCTTCAGGGGCTGCTCTGGCACAGCTTGCTGCAATAGTGAACCCAGCAAACAAACCTACTAAAGTGAAATGGGGCCTCTACTGGTCCAGGGCCTTGGAAAATTGTGGGAAAGCTGTTCTTTAATAAGGGTTTAATAAGGGATTGGTTCTTTTGGGAAAGGCTTGCAGTTTGAATTTGGCAATTTTGGAAATGGCTTGCTTCCCTTCTTCAGGGGCTGCTCTGGCACAGCTTGCTGCAATAGTGAACCCAGCAAACAAACCTACTAAAGTGAAATGGGGCCTCTACTGGTCCAGGGCCTTGGAAAATTGTGGGAAAGCTGTTCTTTAATAAGGGTTGAATAAGGGTTTGGTTCTTTTGGGAAAGGCTTGCAGTTTGAAATTGGCAATTTTGGAAATGGCTTGCTTCCCTTCTTCAGGGGCTGCTCTGGCACAGCTTGCTGCAATAGTGAACCCAGCAAACAAACCTACTCAGATAGAGATGCATTTACAGGCTCAGATAGGGAGATGAGCAAAAAAATGACTGAGCTACAGCGTTTTTGAGAAAAAATGCCTCTCAGCAATTACAGTTTTTTTGCAAAAAAAGGGCTCTCCCAATTTTGTTTTGCCACAAAAGCGAACCTCCAAACAATACATGAGTTTCAGAATAATTTGGAAAAAATTTGCCACAATAGCGACCCTAGGTACTAATCAGGACTCAACATTAGTGTGATCCTCCAAGCACAAAAGCTACTAAAGTAAGTAGCCGTGCAAGGCCTAGTTTGTTGCACCACAATCGGAGCTTCTGAGGCAGCCACTTTTGAGGCGGCGGAGGCACACCTGAGCATCCTGAGCAGCTCAGCATGTTGAAAAATGCGAACGGGCCATGTTCAACCCGAAGCGCTTGGATTTGAATCTCTAGAGTTTCTGTTCATTTTAAGCATTCACCAAACAGTGGGTCCAGAATTGGTTAAACACATTTAAACACCAGAAATCTTGTGAAACACATGCCCTTAAGGTCAACATGGCCATGGCCACTCCCAACTTGTGCGGATTTTTTTGCCAGGTGAAATGACTGGACCGTATCCATTCTACACACTTTGATTGATTCGAGTGTCCAAGCTACAATAATAAGTCTGGTTACAACCACCATTAAGTATAAACATATAAAACCCTAGGGTTTCATTAAGTAACATAACTAGGGTATATTCACCACAACATTTCTAAGTTACCATAATATTCACCATAGAACCTAGTTATGTTACTTAGAAACCACCCACCGGTTTCGCCACTAGTCATCTCGGGCACCATTGTGACGAGGTGCCGGTTTAACGCGAACCAAATGGCTTAACAAAAAATAACGTGGCTTAACACTAATAATAGCTACTGGTTTAACTATTAATAATGGTTATAACAAAGTGGCAAAATAATGTTAAACCATGGTTTTTATGGCAGTTATAACTATTAGTATTTATTAGTTCGATTAGATGGCTTTCTAAGATGGTTTTCTATGGTGCACAGTTGCTATTTTGATTGGTTTATGGTGAAACTATGGATGTTTATGGTGATTAGCTACAAACATAATGAGAAGGGGCCCCACCTTGTAAGGGGGTCATTATTCCACTTAAACATGTTGTGTGACATGTTGTAACACTACTTTCTGGCCAATTTCTATATAGGAAGATCCCCCAACATGCACAGCCATGAATCAGTATTGATTCCACGCGGAAAAAAAGGTGCCTCAATGGTATCACATCTTGTTATCATTCCTCAATGGTATCATCCTGCGGGAATTTGCCAAAGTATAACTGGCCAATTTCTGCGATCGTTTCGATCATTAGGGTATATTATACATGTTCCTTGACCACCATATATGGTGTTTATATGGTAATATGGTATTATATTATACTAGTTGGTGGTTTCAACCATCTTGAAAAATCATGGAGTTCGTCAATGGGGTTGGGATGACATCCCATATAATTATTATGGAAAATAAAATTCCATGGTTCCAAACCACCAACCAGTTATACATGTTCCTTGACCACCATGTCGACATGGCAAAAAGTATGCCATATATATATATCTTACAATGTGGTACCCTCCAGTTATAAGCTAGTTTATAACCCCCATCAACTATAGATATATCTACCATAAGTCCTACTTATTGTAGTTATAAACCAACTTAGCTATCTATGGGGCACCACTATGTATATATCCTAACTTATGGTGGTTAAGCGTTTGAAAACCACCATAGTTATAGCCATTATGGTGTCACCTCCGGCATCCCCAGCGTCCATCCCCTTCGATCCCATTGAATCCCGATCTAAAATCATCATTTTTGATGCTTAAATCCTGGTTTTTTAATCACCATTCAATCATTTAAACCATGATTAAAACCATGATTAATCACCATTTTAGATTCAATCACCATTTTTCATGGTTTTCAGTTTTCAGCCATTTTTTTCGACATCAGTCCTGCACCCCCACCATTCACCAAACGGTTTAAACACCCAAGCCTTGCCCCTGAGCCCGAAGGGGGAGAGCTCGCGATCCCAACCTGCAGCGGGACGTTATGATGGATCATCTACTAGATCCACAGTTACTGGTTGGTATACCTACCCCTCTGAAAAATCATGGAGTGAACATCAGTTGGGATGACATGACATTCCCTATATATGGAAAATTAAAATTCAGGTTCCAAACCACCAACCAGGTTATATACATACATATACACATGTATACGTGTGTGTGTGTCACATGAATATGAATATACTTGCTACTTGTAGAATTTCGATGTAAGAAGAACTTGCACTGTGAAATTTGGCCGGTTTATCAAGTTCTTTCGCGGTGAGCGATTTCATGGATCCCCACATTGTTGCCGTCATATGTCAAAGCCCTGTCCAGGATGTTGGAGAGAGCTTAATCTTCGCATATCGCTGACCCTTCTGGTATCTTGGAAGTCTGAACCCACTGTACGTGTGTGGCGTAGCTAGATTCTGCCACAGTTGCACCGGCTTGGAGGTACGACAAGCAGGTTCTGGGTTGGTATGGGAAGTAGTCCATGTCAGTGTTTGACAACGCACCCACAGTTTTCTTGAAGGATCTTCGCCCAGGGCACAGATTGCGGCTGGGGGCTTGAACATTTGACGTGTTGCTGATGTTATCCTATGAGGATGTTTTCATGTTGGAACAGCAGTTCCAGGATAGCTTCCAACGTTGTGCCTTCTAGGCAGATCTAACAAGCTGCCGTCATGAGATGGCATCTGGCCGAAGATGGGCGACTGGAGTCATGTATATGTATATTTTTTTAAAAAAAAGGGTATATTGTAAATTATACATGATCACAGTCTGTATATAGGGTGTATATATATATGGGTTCGGGGGAATAACCGTGCCCCCTGTAAATGGTTCAGAAGCAGTTGCCTTTGTGTCCATGCCTTTGAAGTCCATTCGTGTAGTAGCAGACCTGGCTTTTTTGCATAATGAGCAGATAATGCACTGCCAAATGTTTTGACGTCAGCCTTGACATTGATGTGCTGTGTGATACTGCATGATGCTCTGATTGCACTAGAAGACAAGAAGACAAATCAACAGACGATATCGCACCATTTGTGTTTTCCCCAGACGCGTCGTTTTCAGACATCCAGCTAACAAGGTGACTTAATTTGCAAGGCCTTCAAGACATCGAAGAAGCTATTCCCTACATTCGTTTTGAATGTATACTCATAGAGATCTCCGGCATCCACGGCATCCGTTTCCTCTGCGTCGTCAGCCCCTTGGCATTGGAAGGATAGGCGGCCATAACGCTCTCTCACATACCTTTTCAATCGGGAGAATTCACTTTCAATGTCATTGGAGTGAAAGCCCGTTGCACGGTCTCGCCATCCCTGGCTATGGTTCACAGGCGGCGCGGATTTGAACCCAATGTCAGCCAGAGCCGGTGAAGAGGCCTTCCACTTGTCATGCACCACAAATGCTTTTGGGCTAATGCACTTCAAGATGGCCTTTTTCATGCTCTTGATGCCCCTGGGCTTGCCGTCTGGTGCTGTCTTTGGAAGGTCCATAATATGGAAGCTGAACCTTTTGCAACCATTGTCATGAGTGTATCGGGTTGCCTTGTTTCCAACAAGAACAGCAGCAAAGAGCCAACGCCCAGTCCGTTGGTCTTTGGACGTCCCAGCAATGCCTTTGTTGTAGATTGACTTCATCACAGCAGCAGGCCGCTTGCGAGCAGAAGTTGATGAAGAGGCAGCAGGGCGACGAAGACAACTTGCTGGCCGATGGAAAGTTCGAGCAGGCAAACGCTTCACAATACGATCCCTCTGGATCTTGTTGGATTTGTGATGGGTCTTCTTGGTGGTAGCGGCCTTTGATATCCCACGAGGCTGTCCCATGTTCGTCTCATCAAAGACAACGACATCACCAGCTTTAGAGCCTAGCACAAGCTGGCCATACTTCTTGAGGTAAAGTTCGAGAGCATCTTGGTACAATCCCCTCCGCCGCCGCAATGTTTTGGTATCATGGGCACCAAAGGTCTCTTCAATGTCCGTAGTCAGCTTTGTCCAACGGATATTGAGTCTCAGGCCATTGACCAAGTACAAGAAAGCCAGCCAAGAATTGAGCCTCACATTTGAAAGCAAACCCACTGGACAAAGACTAGCTCGAAAGCATTTGTGGCCTCTCACGGAGCATGTCCATTGGAAACGATCCCCAGTCTCTTCCAACTTGACTTTGTGACGAGAATTTGCAGGGCACTTGGAAACCGTTGGAAAGAGCTTCAGTGCTTGGCAAAGAAGCAGCCCTCGCAGACCAAGAGTGTCTTTCAAATGCGTGGGCACCAAACACTGATGAGGTAAACCAATCCGCACAAACACTCTTCTGGAAGGCAGCAATGGAAATTGGTGTGTCCTGACCACCCGTCTGCATGCTCAAAGTAGAGGCAGGTCGCTTAAAGCCAGCAAACATGCCTTTAAGATTTGGCTCTACAGAATAAGCTGATGATAGATTGTCCTTGAACTTCTACTTGAGACAAATATTTCTACAGCAAAAAGCTCACAATCATTTGCAACTGTTTGCAATCAAAAGCATTCACGCACACACAAGGAATTGCATATGAAAGTGTAAGTGCAAGCATGAAGAACGATATTGAGAAGGCAAGTGTTGCACATGTTCGAAGGATGACAAGACATCTTTTTACCTGCCAGAGCACACAAGTTGTGTAGCCTATATTGTACAAAGAGAGGCTGCTGCATACTGTCAACATACCAATGAATTAAGAAAATGAAGCGGCCGAACGGTCACCCATGCATGAAGGTTGCGGCCTCTGCGTCTGCCTCAAAGTCAACCTCCTCTGCATCTGGTGGGCTCTGGGAAGCTTCTTGTAAAGCCATCTCTGCATCCTGAGCGCTGGCTTGGAACTCTGGGAATTTTCTGGTGCAACCATCTCTGCATCCCCAATCTGTGTCTCCACATCTTCATGTACAGAAGTTTTTGCACGTAGACGACGGTCTGGGATCACGAAGCTTCCACGGCGACGACCTGAGGGTTGTGTGCCTATCTTTGGCACAGGCACTGGGACAAAGACCTTTGGAGAATCTTCATCTCCAGTAGATGAGCCCTGAGAAGCAGGGAGATGCTTGGCATGACGAAACAAGAGCTTGTCCTGGAGTTTGTCATTGACCTGCTGGATATACTGCTGGACATTCTCACACTCCGTCATGTGCGCAACACCTTCTTCGACCATGCGTTCTTCGACAAATGCATCTCCACTGCACATAGAATTTGCAGCCTGAAAGGTCACTGGCCGAGGAAGGTATAGAACCTTCAAGATGCTGACCTGACCACCACCGAGATCGTAGTAGAGCAGGTCCACCTTGGAAGCGGTAGGCAGAGGAACTTTGAAGGCAATTGCAGCAGGTAGGTCGGCATGCTTGCCCTTGGCCACAAGTTCACCCAGTTGAGCAGCATCTCCACAGGAAGGAATGTTCAAATGAACATCGAAGAGAAGCTGGATGGATTTGATGCCTTTGGACAAGAGTCGGCATGCCTCAGTGGTGAAAGTTCCATATGGAATCGGATCGGAGCACTCAGTGTGTCCACATGAAGGGGCATCCAAGGCCACCAATTGCTTCTTGTCAACCGCTGCAATGGCAGTGTCCATCAGGGCACCAGACATGGTCAATGAAAGGATCCAAATTACTTTACTTCGTGTGATCCCCACCATGACATTTATACATTTTCTTACTGGCAAATCTTCTGGCATTCTATCTGACATATCTTCTGACATTCTATTTGACATTCTATCTGGCATATCTTCTGGCATATGATCTGGCATATCTTCTGGCATATCTTCTGGCATTCTATCTGGCAAATCTTCTGGCATTCTATCTGGCATTTCTTCTGGCACTCTTTCTGACATATCTTCTGGCATTCTATCTGGCATATCTTCTGGCATATTTTCTGACATATCTTCTGGCATTCTATCTGACATATCTTCTGGCATATATTCTGACATATCTTCTGGCATATCTTCTGGCATATCTTCTGGCATATCTTCTGACATATCTATCTGGCATATTTTCTGGCATTCTATCTGGCAAATCTTCTGGCATTCTATCTGGCATTCTATCTGGCATATCTTCTGGCATATTATCTGGCATTCTATCTGGCATATCTTCTGGCATATATTCTGACATATCTTCTGGCATTCTATCTGGCATTCTCTTTGGCATTCTATCTGGCATATCTTCTGGCATATCTTCTGATTCTTTCTGGCACATTCTTTGTCCCATATCTTCCTACATGAGGTCCGGCAGGGAACACTTGGCGTGGATACTCGCGGTTGAGGTCCGGCAGGGAACACTGGGCGTGGATGGTCGTGGTTGAGGTCCGGCAGGGAACACTGGGCGAGGATGGTCGTGGTTGAGGTCCGGCAGGGAACATTGGGCGTGGATGGTCGTGGTTGAGGTCCGGTAGGGAACACTGGGCGTGGATGGTCGTGGTTGAGGTCCGGCAGAGAACACTGTGGATCGCGGGTCGCAGTTGAGCAAGGACGACGAGGACGACGAGGACGACGAGGACGACGAGGACGACGAGGAGGACGAGGAGGAGGAGGAGAGGAGGCGGAGGAGGAGGAGGAGAAGGAGGAGGAGGAGGAGGAGGAGGCAACTGACATAAAATCTAACAACCCTCACCTGGCAGGTGGGGAAAAAACAGGATGGCAAAGGCTAACTAGTTTGAGAGAACTTGAGCCATGACACGAACAGTGGCATTTATACCTTGAGGCATGACACAGAGAGTTGCATGTGTGAGGCCAATGAATGAACATCAACACATTCTTCAGACGCAACTTTATCAGCCAGAGATATACCGGTTTCTTCAAAACAAAACGGCTATCCTCAATAATTCAGAAACCAGCAATGCTTGGACATAAGAATGATATGTAACAACTACATGTTGCAAAGCAGCTCTACATTTTGCCCATCAAGCCATGTCAGCATGTTCAGCGGCCATCCGCTTGCATGGCACGAAGCTTCGCATGCAATGCCAAGTTTTCCTTCTTGAGTTCCAAGTTCTGCATAGTCAAGCGGTCGCAATCATCCTCAATGCGTTGGTGATAGCCGACTGCATCCGAGAGTTCACCGACCAGGCGTCGCAAATAGGTCTTGGAAGTGCTTGCGGATGGGCACGATGATGCTGACCCCTGCGAAGCCACCGAAGGGGATCGACCACGTCCAACATACTGAGAGGATTTAGAGGCCTTGGAGCTTTTGGAGGTCTTGGAGGTCTTCGATCCTTTGTCTGAGGCATTTGAAGCCTTGGATTTGACAGACTTTTTGGATGCCTTGGATGTCCCTGATGACGATGAGCTCGAAGAGGATGATGAAGATGATTTGGAGCTTCCTTTCGAAGAGGATGTCTTCTTGGGTGGTGACTGGGGCTGACCTTGCAAAGCATCTGACTCTTCATGTGGTTGACCTTGCAAAGCATCTGACTCTTCATGTGGTTTGTCCGTGATGGCCAACTGATGCTTCTTCTTTGGTGGTACCTCATCTTCTTTTGGTGGGGTGAAGCCTCGCTTTGGCCTTGCCAGGAGGCTTCGCAGGCGCTCGTTGGCCTCTTCGGACCATAAGCCTGTTCTAAGCCCGGTAGGAAGACGTAGTTGCTTTTGAACAGTCACCATCGCTTGGGTCATTGTATCTCTTGTGATAGGTCGTCTTGAAGAATGGATCTCCCAGGTCGCCACCATCTCAGGATTTGGCGTCGGCGGTGCAGCCCGAGGAGGAGCGGCAGCATTCATCTGCACAAGCGGTGAGAGGGAGATCATAGCCTCACCATATCTACTTTTCCTTGCACGGCAAGCTCCATGGTGCTTTTGGCCGAAACAGTTTTTTTTCCAACTAATGATCCTTTTTATGAAAATGGCTGCAGACATAGAAGCAAGTCTCCAAGAATGGCAAGACCAAAATCAAGCAGAATAACTCTCAAGAAGCCCGGCTGCAACCCAGGTGCCTGAGAAGCTCGTGCGCATATAGGTGTTCCTGGGCTGAGACGTGGCAGACAAGACATTTAGTGTTTTGAGGTGGATAGGCATGGCAAGTTTTTTTTTTCTATGGGTGGTAGCAGAAAAGATATGCATGAAGAATGAACCAATATGCACATTGTATGTCTCTCAAGTAGCCCGGGTGCAACCCAGGTGCCTGAGAAGCTCGTGCGCATATAGGTGTGATGTCGCAGCATTCCTGGGCTGAGACGTGGCAGACAAGACATTCAGTGTTTTGAGCTGGATAGCCATGCTTTTTTTTTTATATGGGCGGCGGCAGACAAGATATGCACATTTTATGTTCAGAACTTTGCAAACTTTGCAAAGCTTTCTGGATTCAAGATTCTAGGAGAAACTTTTTGAATCCAGCTTCTCTCTAGACTTGACTCCTGGATTCAAGATTCAAGATTCTAGGAGAAACTTTTTGAATCAGAATTATCCTTTCAGACTTCCCTCATCCAGACCCAAGGCTTGGGATTCAAAAAGTTTCCCTCAGAATCTTGAATCTTGAATCTTGAATCCAGAAAACTTTGCAAAGTTTGCAAAGTTTCCTGGATTCAAGATTCAAGATTCTAGGAGAAACTTTTTGAATCCAGATCCCCCTTCTCGACTTACATCTCCTGGATTCAAGATTCAAGATTCTGAGGGAAACTTTTTGAATCCCAAGCCTCCTGGATTCAAGATTCAAGATTCAAGATTTTGAATCAGAATCATCCTTTCAGACTTCCCTCATCCAGACCAAGGCTTGGGATTCAAAAAGTTTCCCTCAGAATCTTGAATCTTGAATCTTGAATCCAGAAAACTTTGCAAAGTTTGCAAAGTTTTCTGTATCCAAGCTTTGAGAATTGTGGTATTTATATATATATATTAAAATGTGTACATGTCTGCATGGGCACTGGGGAATTAAATGAATCAAAGCATATAAACTGTGGTATTTTTATTTATATATATATATATATTAAAATGTGTACATGTCTGCATGGGCACTGGGGAATTAAATGAATCAAAGCATATAAACAAACCAGTTCCAGGGGGCACGGTTATTCCCCAGTACCCAGATATATATATATATATTACAGTGTGTGTGTATAAAATACATAAGTTCATATATATATATATACAGTATATATATACACACTATGTATACATATCCATTATAAATCAATCGTTGGCCTAGGTAGCCTAGTGACAAACCAACTTACATGTTTAGGGGCCTCGTCTTGTCGTAATTACCCTGGTTTTAAGTCCAGAGAAGTTGTGGTCATGCATGCTTGGCTCCCCCTTTTCCAACCCACTCCCATACAACCCATGATAAGCTAACAGTTGTAGGCAAACACCACCATGAGCAAGTACCAATATTGAATGGTTAAGCTCCCAATATTCATACATCGCGGGAGGCTCCGATTATGTCCATTCGGCTATCTACCTATCTAACTATAGATATATCTAGCGTAAGCCATTGTTAGGCTAGATATAAATCCACTTATCTATCACTAATATTCATCAATCAGATAGACCAACAATCAATGTTCGTTCTTTGCTAGTGAAATCACTATGTTTCCCCATTCTCAATGGTTCAACCCAGTCATGCCCTGGCTTTCCCCAAAATGCCTTCGAAAAGCGAAGGCGCAACGCAGCATGGAGAACATCCTCAGCTGATGGCCGTTTCTGGTTGGTGGTGCAATTTCACCATCTTGAAAAATGATGGACTTCGTCAATGGGAAGGATCACATCCCATATATGAAATGAAAAATAATCCAAATGCTTGAAACCACCAACCAGAATGATTAGCTATAACTGAATATTTCTATGGGATTATACATTCACATATACATTCCAAAGATTGGGTTATAAGTACTTACAACTGGTAACATGTGTCAGTGTTTGTTGTAGCATGTGTGGGGCTGGTAGAAGCTAGAATTTCACTAACTTAGCAAACGGTTTTGGGGCACAAGGAAACCCGTTAATCATGGCCAATCTTAGATACCCTGCAAAAGAAAACAACTTAGCTGGTTAGTAAGTAGACAATCCCATTGATACCAAAAGACTAAAGGATTAGTCTCTACCCATCCAGGATTGACCTAGTGGTGTATAAAATCACTACCCTTTTAGCAGGGGGGGACCATATTCACATGTAAGATACATGTTTCAAAGTGTTTTTGAGGGGTGGCCTTGAACATGTCAGCTTACTGTATAGGTTCAAGGCATTATTCCATACCCTTCCCCAAAAACTTCGGGGACGTTCAGCGACCAATAATGCATTAAACAAGAGGGTGGTACCCAAAAATGTATTTTACATTTGGATATGGTCACCCCTATTTTATATATAATAGAAAATCATATTAAAATTGATGATTTAGGGTAAACCCCATATCAGGAAACCTCCATATGGTATTATAAGATAAATTTTCCCGGTTAGAAGTCGCAAACTCATGAGTCTAGGTACATGCTTCCAGGTGAAACTAGATAAAGATACCAACATTTGTCGGAGTAATGTCCCACGTGTTCTTGGTGAAAGTGTTTATTTTTTTTTCGGGTGATCAAATTGAACACTGGTTGGTGGTCTTAACCATCTTGAAAAATATTAGTCAATGGGAAGGATTATCCCATATATTATGGATAATAAAAAATGTTTGAAACCACCAACCAGATATAAGTATAGTTGTAAGATGTTATAAGTACCTCAGGCATCAACCCTCAGTTACAATCAAACTTAGCTATCTCAGGGACCCACCTTCTAGGAAAAAAATATGATCAACGTTGTACTGGTTGGTGGTTGAGCCTGCCCCTCTGAAAAATATGAGTTCGTCAGTTGCGATTATTATTCCCAATAAAAGGAAAAATAGAATTCATGTTCCAAACCACCAAGCAGTTATTGTCTATGACTGACAACTAATTCCAATTGGAAACTACATATGCGATGAGTCAAACTGTCATCCGAGCAGATTGGTTTTCACATTGCTTCCTGGTTTATCCTCCCTGATCCTCATGGCGAAAGATAGATTCAGACACAAGTATTTGGATGAAAAGGTGCCTAGTGGCGGGCCTCTGCGACGCAAAGGCTTGCAAAAGATCTACAATAAGGAGCGAGCCCTGATGAAAAGATTTGAGTTGCTTTGTTTTGACTTGTTATGCATGGTTCTTTCGTACATTGTTTATGCATAAGCTTCTGGTCGACTCCTCATGTCTTGCAAGGGGTCCTGTGTAAAGCTGAGGAAGACAGCGTCAGCGAGATGAAAAGAAGTTGCGCGCTTCAGCAGCTCTAGCTGATGAAACCGAAAACGCAGTCGCTACACGGGATCCTTATGAGGTTCAGGAAATAGCAGAAGAGCCAAAAACTTCACATGGGAACGGTGAAGGTTCTCTTTGTGCTATATGCCTGTTTGCAGCGAAGCAAAAGGGGAACGAAAACATGCACATTCGGAAAGCCTTGACGGAGTCTCAGAAGCGGTACTGGGAAAACAAGGAGTTGGCGAAGCTTACGCATGAGACCTATGCACAGAGCCCCTGAGCTTGCACATATTTGCAAAATAAATGATTGATTTTTTCTGAAGTTGGAAGCGTTGTCAATAAAGGTATCATATGTTAGATTTGCTGTGTTGGGCGCATGGTATGAGAAAGAAAACGATACTGCCTTTGACACTACACCAGTTGAAAGAACAAAAGCGTTCTTAGAGATGAGATCCTACTGCGGGGTGGTGGGAAAAAAGATTGCATTGTCAGCGGGGAAGCATGGTGAAGATACCTTTCATCAGTTTTCAATCAGATTCAATCAATGAATCCAGAATAATCCAGCTGTGCTGCAACAGAAGTGGCTGTACCAAGCTGAGGTCAGCAGCTTCAACCATGCATCCTATACTCTTGCAGGTGCCTTCACGGTCGCTTACATCGCTTTGGGCATGGTACTGTTGGGCTGGGCATGGTACCTCAATGCTTTTCCATTTTAGTGCTGCTACTTAACCTCCAGTGCCTGAAAACAGCTTGCTACTATCTTTCACCGCAGTATTAGACTACTTTTTCCCTAGCAGGCCCTAGCATAATATCCCCCGCGTAATATATCACGATATTGCGCGACCATATTCTGACGTAATATCACCCTGCGCTAGCACCGGCGCCGTCAAGTTGCCGGCGCCGTCCACTTGCCGGCGCCGGCAAAAAGATATTACGCAGTGATATTACGCAGAAAAAAGGTCAGGAAATGGAACAACATCGTCTCTAAAATTCCTGTAACTTATTTTCCTTCGTTTTTCTCACAATCCCTCATGTGAATGATCCACATTGGCTGTGCCAGGTGAAATCCCTGAGTGATGAGCGTTCAACATCTTTTCACCAAACACCAGTGACTCTTGAACTTGTTCCATACCATTCATACTCGTAAAAGTGTGGCATTAACTTGATATATAACTTGATGGTGTTGAACAGCCGGAAGTAGGCACTGGAGCGCAGCGAGTTCAAGCTGGAGAAAACAACGGCCCAGTGGTGCGTCGAGACGCGCCTGAAATGCTGCCAAGTGACGTCATGTTCTATTTTCTATGGTTTTTGCGGTGTTTTTGTGTTTTTTTCATCTGCTTGTGTCATGTCATTTCACGTTTGTTTTTTAAAAATTTTGAGCGAAATTTCCATGGCACCACAGTTTCGCGCATGTCGCACGGGGCTACAGCGAAATGCATCTTTTTAAATGTTGGTTGTAGTTTCGCCACAGTGAAATGGCATTTTTTACCCACATTATTTACTTTTTTTTGGACTTGGATTTTTCACATAGCAGTTACATCGTGTTGCACGGGGCCACAGCGAAATGAAGGTTTTTAGTCTTTTTTGTGTTTTCGTTACAGCGAGGTGCATCTTTTTTTGATTCATGGTATGGCTGATTGCAATTTCACAAACAATGAGTTGTGTGTGTGTGTGTGTTTGAATGGGTTTTCCGCTGAATACGGCATTTGCAAGAGAAGATCTATAGAGCGTAGCATCATGAGCGTGTCAAAGATTGCAAGAGAAGATCTATAGAGCGTAGCATCATGAGCGTGTCGAGGATTGCAAGAGAAGATCTATAGAGCGTAGCATCATGAGCGCGTCAAAGATTGCAAGAGAAGATCTATAGAGCGTAGCATCATGAGCGTGTCAAAGATTGCAAGAGAAGATCTATAGAGCGTAGCATCATGAGCGTGTCGAAACGAAGATGCAACAGCAAGCAGGCGACAGAACGCTATCAAGCCCCCCCCACCCCCCCCCAACCCCCCCCCCCCCCCCCCCCCCATCATGAGCGTGTCGAGGATTGCAAGAGAAGATCTATAGAGCGTAGCATCATGAGCGTGTCGAAACGAAGATGCAACAGGAAGCAGGCGACAGAACGCTATCAAGCCCCCCCCACCCCCCCCCAACCCGAACCCCTCCCCCACCCAACCCGTCAATCCGCGTGACAGGCGTGGAGGCGCACTGCCAAGCAAAAAGCAAAGCTAAAACGCGTCGTTACAGGGTGGAATCACCTTGAAATTCTTGCAGAAATCGATTTCAGTCGATGTCAGCGTTTCTTGTTCTGATAGCCTCTTGCATGTCAGTGCTTCTTGTGATGATGGCCTCTTGCATGTCAGTGTTTCTTGTGATGATTGCATATTTCAATTCCATAAGCCCTGAATGTAAAGTAATAAGCCCTGAATGTAACGAAATCTACTTATCTATATTTATTTCCTGTCTCAGAGACTTGGACACGGGCTTCACAAGCTGCCAGGATGAGTGGTCAGATATATGTGATGCTCAGTGACTGCTTCACTCATGTACAACGCATCACGGCTGGCCAGCGTGAGGCGGTCCGCTGCAAGTTTCTCGGTCGCCAATGTCCGCAAGACCGCCAAGCCATTCGCAAGGCCATGAGCCAATCGTTCTTCCCATAAGGTCCAAAATTCAGCAGGGTCGTCACAAACATACCGCAGGATTGGGCCTTGTTCATCAGCCTGTCCGTAGAACCCTTTTCCACCACAATCAACTGAAGCCTGAAGCAGCCTGTGGCCAGCTAAAGGAAAACACTTTTTTTGGACCTCATCACATTTCTTTTGGACCTGGACACTTTTATTGGACCTTCCTACAATTCTTTTGGAGATGGCTACCTTTCTTTTGGACCTGCACACCCTCCTGCTGGACCTCATCCTTCCCTCCTACTCGACCTGGCCCTTTCCCAAACCATACCCTTTTCGGATAGATTCTACAGTTTCTGTCCAGCCGCGTCTGCATCGCAATTTTTCAGACAGTAGGGCGCTAGAGCTGCGCTAGCATGCAACTGGGCAGGAAGTGGCATGTAGTGTTGTCCTCACAGCTTGGACCGACTTGGACACTCATCCTGGTGAGTTCGTTGCTGCTTGCGAGGGGTATGGCCAGTCTGGGAGCCTTGAACTCCAACCTGTGTGACAGGAATGACAGTTACCCTGGCTGGCGTGCCTGGACGGTAGGGGGCTAGAGCCGCGCTAGCAGCGTCTGTTTCGCAATCCCCAGGATGGGTCATTGGTGAGTTCGTTGCTGCGAGCCTTGACCGCGCTAGCAGCTAGCATGCAACATGGCAGGAAGCCTTTCCTGTACACGGTCTGCTCCCAAACCATACCCCCTTTGGAGAATGATTCTCCAGTTTCTGTCCAGCCGCGTCTTGATCGCAATTCTTCAGGCACAGTTCTTGCATTCATCTTCTTGCTTTCCAGCCGCGTCTACATGTCCATACGTCCTGTGACCGGATACTAACCAACGAGATTACATTGATTTCGATGTCGACTCATGTGGCACCCTCAGCTGCGACCATTCCGCCCAGGGGCATCCCTCGCCGGTACGCTTACACATCTGTCCATGACGGTCTTCGTTGCCTGCAGCCGATGCGGGTTCAATGTCTAGGCTTCACCCGTCAACTCTCAGCAACTTATTGCCCTCATCTTAACTTTCTCTTCCCCCAATGTGCCTTTCAACTTCCGGCATCCATTTGGTTTCATATGTAGGTTTCCCCCCGTTGGCCTCTCCACAACTTCTTGCCTTTATGCTGTTTCAATATCCGAATTTCTCCTGCGCCCACTGCGCCCCAGTGCCTCTCAGCAACTTCCTGCATGCATTTGGTTTCAATATCTCGGCTTCCCCTGTCTCTCAACAACTTCTTGCGCTCATCTGGTTTCAATATCTAATTTTCCCCCCTGTGCCTCTCATCAAACTTCTTTAACTTTCTGCATTCGTTGGGCTTCAATATCTATACCCTCCAGGGAGTGCAGCACCCATCTCCTTGTGACACATTGGGTTTCCCACCTCCTTCCCATTCTGCCATCTTCTTCTCAATTTCTACTCTTCACACCTCTGTGCCCCACTTGGGAGCATTCACCTGGCTTCAATATCTAAACTCCCCCCCCCTTGTGCCTCTCACCAATTTCCTGCATTCATTCGCTTGCTCTCAAAACTTCACCTCTGGCCTCTTAACAACTTTCTGCATGCATCTCAACTTGGTTTCAATGTCTAAGCTTCCCCCCTTGTCTCTCAACAACTTCTTGCGCTCATCTGGTTTCAGTATCTAACTTCCCCCCTGTGCCTCTCATCAAACTTCCTAAACTTCCTGCATTCATTGGGTTTCAATATCTATACTTCCCCCGCAGCCTCCCCATAACTTCTTGCGTTCATTTTGTTTTAAATATCTAAGCTTCCTCCCCGGTGCCCCACAACAACTTCCTGCATTCATCTTGCTTCAATATTCCCGGTGCCCCTGAGCAACTTCCTGCATTCATTTGGTTTTATATCTGATTCCACCGTGGCCTCCTAAAGTCCCCCCCACCTGTGCCTCTCCACAGCTTCCCGCATTCATGCGGTTTCAATATCTCAGCTTCCCCTCGTCTCTCCACAGCTTCTTGCATGCACTGTCATTTGGGTTCAATATATCTAGGCTTCCGCTTCTCGTCTCAGCAACTTCTTGCGTTCATCCTTGTTTCGATGTCTAACTTTCCCCTCTCCCACCTGCCTCTTTCTCACCCATTTTCTGCGGGCACCTGGCTTCAATATCTACATGTTCCCCCGTTTCTCTGAACATCTTCTTGCATGCATCTTGTCTCAATATCTAAATTCCCCCCACCCTCTTCTGGCATTCATTTTCGGGTCCCAAAAATTCCCCCCTGCGTCTCTCAGCATTTTTTTGCATGTATCTTAATGTATCTTCATTTCGTTTCAATGTCTAGGCTTCACCCCTCATCTCTCAACAACTTTTTGCGCTCATCCTGTTTCAATATCGAGCTTTCCCTTTCCCCTATATGCCCGTCAATTTCCTGCATTCATTTCGCTTCATATGTAGACTTCCCCCATTGGCCTCTCCACCACTTCTTACGTATTTATTGTTTCAATACCAGAACTTCCCCGGCATCAACAACTTCTTGCATGCATCTTGTCTCAGTATCTAAATTCCCCCCACCCTGTGCCAGGTCAAAAAAACGTGCGCGGGATCCAGCCCAATGTGAGCGCCTATAACAGTGGAGTTTCCCCCCCACCTATGGAGCCAAGGTCCAGGAAGCAGGTGCACGGGTCCAAAAACAGGAAACCGAGCTCAGAAACAATTAATTTGGCTGTCGAAAAAAAAAACTGGGTCCAGCACAAATACATGCAGGTCCAAAAAAATATCCCCACAGGGTCCAGAATCAGAAAACACACAAGCAAGTCCCCCACATTTTTTTGTGACCCTAGGTCCAAAAAAAAATCTTGTTAGGTCAAAAAAACATGTACAGGTCCAAAAAAAGGGTGCCCAGGTCCAAAAAACATGCATCCCCCAGCTAAATATGTAGGACAATCGTGGAGTGCTTACTTTAGAGCTAGTTGGACGGTCCAAGTGAAGTTGGAATTGCTGACTTATTGGTGAATCCCAGTGATATGGCTTGGTACTGGAGGTACAAAGCTACTATATAATACCGACATGTACTACTTTCTACAGTTATTGCCCTTGATCAGCTATAAATGGTTATAAGTTATACATGGTTACAAATGGTTATAGATGTTTATAAATGGTTTTAAATGCGGTTATCATTCGATAAATGGGATTCAAACAGACTTATAACTGGTAAAGGGCCATAACTGTAGGCTGCTATATATTGCATGAACAAAAACAAGTTGCCGGACAAAAACAAGAACTTCAGGCATTATCTGAGCAAGTGAGGAACCTCACGTTCTGCAAGAATCACTGGAACATCCGGATGGTGAAACAATAACGATACCAGAATACATTTCACGGCAAGCCAAATTTCCCAATCTACCCTCTGATAAACATACAAAAAAACTATTGAAAATTGCAATTTATAGTTGATTTAAACATGGCGGTTTTCCACAGCTATCTTAGTTTCCCAGAGGGTAAATGCAACGGTGTTCCTGAAATGTTCGTCCCCTGCCCCGTCGCCCATTGCAACACCGAGTCACAACTCCAGTGCGACATTTGCCCAGTGCGACTTTCATGGCGTCGATGCGTCGCTTCTTGGATTATGTCTCTGCTTTTGAGTAAGGGCTGAATATATCCAAACCATTGGTTTAAAGATGGTTTAAGGGTAAGTTTGCAGGAAACGATGAAACCAATCTTTACGCTGTGAAACATGTTAAAAACAACGTTTTCCAGTGTGTAGACTGTCCCTTTGAATCTCCCCAATTAGTCAACCAAAATCTGCGTACCACGTTGGGTGACTTCAATTCTCCACAACTTAGATGCGGTGAGTAAAGTTGTTTCAGTTGTCAACCTATAATGCTAACATTTCCATGTTGTCGGAAACACGCATCCATTGACTTAATTACATTTCAAAGAGTTATACGTGTTCTCATGTTTATTTTAACTTTGATAGCTGGTACTAATATGAGAAACCGGATGCTAAGGTAAGATTCAATAAACACCTGGAGTTTCCAGTCACAGCTGTGAACATGATTGAACATAGGTCTGAGTCTGAAAATGAAGATTTCGCCCATAAATTTTATCAAAATAATCATTTCATGGGGAACATGATCACCCCAAAGCCATTTTTTAGAGCCTTTGGTGCCACAGCTACAGGGTGGACCTCCAGTTTTCAGCGAAACCTGGGTGATTTGGGTCACCACCTTGCAGCGATAGACTCTGCCATGATCCTATTGGTTTTTACTTTCACACCATTTATTGGGGGTTATAAATTACTTACAGAAAAATGACCCGAGTTAAACCAGTTATAAGCACAAACAAAACCCCATTTATGGAATGCAAACAATAATGTCCTTTTGGTCAAAATATTTCGGGGCCGGTCTGGTTAATCCCATCTATCATCATTTCCCTGTTGTTATTTCGGGGTTTCTTCAAACCCCTCTATTAACAAACCAAACAATGGGAAAAGGACATCTATGGCTGTTTACCAGCAGAATATGCCCATTTGACACGAGCCTGGAAAAGAGAAATTATACACTGCATTCAAACCCTTAAAACAAACATCAACAACTCTCTGGCCCCAATGACAATCCCCTGAAGTTATAACCATGAACAAGGTGTAATTTGCATATAGCCTAATTTAAGTAATATATAACCAACCATTGCAGGAGTTATAATCCAATGGCCGTAACCGTTCAGGGCCTGTAGAAACCCTGGTTCAGGAGTGGATCTGCTCGAATCTATTTCATGTTTTAAGTCCAAAATCACAAAAGGTGTTTGACTGTTTAATTTATATTTCGGAGGAAAGAACAGGTAATTTCTTCCCGGAAAAATTAACTATTCCCCAGAAACCATGGGAACTGGCTTAGAGTGCCATAACTGTAGAAACCTCCATGGCTAGTTCCGGGGCTTTCCGTCCGCTCGCCTCTTCGGGTTTCATCTGGTCTCCAAAGGTCCGTTTGAAGTAAACCTGGCCATGGCTCGGAACTCAAAATATTAGGCCGGACTGGGTATCCTGCAAAATCAAAATCAGCCGGTTAGCAAAATAGCAAAATAAACAATAATAACTATAGAATATATATGTTGTATCTAAATAATACAGTTGAATTCTATATGTCCGCCGACCCCAGCCGACGGCAAGGGGGAGTTTCTTCTGGCTTCAGAAAGCAATGTTAGGCACCGGCCGTGGCCCAGAGGCCCTTTCCGTCCTTCACTGCCATGCTGCTTGGGTGTTCAGACTTCAAACCTTACGAACAACAACAACAACAACAACAACAACAACAACAACAACAACAACAACACCCAACAACACCCAACAACACCCGACAACACCCAACAACACCCAACAACACCCAACAACACCCAACAACACCCAGCAACACCCAACAACACCCAACAACACCCAACAACACCCAACAACACCCAACAACACCCAACAACACCCAACCACAACAACGAAGACTGTACGCTTAAAGTTATAAGACTTTACAGACTTAGCCTAGATATACAGAAGTTAAAGGATTTATGTTGGAAGTTAGCATGACTTATCAAAAAGATAAAAGGAAGTTATGTTAACTTTAATAGCTTATTTGTAAGTTTTGTCTTAACTTTTCGTAACTTCTGCTAACTTTTTATAACTTCTGCTAACTTTTTATAACTTTTCATAACTTTTTGTAACTTTTTTGTATATTTTTATACTTTTGAAAGTCTTTGCCTTGGTTTCCGACCACGTGGATTTTATAACTGTCTTGTTTCTGAAAGAACTTTCAGATATGATATCCTTTTTTTGAATCGACGAAGTGATGTGAAAGCGTTTCAGTTATGTATGTTTCAGGAATCATGACACCTGAGGCGATATGTTTTTTTTGTGATATCTCTGTCTGTATTTTTGGATCTGGAAATAAGTTTAGTTGCAACTGAACTATAGCGGAACTATAGCGGAACTATAGTGGAACTATAGCGGAACCATAGCGGAACTATAGCGGAACTATAGCGGAACTATAGCGGAACTATAGCGGAACTATAGCGGAACTATAGCGGAACTATAGCGGAACTATAGCGGAACTATAGCGGAACTATAGCGGAACTATAGCGGAACTATAGGAACTATAGCGGAACTATAGCGGAACTATAGCGGAACTATAGTGGAACTATAGCGGAACTATAGCGGAACTATGGCGGAACTATAGCTGAACTATAGCTGAACTATAGCTGAACTATAGCTGAACTATAGCTATCTAGGTACATTTATAGGGGAAAGGTATCAAATCGACGAATTTCCTTTTCAGAAACTGTCTTCTCAGACCGAATCCTTCTCAGGAATTGTCATTTCAAACTCTTTCCTTTGCAGGAACTGTCTTCTCAGACCGGATCCTTCTCAGGAACTGTCTTCTCAGAAAATTTGCCTGCGAACAACATCGTTTCCACAAACAGAAAGATTGTTTCACCCTGTATAAATGTTGACAAGCTTTGTCACAAACTTAATGAAACTCTCGAAAAATGTAAAATAAATAAACATTTTCATTGCCCTCTTGTAAACATATTTTTAACTTTATGTACCTTTATACTAACTTTTTGTAACTTTTTATAACTTTTTATAACTTTTGTTAACTTTCAGATAACTTATGATAACTTTTCCTACATACTTATGTTAAGTCTGTTAACATAGTTATAAAAAGAAAACATGCAGTTAAGATACTTACGATAAGTTCATTAACCATTTATATTTTACCTAAACATTTACAACTTCTCGTAGCCGGCTAGCTAAACTTACAAATTACTTATCAAATGTTATGACACTTTACATACTTGCAAGCAGGTTATAGACATGTTGTAGAAGGTTTATATACATGTTGTAACTCGTCCAAATCTGTAAACTCATATAACTTCCAGCGTACAGTCTTCGAACGACAACAACAACGACAACCACAACCACAACAACATCAACATCAACAACAACAACAAGAACAACAACAACAACAGCAACAACAGCAACACCCAACAACACCCAACAACACCCAACAACACCCAACAACACCCAACAACACCCAACAACACCCAACAACACCCAACAACACCCAACAACAACAACAACGACAACGACAACGACAACGACAGCGACAGCGACAACGACAACGACAACGACAACGACAACGACAACGGCAACGACAACGACAACGATAACGACAACGACAACGACAACAACGACCAACAACAACCAACGACAACCAACGACAACCAACGACAACCAAGAACAACCAAGGACAACCAACGACAACCAACAACATCCAACGACAACCAACAACAACAACAACCAACAACAACAACAACCAACAACAACAACCAACAACAACCAACAACAACCAACAACAACCAACAACAACCACCACAACCACCACCACCACCACAACAACAACAACAACAATAACACCAACACCAAGACCAACACCACCACCACCAACAACAACAACGACAACAACAACAACAACAACAACGACAACCACAACGACAACGACAACGACAACGACAACGACAACAACAACAACAACAGCAACAGCAACAGCAACAGCAACAGCAACAACAACAACGACAACGACAACGACAACAACAACAACACCAACAGCAACAGCAACAGCAACAACAACAACAACAAAAAAACAAAACAACACCAACACCAACACCAACAACAACAAAAACAACACCAACAACACCAAAAACACCAACAACACCAACAACACCACCACCACCAACAACAACAACAACAGCAACAACAACAACAACAACACCAACACCAACACCAACACCAACACCACCAACACCACCACCACCACCAACAACAACAACACCAACACCAACACCAACACCAACACCAACAACAACAACAACAACAACAACAACAGCAACAGCAACAGCAACAGCAACAGCAACAGCAACAACAACAACAAAAACAAGAACAAGAACAAGAACAAGAACAAGAACAAGAACAACAACAAACACAACCACAACCACAACCACAACCACAACCACAACCACAACCACCACCACGACAACGACAACGACAACAACAACGACGACAACAACAACAACAACAACAAGAAGAAGAAGAAGCAGCACAAAAATGCGACAAAAATATATGTGGTAAAATGGTTGCAAGCTGCGGTATGACAAGAACATGACACTGTGCTCTGGACCTGCGCGCGCAGAGCACATGAACAACACCAACGCTCACACTACTATACATAACCCTTATGGCATCGCCGGTGTGCTTTACAATACATGTATATATATATATATATATATGTTCCCAGTTGTAGTAAAAGATTCAAGAATTCAACGATCACAAATCCTAACCCAGTTGCGACTGAATGTGGGTTCAAGGTCAACCTCAACATTCAAATCCACTTGTGAAAGATCCATTAATGGGTCCCATATTTGGCAGGCGCGGCTGTCACCTGCGACTCCGAAAATTTGTCACTTGCAGCTCCGCGTCACTTACATCTTATATATGTCAGCGTTCCATGGCACTTGCAAACCAAGAATGGCACGCAAACACTGGCACACATACCAGGGGTGGGGTGGGGTGGGATGTTAACGTTCCCTGGCACTTGCAAAGCAGGCTGGTAGCCATGGGCGAGATCGGAGCTACATCACCACAGCCTGACTGTCCAAGGACCACGGGATACCATTCAGTGATATAAAATGTGCAATATTACCCTGGTAAACTAACATAGCTATTGAAAATCACCATTTTTAATGGGAAAATCAACTATAAATGGCAATTTTCAATAGCTATGTTAAATTACCAGAGGGTACAAAATATAGGGGAAAGCTAAACGCCCAAAACACAAGGGAATAGCTACAACCATCTGCACGGTACCCATGAAAAACTCACGATAACCATCAATTGGAGAAAACATAAACATGATAAACACCACCTGGACGCAACATCGCAGCGACTTCCCAAAAATTCTCCCCCACCTGTCGGACGCACATTTCATTGAAACGCATTGACATCCACAACTCAGAGTAGATATGAAGGTTTCCTAAAATGTGGGTACCCCAATAGCTGGATGGTTTATAATGGAAAATCCTATTCAAATGGAAAACCACCATATTGACATAGTTACGTGTACTTTAGTTTAGCCAACTTCTAATTAGGGGTCACCAGCTTGCAAATACTTAATGGGATAGCGACAGGCAACTTTGTCATTTCTTGCGGCCACGGATTTGGGGGAGTACAGTATCTAATGGGTGCCCTTTCTTTTGTTGTGTTTTTCATGTTTGATGTTTTTTGTTGATGCAATTCAGTTTTGTTTTCAGTTTGGGGCAGTTTTCCTTCCTATATATTTGCTGCATTTTGGAGCTCAAGCATGCAATTTGCTGCATTTTGGAGCTTACCATTTTCTCATGGATTCTGACATGGTTTTATTGACGTTTACATAGTCTCCGTTGATTGTTTATATTGTGTCCATCGTTGTTCTGTTGTTCTTTTTTAAATGCTCTTCATTGATTTTAAACACACATGGCTTTCATCAATGTTCCCATGGTGTTCATTGATTTGTACCTGTTTTTCATCGATTCTTTACACGGTGTTTATTGTTTTTCACATGATTTTGCTGTTGGTGTTTACATGGTTTTCATTTCTTCTAACTTGGCGTTCATTGATTTCTGCATGTTTTTCCTTATTGTTGCAATGGTTTTCGTTGATTTTCATGTGTTCAGTGGAAGTCCACTCGGCTCCTGAAATATCATTGGGCCGCCCTGATCTGCCTGCGCACTTGGCAAGCCAATCTGTATCTCCAAAACTTAGGTGTTCATTAATATTTCATTGATGTACAATGTGGTCCCCCCAGTTATAAGTTGGTTTATAAGTAATTATCATAAACAATAGCTATTGGATATAAACCAACTTGGCTACCTAGGGGGCCCCACTTCTGGTTACCGTTAGATTACAGTTAGTCAGGGTTGGTTTAGGGTCTGTTTAGGTTTTAAGGGTTCTTTTAGCTGGATTAGGGTTTATTTAGGGATACACGATGTGCACAAAAGCAACTATAAACATGTAGATGTAAATATATATATATATGTATACTATACGTATGTGGTTATATGTACATATATATATATATGAGATGTATATATATATATAGAGAGAGAGATAGAGAAATGTATTTACAAGTGTGGAAACTTGGATTCAAACAAACAAGTTGGAGGGGGGATTGGGGGGAGGGCTCAGGCGCAGCTACTGCACAACATGCATCTTGTGAACATATAGAATGTAAGTTGAGGCAGAACCACGGTGCAAAAGTTTCATTGGATGTTGTCATAATGCTGGTTTCACTGTTTTTTACGGCTTGGTTTAAGGTTTATTTAGGGTTGGTTTTGGGTTTATTCAGGGTTGAATGAGGTCTATTTAGGGTCGCTTTAAGGTTTCTTGGTTGGTTTAGGGTTTATTTAGGGATACAACATGTACGAGTACATATAAAATCATATAAACAACTATAATTATGTGGATGTATATACAGACAGACATCAGAGAGTACAGGAATGATACGCAGCAAGCAGGCTGCGAACTGCAAGTCGTCCTCCAGCACCACTGCCTGCGGGAAACATCTCCCAGCTTCAAAGTGCTGCTGATCTCTGTCTAAGCACAAAGGGAGTCCAGCATCAGCATCAAATCCACGATTAACCAGATTCGCTGCACAAATCTCGCAACACGAATTTTTCAGTGGAGCAGAGTGTGCAGTGCAAGAAACAGAGCAAAAGGCTCTAAGTACCTGGACCTAATACGAACCACAAGTTCATACCGTACACGTTATATGAATATATATATATATAACTATATTAGTGTTATTATTGTTGTTATTATTACTATTATTACTAGTATCACCATTATTACTATTATTACTATTAATACTTTTATTACTATTATTACTGTTATGACTATTATTACTATTATTATTATTATCATTATCATTATTATTATATATATATATATATTATAACAATCGACGTGACCCAAGTCCAAGTGTCGCATCCTTTCAGTTTTTTTCAAGGGTACTCTTCGCGGTACATTTCCAGAGCGCAAACGAATCAACCAAAGTCCAGATCTATCATGGCTTATTCACATTTTACCCATGAACATTGTGGGATTTACATACGATTGCAGGTTGTACACCAATTTCAGACGCGCTCTGTATAGAACTTTCAAGAGACAACAAGATCAACAAGGTCAGTCAACCCATTTTTTTGGTCGTGATGTTTGGCAAAACTACCGCCGGAGCTGGACGGAAATACCTGGCATTCTGATGATCAAATCTGGGAATTAGATGGATTTAACATTTATCCATCTATGTATATTTAAAAATTAGACAATTGCAATTTGACCAACTTTGTCTATGTTTGTTTGCCCTCCATTAGACAAAACATGACAAGTTGCTATGTTTACCCGGTGCAAATGTTCAGCTGCCAGCGTGCCTGGTAAATGGAGGTCCCAAGTGCTGCAAACAGGGAAAGTGCTGCACCTAAAATCCTGCGTGAATCGTCCCGCTAGGATCCTCAGTTATAACTGGCGTGGGTTTTCCTAATCCCATTGAAGTAATATCATGTAATATCTATAAATATATATATATATACACATATCCTTAGTCGCAAGAGTTCAAGTTTTTGGTTTATGATTGTTAATGGTCAGAAGTGCACGGCTCAGGTACGTAACCATTGATCGTTCATGGTTAAATACCCTGGGATGGATCCTCCAATGATGCCTGGATGGGTCTACGGCATAGCCTTAAGGTCTGGTGGCGGTAACATTGGGAAAACAATGAGTAAATTAGTGTTGGTACGCATGATTTTGAAGACGAACGCATCATATTATGATAATATATATATATATATATATGTCATCCCATTTCCGCCAGAAATCATATGAAAATCATTGTACTTGATGCATAACAACATAACATGACCCCCCCTATTCCTGAAGATTGTCAGATGATTTTTCAGATTCTAAGATGTCCTGGAACTCCAAAAAGACTTTCGGATTTTTTTGTTTTACCATCTGGTTATTTAACAGTTCGCCATGGAAAATCCCTGAAATAAATGGAGGTCTGGGAACATCATCTATTTCGATTAGGGCCATGACTTCCATGACGAACTGTTAAATAACCGAGGACCGAGGGTATATCTTTTTATTTTTTTTAAAGCTCATCATTCCTAAATTCAGTCACAACTCCTGGAACTTCCCAAATTGCGTTGCGTCCTGGAACTTCGAGTTGGGCCATCACCTGCGGCGACATGTTATATGTAGATGTAAAGGTTGCTGTAGATTCACCCTATTGACAACATGGTTATATATATAATATGTAACATACTATGTGATTTCATTGCCTTAAGAGACCTTGTGATATTGGAGTGATGTTTACCACAGCTATCCTGTCAGGGAGCTGAGTCACCATTTTGCTCAGTTGTTTGATGGTTTTATCGACCTTGGGAATTGTTCCATGGCTCAGCTCTTTCCCAATGCCTGAGTCATGCCACGGCTCTGTGATGAGAAGCACTCCCACCTGGGTTTTGTGCTGCGAAGCTTCGACCGTCAAGGTCTTTGGGGTTCAAACAACGCAAAGTTGGGGCGTTTCCCATCAAACCTCAAAGATATTCTTGTTGTTGGAGTTCGTCAGTTGGGATGATTGTTCCCAATATATGGAAAGTCATAAAATTCCATGTTCCAGTCACCACCAACCAGATAGGTTTAGATTCAATCCATTGACTAGTTCGTTACTAGTTCGTTATATCATGCTATATATATACTATATCTCTCAGTCTCTCCCCACAACCAACCACCAACCAGTCAAAGATATTTGGATAGCACCATCGATTTCCCGTTCGGGAAACTCCCTTCAGAAGCATCAGGATTTCTGGGTAGCTTTTGCCATGTTTCATATGATTGTTAACCATTATCAACCATATGATTAACCGTATGATTAACCATATGATTAACCATATGGTTCATTACTAACTATTAATATTATCAACCATATGATTAACCATATGATTAACCATATGCTAAACCATATGCTTAACCATATGCTTAACCATATGATTAACCATATGATTAACCATTATTAACCATTCATATGGGCTGTTTCCTGCATGTTTCTCCACCAATCCAATGATTTCATCGAGGACATAATGTTTACTCCACTTCCAGGTTCTTTAGGTAAACTAATCCTACGCAAGCACCGCCTATAAAAAGGTAGACAAAATTCGCGCCAGTCGCAACATGGATTTGCTTGGAAGAATTGCAGGATTCACCATTGTTCTTGGCTGGTAAATGGCTTTTTCCCAAAATATCCCCCGTAAAAACCAGCGAACATTCCCATATGAATCCAACGTTGGGAAAACATGACATTAATTTGGAATCGAAGTCTTAAGTTTATCTCACGCAATAGTAGATACCCTCTGGTAATTTAACGTAGCTATTGAACATGGGCCATAGAAATAGTGGATTTACCCATTAATAATGGTGATTTTCCATAGTTATATTAAATTACCAGAGGGTACTCCTTCAAACAGATATTGTTTTTTTGCAAAAGGTTGACAAAACAACCAAACCATTCAACTAGGATTGTCCATATGAATGCTGTTTCGGACAATTTCTGGAGGAATTTGTAATGCCAATCTGTACTTGGTCAAAGGGTTTGATGACTCTTTAGGTAGGTCGTGAGTAATGGCCAACGACCAACTCAACAAAAGCCACCATTGTGAAGGTCATCTATCACTGTGGAACTGGTTTAAAAAGGTCATCAATCATTGTGACGGGTCATCAACTTCAAAGCACTTGTTTAATGGTGGAAAATTCAAGTTTGAGGACAATAACAGTGTCACGCGAAAGATCCATAAATGTTGGCGATGACTATCATGGAACTAGAGTGATTACAAGTATGATGCTATGTGTGAATATCATGATGACATCACAAAACCCTGATTTCTCAAATCATTGCCAAAATAACAAAAATGATAATACCAATGATGACGGTGACGATGTTGATGACGATGACCGTGACGATGACAATGCCGATGACCATGACGACGATGATCATGATGATTATTATTATCATTATTATGAATGTGTGGTCCTTGTCTTTCTGATGTTGTTGTCTTGGTGGCCGTTTGTCGATGGTGGTGACACGTTGTAAACCCGATAAGTTGGGATATAACCCCAAATCCAATCACTATGGCTACCCTCTAGTAATGAAAAAAACACTTTGCGAACTTAAACATGGCCCATAGAAATAGTTGATTTACCAATTACCCTCTGGTTCTTTAACATAGCCGTGCAAAATCACCATGTTTAAGTTCGGTAAACCATCTATTTCTATGGGCCATCTATACCATGGCTATGTTAAATAGCCAGATGGTATAGTTTTTTTGTAGGCTATGCCCATAGAAACAGTTGATTTACCGAACATTTCAAGATGCAAAAATGTCCACTGCGGCTCCAGGCCACCGACAGTGTCACACTCAACGCCTCGAGTGGCGAGTGGCATGAAAAATGGAGGTTTCGTAAGTCATGGGGTTAGTGGTTGGTGGCTGGTGGTAGATTGACTAATAATTGAAGATATTCATCCAAATAATGACTGGTTGGTGGTGCAATGTGCCCATCTTGAAAAATCATGGAGTTCGTCAATGGGAAGGATGACATCCCATATATGAAATGGAAAATAAAAAATGTTCCAAACGACCAACCAGAATGAGTTAGTATTGAAATGATCCAAAACAAGTTACTTAGTAGTTAGCATTGAAATTATACATGTTTTTCGTAGATACAGTACATTCAATGTGTGTACAGATTGATGCGTAAAGCTGAAATGCAAAGGATTTTGAGCCTGAAGAGGGGAAATAGTGTCAAGATAAAATATTGGCTTGGATTGTCGCCACTGACGGAACAACAAGGTACGTTTTGCCTGGCGTGTTGACGTGGCGCTGCGCCCTGTCGCCAGTAAGAAATCCTCGAAATGCCCAGCCACAACCAACGCGATTTTGCTCCACGCAGCGTCTCGCAACTCTTCCGGCCACGAATTCGTCGGCATGACCGGCTGGGCTGTTGCCTCTGCGCTGTACATCAGCTCCATATTTTGCGGCAAAGCCGGCAAAATGTGGTAGGACAGTATGCTGAGAAACTCCCAATGACCGTGCGTAAATCGAAGTTCCCAGATGCGGCGAAGCCGTGAGCCAACATTGCGCATCCACGTTCGGATTGTCGAGACGGTTGTCGCTACCACAAGTGTGCCACAATGCAATAGCAAACTTTTCCCAATCCGGCTGCTCCTTTTGCTTCGTCCGTAAGTGACGCTGCTGGAGTTTGGCTGCGATTGTTGGCAATGGATCGCATGCAATCATTGCAGTATGTTTGACGCTGGCTCTGTTTTTGGCAGTTTGGCCGGACTGCCCCATTTTCCAATGAGTTTCACCTCAATTTCAGCTGATTTAGGCCCCAAGATAATCGAAGGAAGTTTAGAAGTCAAACTTCCGACAATATGGAAAGATGAAAAGCAGAGCAGGGAAGAGGCAGAGAGAAGAGGAAGATTAGAAGAAAGAAGAGTAGAAGTCAAAATGTACAAAGCACACCATTGTCGGACCACTTTTGGAAGTTGAGATGTCGAAAAAGTGCACGCCGTTGTGGCGCGAAGCACATTTGGAAGTCAAAATGTACAAAACACCACATGTTCGCGCCACTTTTGGAGGTTCGGATGTTGAAAAAGTGCACGTCGTTGTGGCGCGGAGCACATTTCGAAGTCAAAATGTACAAAACACCACATGTTCGCGCCAGTTTTGGAGGTTCGGATGTTGAAAAAGTGCACGTCGTTGTGGCGCGAAACACATTTCGAAGTCAAAATGTACAAAACACCACATGTTCGCGCCACTTTTGGAGTTTCGGATGTTGAAAAAACGTCGTTGTGGCGCGAAGCACATTTCGAAGTCAACATGTACAAAACACCACATGTTCGCGCCACTTTTGGAGTTTCGGATGTTGACAAAGTGCACGTCGTTGTGGCGCGAAGCACATTTCGAAGTCAAAATGCACAAAACACCACATGTTCGCGCCACTTTTGGAGGTTCAGATGTCGTCGCTTCACTACACTACACTACACTCCACTACACTACACTACATTACACAACTCTACAACTACAACTACACAACTACACTCCACTACACTCCACTACACTAAATAACACTACACTACACTACACTACACTACACTACACTACACTACACTACACTACATTACGCTACACTACGCTCCACTACACTACACTACATTACGCTACACTACCTTCCACTACACTTCACTACATTACACTACACTACACTCCACTACACTACAACTACAACTACGACTACGACTACGACTACACAACTACACTCCACTACACGAAATTTCAATACACTACACTACATTACACTACACTACATTCTACTACACTCCACTACACTACACTACATTACACTACACTACATTACACTGAATGACACTGCACCACAGATAGACAGGTAGACAGATAGATAGATAGATAGACAGATAGATAGATAGATACACAGAAGATAGGCTGGTAGTTAAGTAGATAGTCAGAAAAAGAGAGAGAAAGACAGGAGACCTCAAGCACCTTTCGGTCCATCAGTGGATTCGCTCTGCCATCCCTGATTCACAACAGCCAATCTCTCCTATGGGTTTCCTATTTTTGAAACTTCCGCCACCGCCTTGTGCGGTACTACTGGAATATATAATTACAGAAAATATCCTCCGAAATGGGTCTCCAATTCATGAATAAACCCAATACCGTACCAAAGTTTCTAAAGGAATTCGATAGAAAGAGGAAGGGCTTATTCTCACGCCATCCACCTATCCCTTGGTCTAAAGTAGGGGACCACACATGGTTGGCTAGATGTTCCATGACACGTGACACATTCTTTCCACAGCCAATCATCCAATCTTGGATACCCTGAAACATCAACTGGTAATATAGTACATGTACGTATATCAAGTAAATTGCAAAATACAAATGTTGTACTAAACTAACTACCCTTCACCCGGTGGTTTACAAAACTTTCTTTTTGGGTTTTCAAATGTCCTTTGAGATCGCCCGCAGCGCACCTTGCCACTCCATAAGGAAGAGCAAACCTGGAGTCAGTCCCCTGTGACTTGGAGAAACCTAGTCCTCAGGGTCAAAATGAATCACGCCGCATGTCAACCGTGGACCAATAAAGCATAATAGACCTCCAGACTATTTAATTGGCGGGGGTATAATAGTAGATTATCACACCATTGCGGGATATCCCCTAGCTGACTAGTCCGAGATTGACATTGCAGATGCTTTGATCCCTAACTATCCCTAACTACTGTATCCACTGTATCCCCAACTAATCAACCAGGGTTTATCAATCCCAGATTGACATTGCAGATACGATGTCAATGCAGTTGCGAAGACGTGAAATTCCATGCCATTCCAGTTGCGCCAGGTTCGAATCATTGGTCACGAAGGGGCATTCCATGAGGAATTCCATGAGGTACTGTACCATATAAGGCCATATTTTGTGGGGATATTCCCTTACATAGGCCTTATTTATGGTAGGTACCTTCAATTTAGGTTCCTAAAATGGCCATTGATGTCTTGCAATTGTTGGAACTATGTGTGGCTATGTCATAGGATTGCAAAAGATCATTTCATTGGTGCCTGAAAACACTGGTTAAACATGCCACACTTAGTGGATTATTTCAATAAACAACCCCACGGATCAGGGAGCAATCATGTGGTACAATGTGAGGTCCCCAAGATAGCTAAGTTGGTTAACATAACTCCAATAACTAGGGTTTATGGTACTTATAACTATAGTTACTGGGGCTTATAAACCAACTAACATCACTGGGGGGCCTCACATTGTAAGAGATCTTAAGCCATCAAAGCCATGGTCATTTGCTCCCAAAACGTGCCGGGACTTGTTTTTTTTGCCAATCACAGCTCGTCCCAAGCAAAATGGCACCAAAGATAATCTTCCTTTACTGGTTGGTGGTATACCTACCCCTCTGAAAAATGATGGAGTTCGTCAGTTGGGATCATGACATTCCCAATAAATATAGAAAGTCATTTAAAAAAAAAAAATGTTCCAAACCAACCAGTTTAAATCAAACCTGCTGAACCTTTATAAAGGCTCATCCATCAATCTCACCCTGGATATTCACCGCCCAATGGGAGCCAATGTCAAGGGGATGCTGGCACCACTGGCACCATGGTGACGTTGCCATTTTCATGCAGATCACACGCAGCGGAGAGTTTGTATCATAAATTTCACCTTGCATCGGATTCAAAAACATCATTTTAAGTGGTGATTTCTGATTGTATCACTTGAAAAATGTGTGTCTGAAAATGGTGTATATCCCCAGCCATCTTAAAAGGAAAACATGATCCAATGGGTTTAGGGCCTCATGGCCTCATGGGGCTATATTTTCAGACCCAAAATAAGGTCTGGTTGGTGGTTGACCTACCCCCCTGAAAAATATGAGTTCGTCAGATTGGAGAAAATCATCCCAACTATTGGGGAAAATAAAAAATGTTCCAAACCACCAATCAGAGGTGGTTAAGTTACCCTGCGCATCTTGCCCGGGACTGCCACGAAAAACCGCCTGACTCGAAACGTCGCCGGCTGGTCCAAATGGCCTCCCTGGCAACACGACGACCGACCGGACGTTGACTGGATCTGCGTTTTTGGCCCTGGAAAAAATCATCCATTTACAGATATATTTTCCAGCTATTGGGGTATCCCCATTTATGGAACCCCCCAGAAAAAGGCCCTATAGATTCCAGTCCTTTTAGGAAAATCAAGAATCACCGTGAGCAAAACCAGGTCAATATGCAATTTCGAACAGAAAGCCTCGAAGAACAGCAGCCAGATATTGCTCTCTTTCCAGTTATGGGAAAAAATCATCCATTTACAGATAGATTTTCCAGCTATTGGGGTATCCCCATTTATGGAACCCCCCAGAAAAAGGCCCTATAGATTCCAGTCCTTTTAGGAAAATCAAGAATCACCGTGAGCAAAACCAGGTCAATATGCAATTTCGAACAGAAAGTCTCGAAGAACAGCAGCCAGATATTGCTCTCTTTCCAGCTCTGCCCTGATAAGGGAAAACATGGCCACACATGAAACATACTTGAGTGCTGGTGACTGGAATACCATGTCGAATTCATTGTGAAAGATGGCAGTGACCCCTTTACTAAGCAACCACGCAGCAGCAAATCTGCAAAGTGGGGTACCCAAGAAAGGTAAGGAGGTTGGTCTTTGGCTACAAGATCTAGGATCTGTGAATATGTATTGGATGAAGTCATGGATTGGCCATCTATCCCTATTTCAGGATGGATTAACCATATTAAATCTTAAATCAAACCATATCAAAGCACAAAGGGTGTCATCATTTTTTGTGGTTCAACACATCAGCAAACCACATGGCGAATCTTAGATACCCAACAAAAAAACATACAAACTTGTTAGCTGGTTAGTAGATATTCATATATATATTCATATATATATATATGAATACAGCACAATAAAAGGATTAACCTACTATTCAATCTTAAACGATCACGATCATGAATCAATATCTGCAGATCCAGCTGAGTGGGACGCATCGACGAGTGCCGCGGCCTTCTGGAAGGAAGAGGCTCTGCAGCAATAAGGTGAAGACCTGCGGGTTTAATGATTCTGCGAAAAGAAATCCGGAGTTCAACGGAACCAGCTTCTTGTTGATTAATATAATATATATATATATATATACATATAATGTACAATAATGTGATTATATGATTATATATATATATATGGTTAAACATTGTTAAAATCACACATTTTCCTTGGGGTGCAACCCTGAGCAATAACAAATTAATGGCCCTTTGGATTGGGGGTCCCAACCAGCATCGACACCTTTGTGCAGTCATGAATTTCGATGGCGCCCCTGCGTTCATCAACCAAGGCGATAAATCGCTTTATTGGGCTGGAATCTGGAGATACCCTCTGGTAAACATACAAAAAGCTATTGAAAATGGTCATAGAAATAGTTGATTTACCCATCGAAAATGGTGGATCTTTCCATAGTTATGTTAGTTCAAAGCTTCCCCATCCCAAACATGGATATTTTTGGGATGTCTTGGAGAACAGTCTGTTCGGAAACCGTTTGCCGCCAATCATTTTCAAGGTGCAATTGGTTTGACCTAAGCGCAACCCACTCTACGGTATGGGACTAGAATGGCGAACCTTTCCTGCTTCAAGGAAGACTCTCTGCCAAACCAACATCACGAAATCCCTGATTCTAAGATATTCTAAGCATCTAGTTTCGATACATGTTTCTTCCCATTGTATCAGAAATCGGACATCATGGCCATCATCAAACACCGGCTCCGAGTCATCGTGCCTTGACATAACGCTGAAACCCCAAAACAATACAGGGCCAGATATGAGCCCCATGTGCTCCATGGCGCTGGTATATTTACCTACAAAACTGGGTGATTTTGTGGCATATGTAGATAAATATACCATACATGGAGCACATGGGAGCATCCAGAAGTTCAATGCTTTATTCATGTCCAGTCCAACGAATCAAGTACTCCGTAACACAAACTGGTTAGTATATATATATATAACCTTGACCTTCCAACCACAAGGTTTAACGTTGTGGTTAGTCTAACCCCATGTCTTTACTTAACCCCATCATTTCACTGCCTATCACTACTGCCTTCCGAAGAGCAGAGGCAGAATCTTTGATTGCATCAAGAATGCAGAATAGACAATACCGGCCTTTAAGGAGTTCCAAAAAGTTCCCTTCCCTTCAGCTTGCCATTACTGAATCCTAAAGATAGTATCCATGAAGCACATGCTCCATTAAAAAAAAAGGTAGGGCGCAAAGTGTCACACCAGATCTTCGATTTTGCAAAAACTTTAGTCAAACCATTATTTGAGTCTTGCCCCCCAGTTTTTTGATGGTGTTCACGGGTTTTTCACGGTCGTTTCACGCACTTTTCACGTTATTTTCACGCACTTTTCACACTTCAAAATGGACCAAACAAATCGTTCAGAAAAAGAATGCTTCAGATTTTGCCATTTGCAAATGGATCTGACCTCTGGGCAGATTCGCGTTTTTCCTCTTATACCGCCTTTCCACCCACTCTTCATAGCAGTACTTCTGCCCAAACTGCTTTGGGACTGAGCCAACACGGTTAGTCCATGTTAGTCCACTCTCTGGATGTGAAACAGTTTGTGGCTAGATAGAACTGATTTTCTGCAGTCATCTAAAGACAAGGTTTAACGTTGTGGTTAGTAACCCCACAGTTAAACGTTGTGGAGGAAGGTCAGGGTAATGTGGGTGAAACAATCATAAACCATCCCCCAATCACCAATTTTAGAAGTAATACAAGCCATTCCCAAATGGGTGGTTTATGATTGTTTTACCCACATTAGTAGATTCTCCCGTTCATGGCAAGAAAGTATCAAGAATGTACAATCTATTGCTTTCGTAGTTGCCTTAGCCCTAGGCTTCACCCGGGGCTTTTGCGCTTTCGGCTCTGCTCGAAGTCGACGTTTTGGCGCAGCAGATTGCATTGGTCTGAGTAGCATTTGTTGTACTTGCCCCTCCAAGGCTAACGTCTGATCAATCATCAGGAGCAGTTCTTCGACTTTTGCAAGTCGTCGAGCCACCGCCACAATTGCCTGTCCCCGTATTCATAGGCGGGGCCTGCGCCATTAAGGGCCCCACCTGTTGGATGGGTTCGGATCCGGTCTGGGAATTGCATTCAGAACTTGGTCGCAAAGTTGGCGGACATCTGCACATCTGCACGAATGCAAAGAAGCTCCACAGCTGATTCTTCACTTGGGCCGGGCGAGAGCCTAGCCTGGAGCTCTCTGGCGCCTCGGCACGCAGCAGTGTCAACGAATGTGGGATCCACCCATGACTGGTCGTAGTAAACCATGATCCCTTAGTGATCCCTTAAGTTCGAGGTATAGCTAATTTTTGCTAATTTCATGTTGGAGATATTTGGAGCTTGTTTATTATTGGGTGTACCAGATTAATAAAACATAATATAAATGAATAGTGTCAGAGACTGAAAAGAACATTTCCAGCTTCAGCCGAAACCTATCAGATGTCAGCCACTTTTCACCACGTTTACCCCATCATCGCCGCCAATTGCGCACCGGATTGCTACTAAAAATGGCCGTGTTCAGAGAAGCTGGAAGATAATGTAACGCCTCAGCGCAGAGCTCGATAGAGCTCGTCCGCCACAGAAAGGTCAATGCCCAACAGAAATCTTAAATGGCTGTGGAACATATCAATATATCATGCCCTATGGATCCAAACACTGTCTGAGAAGGTACTTAACCCTCCAAATTATAGTAAATTATACCCCAAACACTTCCTAAGAAGGTACTTGGATCCATAGGGATGTGTTTTTTGGCTTTGAGATAATCCATTTTTTTATGGTAGTTCCTGATAGTTCCTGGTAGTTCCATGTTTTGTAGACATCATGTCTCAGCCAAAACCATGGTTATTTCAATAGCCGCGACACATTGGGTCACATTGGGTCACGTCGGGAACTGCCTTTCAATGTGAAACCGTGGACAGGTATGACATACCCCTCTGAAAAATATGAGTCAATGGGAAGAGTTATCCCGTATATGGTTAATGATGATGGTTACCCTATGGTTATCTAACATAGCCATGGAAAATGGCCCATCTATAGATGGTTTACCTATTAAAAATGGTGATTGTCCATGGCTATGTTAAATAACCAGAGGGTAATATTAATGGTTATTATATGGTTAATGATGGTTAATCATAATCTGGTTGGTGGTTGGTTGAGCCCTACCCCTCTGAAAAATCATGGAATGAGTGAAAGTCAGTTGGGATGACATGACATTCCCAACTCTTTATGGAAAGTCATAAAATTCCATGGTTCCAGTCACCACCAACCAGTGATTATGAACCATTATTAACGATCATTACCCCATATTAAGCCAACCAAATGGCTGTTTATAGATGGTTTACCTATTAAAAATGGTGATTTTCCAGTCACCACCAACCAGATATTACATCATGACATGCCAGAGATGATCATATCCAACATTGAGAGATCCGAAATGATCCGAAGAACATGCCAATGCGGAAGCCGGGGCAACAACCAGGCAGAAAGTAGCCTGGAAAAACCAACATGCTAACCTGGCTGCCAGGGGCCTTGGAAAACCTAGAGATGTACCAAAACACGGCTATCCTGGGTAACCCTGCCAAAACACAGTTTATTCTTAGATGGGCATGTCATGTTTCTCCATTTTGTAGCTACAAAGTGATGTCCATCTTATAGGTTGTTATATGTTGGTTCAATATAGCCATCTATAGCCATCTAACTATACTTACAATCACATACAATCATTTTCAGTTTGTTCTATACAAACCAACTTAGCTCACGAAGGCACCACCTTGTAGAAATTACCTGCAGCTGGGCTGCACCTGTAGAAACATGGGTTGCACAGAAGTTCTCGCAGTGCTGCATTGAAAAACCGCCAACGCGTCACATGACATTGATTGACCGACCCATTTGGCTCATGATGTCGCAGCAATTCGGTCAGGGCCACTCGGCAAGGCGAAGCCCCTCGTCAATGGTAGCAACTGGGACCATCGTCAACCATCCAGCCCCTCTGGTTCGCATCGTGCCATGAACACTCATTAGAAGATATTGCAACGAGAAGATATGGATATTGGCAACCCAACACGGGTAAGACAAGTTCAGTAACACCAAATTTAGGAAAGCAATCGTGAGAGAAGATGCATTGAGCTGACAGGCTTACATGTTGCTGAGAGATTGGAGATTGGAATGCGTTCGACCACAAACACCTGTGATGCTGGCAAAATCTGGGGATTCTCGCGAAGGAAAATTCACGAAAACGCATGAAACTGCTACATCAGCTACATCCAAAAGTGATCCATGTTCATGAGGTATTCATTCCCCACCTGCCAGGTGATGGTTGTTAGATTTTATCAGAGCTGTTCTCCTCCTCCTCCTCCTCCTCGGCTAGCTGTCCTCCTCCTCCTCCTACTCCTCGTCCTCCTCCTCCTCCCCCTCTAGTTTCTCCTCGACCATGTCTGCATCAACTTCCACCTCCACTTCCGCCTTGCCAACTCTTCGCCAAGCTCTTTGCCAACTCTCTTCGCCAAGCTCTTTGCCAACTTCCCAGCTCAGTGCACTGGGACCTCAACCTGGGACCTGCCAGCTCAGTGTGCACCGCTGGACCTCAAGCTCAGTGTGCACCGCTGGACCTCAACCAGGGACCGTCTCAGCTCAGTGTGCACCGCTGGACCTCAACCTGGGACCTGCCCAGCCCAGTGTGCACCGCTGGACCTCACCTGGGATTTGCCCAGCGCAGTGTGCACCGCTGGACCTCAACCGGGGACCTCCCCAGCTCAGTGTGCACTGCTGGACCTCAACGGGCAGATAGAATGCCAGAAGATATGCCAGATAGAATGTCAGATGGAATGCCAGAAGATATGCCAGATAGAATGCCAGAAGATATACCAGAATGCCAGAAGATATGCCAGATAGAATGAGAGAAGGTATGCCAAATAGAATGCCAGATAAAATATCAGATAGACTGCCACAAGATATGCCAGATAGAATGCCAGAAGATTTGCCAGATAATATGCCAGACAGAATGCCAGATAGAATGCCATAAGATATGCCAGAACATCTGCCAGAAGGTATGCCAGATAGAATGCCAGAAGACATGCCAGAAGATATATCAGAATATATGCCAGAAGATATGCCAGATAGAATGCCGGATCGAATGCCAGAAGATATGTCAGATAGAATGCCAGAAGATTTGCCAGTAACAAATCGATAAATGTCATGGTGGGGATCACTAAGTAAAGCAATTTCATTGTTCAAGGCATTTCAAATTTCAAGATGCAGTTTTGTTGTGTTCAACTGCCTTTGAAAAAGGTCATGTTTTCATATGTTTTCCATGCTGCCAACTTCTACACGGGTGAGGTGCTGAGGCTCCCAACTGCTATATACGAGAAGTTGGTGGTCAACGCAATAAACTCAGCGAGACGCAAGGCTCCATTTGGATGTGTACCCAAAATTCAGTGGTTTATACTCCAGAAAAAACACACAGAACTGAGAACATTCAGGACATCACTGGGGTTATATGATAATCATGGTTACCCTGACCCTCTGGTAAACATACAAAAAGCTATTGGAAATTTCCATTTAGTTGATTTACCCAGCTATAAAATGGTGATTTTCCATACTTTTTTGTATGTTTACCAGGCCGGGTTTATCACCAGCTTTAACAATTCGTGGCACCCGCCAGCCTGCCTGGATTTCTCTGCGACTTAGCCTTTTTTGTTGCAACCAAAAAACCGTGATTCGCCAACATGTAGCATGGCGCCCAACAATAGATTAGCCCAACAATAGATGCAACATATACCCTCTGGTTATGACTAACAGTTCGCCATGGTATAGATGGCCCATAGAAATAGATGGTTTACCGAACTTAAAAATGGGGATTTTCTATAGCTACGTTAAATAACCAGAGGGTAATATTAGATGTGTAGCCCAACAATAATATCATACATTGCGAGTCTTGTTTTTTTTTGTGGGTATCTTTGAGTTTTGAGAAGCGCATGGTGCCCAACCAAACTGCTGCTAGTGAGCAAATGTGCAAGCTGGAAGGGTACATTGGTAGAAAGCAATTGGTAGGAAGCCGAACATCAAGTCATGCAGAACCTTTAAACATTGAGCTAAGAATGAGTGGATGTAAAAATCGTTGGAATCACAGAAAGGCCCCACACCAACAGATTCAATCCCAAGTCTATTGATTTTGTTTGGCCTCAGGACCTTTCGAAACAGTTTTGCCAGACTCTGCCTCCACCTTGACCATTGTCAAAATCAGATCACCCCTACCCCGGGAAGTTTGAAAAGTGGTCACTGCGGAAGATTTCTGTCGACTCCACTTTTGGGTCAACCACTCCATTGAAAAATGACTAGTCAATGCCATTGACAATGGATCAAAATTGGGTAAGTTCCAACATAGGTGCCACATTATTATGTTCCAACATAGGTTCCAACATAGGCGCCATTGCCAACATAGGTTCCAACATGTCGTTCTGGTGTGGATCATTTCCTTCTACCTCCGCCCGGACTGCCATGAATGCCAGGGTGCTAAAAAGCGAGGAGGTTGCGATGCCTGGCAGGGTCCAAATGCAGACCTACGGTCTGTTTGCATCTGTTGCTTGTTTGGAGATTGGCCACCCATCTCACAAACATACGATATAACGGAAATCAGGTGATATCAGGTGGATATAGTTTCTAACTGAACATAACTTACATATTGTAATCATCTATAACCAACAACATGATTAGGACTAAAACATCTGAACTAGGTCATTGAGGATCAGAATATATGAATATATTATATATTATTATATTATATATATATACATATTCAATATACCGCTTCATCCTAAGAAAATGATCTTCCATGCCCCAAAAGTTTGCACCAGCTGAGAGGCACACATCAGGAGAGGTCAGTAGTATTTGGGGGACTCGTCTCCTAAATTGGCTGTTTTGAATTCCATGTGCGAAATCAGGATGTGGTCATGAAAACGTACTAGTTCTGGTGTGGCTCAGATGGATTTGCCTAAAAATGGTGTATTATTTATATATATATATAATTATATGTTCTCCCAAAATAGCAATGTGGGAAAATAATGGTGAACAAGGGATACCCTGTTCTGAGACAAACACAGATATCTCCAAGACATTCCAAGACCGAGCTGATGGCTTGAACCTTTCTGAGAAATCAGGATTCCAGGTGAGAAGAGATAAATTCCACACATTTTTTTGTTGGCAAATGATCCCCATGTGTTCCTTCTGAACGCCCCAAGTTCTGGGACTTTCAAGCTTCCTCAGAAGAAAGGCGAATCTACCCTTGGGAAAAAACACCATCAGCCATTCAAACCGCTGATCTTTTATTGTTGATTGATACAGTATATATATATATATTATATAGTGGGTTATCAGCCAATGGTTACTCTGTTAATTTTTAAACAGCTGGTGATATTCCAACTTCCATCAAGAATCGATGAAATCTCGAACAGAAAGTGTCGCTTGTGAGAACTTGAACTCATGAAGATATGTCCGCCAAGAAGACTGCAGACCGAACTTTCAAGGTCCCCGTTAAAAAATGCTTGAGTAACTTAAGAACGAGATTCCCATCGATAATCATCATCCATGATCAACCAGCCAGGGCATCAATGATATATCCGCACATCATTTGATAGTCAAAACTTCATTTAAACACATATAACATATCCTGCTAAATGATGATTCAGTCCCTGTGGAGAACACAAACTAACCATTCACCGTCCTCATCATGTATCATTTTCTAATGCATTTATATACAGTATCTAGATCCACAAAAAAAACAATCTATATATATATATATTTCCATAGTTTGATACGTAAAATCCCTATCCCTATCCTTATCAAACCACTCATTCGTCCATAAAACACAACGATCGCCTGAAAGGCCTCCGTCTTTAGGAGATCACAGGACATCGCTCCATCTGCCGTCGATGGAAGCTGTGGAAAAAGAAAACGGTTCCGATGGCCCTGGAAATGTGATGTTTGTTGGTTTATGGCCCGAGTGGCCCGAGTTATACCAGTTATAAGTTATAAGTATTTACAACACCCCATTTATAGAATGTATAATCCCATCTGTTATATAATGTTATATCTGTTTGTTGGTATACCTACCCCTCTAAAAATATGAGTTCGTCAGTTGGGAAGGATTATTCCATATATATATATTATATATAATATACGGATTTGTTTAAAAAAAAACACCAACCAGTGATGTTTGTTGGTTTATCACATGAAATCTAGTGCGATATATCAACCTGTCACGTGTTGGCTCTCCCGCACTTCTCTAAGCTGCTGTGCCGATGTTTGACGGCTGCTGTTGGATTCCGATTGCATTGCGTCCCCATCGGCTATATCTACCATACAATTACGTAATAGTTACAGCAGAGTTCCTTGCACTTGCGACTTCACTCACTGGGGAACAACCGAACATATCTAACTAAGCAACTTGGATGTGCGATCCAGGAACCCAACTTAAACCCTAAAAAACACATCTTCCCTTCATCGATTCCCGATGTGTGGATTTCCCCAAGTGCTCAAGTTCTCAAGCTGTCGAACTAAGATGTTCCCAGCCAGAAGTAAAAGGTCGGATGCTTTGGTGAAAAAATCTGAAGCATTTCCGACATGTCTTTTGGTTCCCTTTTGGGAATATCATATGAACCACAATCAAAACCAAACAAAGACGCTGAAAAGAACATGAAAATCAATGAACATCATGTCAACCTCCACCCCCCAACAGTTTTGGAAATCTGGGCTTTGTCCAAGATCGCCATTTGGGGCGTAGCGTAGCACATCATCAAGTACCCACCCTGCATCACACTTCAATCCGATACCATGGTGTGATCCGATTTTCCCTACGTGATGCCTCCGTGTTGAGGTAGTTGACTGCATCTTCATACGGAGTCAAATCAGGAACGTAATCACGACCGTAGGTCACGCCACCAAATCCATAGCCGCCATGGAATTCACATCCGTTGGTGGGGATGATCCTCAGGAACTCATCGGAGTCCGATGCATCACCACTTCCCTTCATGATGGCTTCGCGCACCACACAGGTATATGGCCCTGAACAGTTTTGCATGGGCAACTCAGGTTATCTATATATATATATTACTTGAATGGGGTTATAAGCTAATTATAAGGCTCAAAATGCATCGTAATTTAAATCTCAAGTTGAAATTTGGAATGCCCACTCATTCCCATGATATCCCACCACAAATTCCCTCTTTTTTTCATTACATTAAAATACCTATTTTACAGTACCAAAAGGGTGTGCTAAGGTTTGAAACATGGATTGTTTTCCCAAGGGATTGATCATCCATGCAGTCAAAGATTTACATGCCATACACCCATATAAACCCATCATGTTTTTTAGACAAATCCCATATGAGTTTGATGACCATAACCATCCATAAGCCATGTGCCATGTATGTAGTTTGACCATGGCAACTACAAGGGATCTCTCCGCACCGGTGTACCTCCTAAGTCTTTGCGCTGCTTGGCGCGCCTAGCGATGACGTCGGAGGTGTTTTTTTTTATGTTTAATGGCCGTTCTGGGCCGTTCAGGGGTAACTTTCACCATCGAAAGAACATACACTTATGGCCCGGCCTAGTCAGTTGTGGCCATGGGATGAAATAGCTCCAGCAACTGTTTGGTTCTATATCACTTATAGGAGCTTATAAGCCAGTTGTAGCTGTTAAGGGCCATAGCTGTATGGCAATTAAACATCAGGGGCCTTCACCTCACTGACATGTTTCTGGGTTTAGTTTCAGCCATTCAATCGCAATGTATCCACCATTAACTGAACAGTCTTCAGTGGAACCAACTTATCTAAATAATTATACGTATATATCTCTTTGGGCCATTGTACAAGGTCTCCGGTTGCGTCCTGGTTCCAACCATCCCGGTCAAATCTTTTCTCCCAGTGGAGATGGAAAAAACACGTGCATGGAGCCGCACAAAAACCGGTTCAAAATGTTGCATGATTACACCTCTAAGCCCTCAATGAAAACATCAACATGGAAGCTATTCTACCCCCTACACTACCCGTACGTTTCACCGGTTCTGCTAAGGTTCCACAGCCCCTTTGATCTCACAAAAAAAAAGCGACCAAGTGTTGCACATAAAAAGGTGCCTTACCCTCTAGTAGCCAACTAAATGGTTCTACAGCAAACTCTTACTTTGGAAGCTCAAAGGTCCTGTTTAAAAATGCTTCCCTTTTAGCTAACCAGCTCCATCCAGTTCCACATAGCCCCTGCAAGGTGATGGAGTTTAGAGGTATCTGCAGTATCCCGATTTCAGAGAAATCTACCCCATACAAGGTGGTGCTCCGTAGTTACCCTCTGGTAATGACTAACAGTTTGCTATTGAAAATTGCCCATAGAAAATAGTTGATGTACCTATTAAAGATTGTTATGTTCCATAGCTATGTTAGTTTACCAGAGGGTAGCTAACTTGTTGTAATTAACTCCAATTTCACTTGGGTTTATGGTAGATATACCTATACTTAATAACCTAACTTATAACTGGGGGGGCACCACCTTGTACATCAGGTTTTCAATAGCCATTTCAGGACCTAACTTGGAGGTACCGAACCAAAAAAAATTGCCTATGTAAGGGCTAAATGTGATGGAATATCACCACAAACTGGTTGGTGCTTTCAACCCCTCTGAAAAATATGAAAGTCAATGGGAAGGATGACATCCCATATATGAAATGGAAAATAATCCAGTCATGTTCCAGTCACCACCAACCAGCAAAATATGGCCAAACATATGGTACTAACGTCGCTCCAAAATATCGATGCATCCCATGTGGAAACAAGTTCAAAGATGTGAAAAAAGTGGGGCCCCGAAATACGATAGATAAGTTGGTGAACATAACTTCTATAACTCCAATTTCAGTATGGTTTATGATATTTATAGCTATATACAGCTAAACATAGCTATATCTATAGCTATATCTATAGCTATATCTATAGCTATATCTATAGCTATATCTATAGCTATATCTATAGCTGAATATAGCTACTGTATATAAATATATATATATATCGTATATATGGGGTGAATCTAAGCCAACAAACATCACGGGGGCCACAAAATGTAACCCACCTAGCCATCGCCCGTTCCGATCCGTTCCGCCTTGCCATGTAGGGCAAGGCTAAAAACAGCCATGCTGTGGCATTTGCCCAGGTGACCAAGGGTACCACCTGTCAAGCGCTGCGATTTTCTGAGAAAACAACAAACATATATGGCTTCACTGTTCAAAGCCAGAATTCACATAATCACTTTTAGATATATACTGTGTATAGACATATGTATCATTATGTATCTAGGATATATATATATATATATTGTAAATGCTGAACTGTTCAATTTTTGTTTGAGTCTTTTTTTGTGAGCGTATTGATAAGCTTAGATATATCCCTTCAAACCGTCACTATGTTGGATCTGCCTTTATTCCAACCTCTGAAAACCAACGGCCAAGTTTAGAAACAACTGAAACACAGGTGCCAAATCTCTGAATCTGCAACCTGTCTCTTCAGACCTGCGGGTAGCGACTCCGATCGCTACTCCTTCCCTCCAGGTGTCAACGGTGTCAAGGTCAGGATGTGTCGGCTCCGGCGGTCTCAGCCATCCAAGTGACTCGGCTTCCGGGAGTGCTGAAGAGCAGCGCGTAATTAGTGCAGCACGTCCTTGACATGCTGTCTCTTTCTTAAAGGGTTGTGTGATCTTTGACTTAATCACCTGACAGTGTACAAAATGACTTCTTATTCGACAACAATCGACTGCAAATCGAAATACACTTGGTTTGCTTAAGGCTGCTTAAGGCAGGAAAAAATGTCTGATTCCCATTTGATTCCCAAAGTAAAGTAACTAAATATCCAAATGATCCAAGCATTCCCATCAGCCTTGCTGACCCGGATGTAGGTCAATATACCATACAGGGAGCATATGGGATAAGGTATTCAGTAGCATATTTGCAATATATGTATCCCCGTTTCAGGACAGCTAAGCCGTATCAAACCATAGATTATAGCACATGTTTTGGTTGAACACCCTATGAATATCTATAAATAATTCCTTCCCCCTAATATAAGAGAGGGGAGTGCTGTGAGCGCCAAATTTGTGCATTCTTGATTCTTTTTTGTGATCCCTAAAATGTATTAAAATGTTGTTTTTCAGCGCTCACAACACCGCTTTCTGAATAGGAATTACCAAAATTCTGTGGTCCCAAATCTGTGTAAATCCCTCAGGGAGACACATGCTGGGCAGCCCGGGCAGAGTGATGCTGCAGCTGAAGAGTTTCTACCTGTGCCAGCGGACATAAAACGCCCCCATCAAATATATCTATATGTATCGATTATATATAGAACATATATATATATATATATATGTAATACAATCTACTAGCAATACATAGCATGATATAGCATCATATAGCATCATATAGTATATATATAATATATTATAATATCAATTATATAGATAATATCAAGTGTGCACGTCGTTTCACATTTTTTTAAAGTGGATGGTTCGACATTTGGGGATCCATCAATTTTTTTTGCTGGTGACATGTTGCGCGCATCTTCTTTTTGCAAGAAGTTATCATCATTATATCATCATTAATGGTAAAACTAACAATTCAATTCATAGCCTCTGGCAAGCATTCACACTTCGCGAACTGGAAGCCATGGCCCAGCCGAAATAGTTGATTTACCCAGCTATTGGCTATGGTGGATCTGTCCATATAGTTGCTATTAAAAAAAAAAACATGTTACTCTCTGGTAAACTAACATAGCTATGGAAAATCACCATGCTATTAATGGGTAAATCCACTATGAATGGCTCTGTTCAATAGCTTTTTGTATGTTTACCAGGCCGGGTACTCTCCGGTAATCCATGGCCATGGAAATCCCCGAACTGGGAAGATCATCGAACTCAATGGCTAAAACTAAGTTACTGCAAACCACACGTTTTCACCAAACAAATGATAAATCACGTCACATCCACTCATATTCTTCCTCAGCTATATCTCCATGATATCCCCATATCATCATTAAATCCCGTGGTTTTCCACCAAAAATGACCAACCTTTCAAAGCCCTTCCGCCTCAGCAGCACGTGCGAGCTGGGCCACCTCGGTCATCAGTGAACTACCATGCGGATGGTTGAATTAAATTCATCTGATGAATGGTAGTACTGACCTGATAAAATTAACTGTTGATAGCAACAAGCTGATATTTTCACCAATTTAAATTGTTGCTTTAAATGATAGCTTTCTGGATGAAACAGTTAAAAACGCATCAGATGAATTTAAATTGGTATACTTCAATTCATAGATCTGTTTGAATCCAATGATCATAGTTTGATAGCTTTCCAAGTTGGTGGGCTAACCGTGAAAAACATATGATGCAATCGTTGAAACTGAACACCATCATCGGCCCCAAAAATCCAACAATTTGCGGACAGCTAAACAGGTTCCTGGTTGGTGGTGCAATAACCATCTTGAAAAAATGGGAAGGATGACATCCCATAAAAATGAAATGGAAAATTATGGAAAATAAAATTCCATGGTTTGAAACCACCAAGCAGGTTCAGTTCATTTCATCCTAGGATTTTCCCATCGCATTCCGCCCCAAACATCCCATTGCCAGTGTGAAAATGGGATCGTGGGATGTCCATCAACCTGGCAATGGTGGCACTTATGGTCTATGGGAGGTACCGATTCCATATATGTTTGGCCTATGTTTTAGGCCTATGTAAATGAATATCACCACAACATATGGCCAAACATATGGTACTAACGTACATATGGTACGTTTACGTACCTCCATTAGTTCGGATCCTGGAGATCTCCCATTGACTAACTTATCGTCATGATATAAATTTAAACTCACCTCACGAATAATGATTTTCGATGACCCTTAAACGTTGCACTCAGGAGATCATTAGACCCATATCATCACTTTTCTCGACAGTCTAATGATATCCCTGGCATAGACCATGATCAGATTCTGAAAATTAGTCGTAGATGCCAAAATTAAAAAACGGTTAAGTTGAGGACTACGAAGGTACGGTTATTTATATTTATACCGTACCCTGGGGTCCCAGAAAGATACATAGAATGATGCAAATATAAATAACCTCTTCCGGAGCCCCAGAAGGGTATCTATTACGGTATATGTGTAATTATGTACTGTATACAAATATGCAATAGATATCATGCCAGCGCCAGAAATTATAGAACAGAAAAAATAATTACAGTATAGAACAGAAACAATAATGATGGAACAGGATCCGAATCCGCGCGGAATCGGATCCGGAGGAGTACGAAGGTGCGGTATTTTACCGTACTTTTGTACTCCTAATTTCGTCCTATAATTCTGGCACCTCCTGTACCCTCTGGTAATTTAACATAACTATGGAAAATCACAATTTTTAATGGGAAAAATCACTATAAATGGCCATTTTCAATAGCAACTACATTCATCGATGATATGAAAGTTTGGGCAAAACGTGAGAACATTGGCATGTTGCAGTCAGCTTTGGCGGAAACGGTCGAATTCGATCGCCTTACTGGACAACTTATCAGCGAGGAAAAAACAACTGTTGTAAGTAGACGCGAAAAACAAAGAAGGCGCTTTCTCAGCCAAGTAGGTCGTACCTACAAGTCCAAATCAAATGCCAAAAGCCTCGGCAACGTCCACAGAGCAGACAAAAAGAGGGCAGCTGTGACACAAGATCAAAGGGCCAACAAAGCAGTAGCTACTTTGCAGAAAATTGCGCAACTACCTCTTTGCAACACCCAAAAAGCTCTACACATCAAAACCAATGCCCACCCCCAATGGTTGCATGGCACTGAATTCCAAATTCCGTCAAAGCGAGCCTTGGCACGCCTTAGGACATATGTGGTAAAAAAATTTTGCGAACAGGCTGAAGCGTATCAGGTCCCCGTGGTTGTTTCTTGCTACATATGAGGACGTCTTTATTGACCCTTTTGCTGCTTTGGCAAAGCAACTTTTAGTTAAAATCAGAGCGCTTGCGTGGACGCACCCTGAACTAGCCACAAAGGTACTAAAAGAAGCGGCCCTTGTCCAAAGAACAGTTGAGCAAACCAATAATGGTCTTGCTGCTGTGCTGGCATTTGTGTGCAACTCGTTGGGCTGGACATTGAACTCAGAAGAGCCGTTCTACATAACCACTACCCCGCAAGGCAATGGCTTCTGTATCAAGGGAGGGAGCAAATCTTTCCTTGTCGACGAACTGGACCATGCCTGTCGAATTTTTTTATTAAATCAGGTGCCCGAGCGACATGATTTTTTCGATGATCTGGATTCCATTGACGTTTTCCTGACTCGATTTCTTCATGATTCGTCATTTGCAACTAAGGATGACATGGAATTACTCGAACCTTTCTTGCGGGATTTCCCAAAAGATATTCAAAGAGTTAGGGCAATCCTCCAAAAGTTATGGTCGGGACAGATTTTTACATCCGTGAGGTGCAAGGCGGCCGGGTTAACTGCGTCCGACAAATGTTTTGCATGTGGGGAACGTGAAGACCACTTACATTTGTTTGTTTAAGCAATGTCCATTCTATGCCCAAACCAGGCCGCCAGATGTTTTTCAACGTTCTACATGGTGTACTGGTATATTCCCCCGAAGCCAAATTTATCGTGAATGGGCCCAAGAACAAAAGGATTTACCGGTACTACCCCCTGAAATGTTTTGTGCTTGTACCTCTGATCCAGTTTTTATAGATGGATCGGCCTTTGCAAACAAATGGCAGCCACTTCGGACTGCTGCGTCGGCTTTCTGGTCAGCTTCTCATGAGTGGAATGCGGTTCTCCCGGGATGTGACCAAAGCTCTCAGAGAGCTGAGATTTATGCCCTTCTGTATTGCTTGGCCTTTTTTAGGGGTGATCTTACAGTATATACCGATTGCATGAATGTCTTGAATGGATTTAACCGCTTGGTGGGTTGTCATTTTTCACCGTCAGTGCTGGGTCAGTTAGACAATGCTGATTTATGGGAAAAGATGGGGCAGGTCCTTGCTCGACGGCAAGGGACGATTTCACTTCGAAAAGTCAAAGCCCACGTGTCTAACCATGCGCAGCAATGCCAGTACCTAACTGAAGGAAATTCCCGCGCAGATGCGTTAGCCAAGTCCAGCGCCAAAGAGAAACTCCGAGTTAAAATTTCTTGCTTTCGCGATCTCATTTCCCAGGCAGTTGGGCTACAAGTTCATTTGGTCACTACTCTGATGTCACGAACTGAACATTTCGCGCACGATGATCTGGAGCGTTTCAATTCCCCCCGTATACGGACTGCGATGTCGTGCTCTTGTGTACCCCTACGTCGCGTGCGGTCAAAAATTTCAGCGTGCACAGGCGCGTGCCGCGTTTTTTCGGAGGTGATCAGACCTGGCTCAGTAGAAACTTCTTTCCTTGACATTTTAAGCAGTGGCAACCCGATCCCTGAAAATCTTAGGCAAACACTCGCAATTCATTACATCAAATTTCATAGGTTGCGCAGTCTTCCCAGGGTCTTGGGGCCAGTTGGAAGATTGCATGACTTTTCGTCTGTCACATCTGGTCGTAACAGGATCTCCCAACTTGCCGCAAGAACTCTGGCTGGCTACCTTTCTGCTCCTCACTGGTTTGTCCCAGTGAGGGGGGCCACGGCTGAAGAAAGAGTCTCATGGATAGAACTAAGTCTAGATTTTGTTGCGACCCATGGTTGGCAGCCCGGGTGGATTCACAGTGAACTAACCCTTGGTAAGTTAGCTAGACGTTTTCAAGTTTTCGTTGTGAGACTCTTGAAAGCAAATCGTATCCCAATTCGTGCAATATCATCGCTGCATTTGTCCGAATTTGGTTTCAATCGCGTGGCTAGCATCTATCTTCATAAGAAGTTCGTGTTCCCTGATAAAGTATTGGCCTTTCTGCTCCAGTGTTCCCGGTCTAATCCTGGCGAGTGGTTAGATCCTACTCAGAAGAAACATGTCGCTTTGTATTGGAAACCTTCCTTCGACGTTTTGTTGTGACTGCTCAAAGTTCACAATCTCCTGCATGTTGACCTGTCCTAATTCAACGTATCGATGATAACGTCTCCAGATGTTGGATGCATCATTCTGACACTCTGGCTGGATTGATCCCGTGCGGAACCTCATATGGCTGGAAAAAATAGCTTTTTGTATGTTTACCAGAGGGTATCATGTGACCAAAAAAAACGAATGGCGTAGACGAATTGCTGGTCAGTTGGGATCATCCCCAAGCCGAAGGGATTTCAGCGGTCTCTGAACAATATTTCAAACCACAAGGTGGTGCCCCAGTTCGGAATCGCTAAGTTGGTGAACATAGCTCCAATTTCACTATGGTTTATAGGTGTTATATCAAATATCATCAAATATCATCAAATATCTATGGTGTTCATGGGATTTTTTGATTTAACACTGTTAATTTAACACTATCAAGAAGACCGAGGGCATTGACAAGGAGTGCCTCATTTGAGTCTACAAATCGTACCACAACACATGAGGCGCCCGTGCAGCCACCAATCAAAAAATATGTTGTGGTAAAATTCCACACTTCGCTGTTCAAAAAATTCTACAACCACCGGTACACTGATCAAAAAAAACACAGATCTAAAATCAGGAACAGGTTGATATCCTGGCCGCTGTTTATTGCAGTTGATATATATATATATATACATGAGTGGCGGACAAAATTACTTAAAACTCGCAATGGACCTGGCTAAAGTGGGTGGTCCCGTATCGGTTGGTTCTGACGCAAATTTGAACATGCCAAGTCCACTCCCTACTAGTTTAGTTTTCCGCTAATTTTGTCGGTTGCTCATGTATCAACTTGACTATCAGCAGATATCCCAACTATCACTTCCCACTTTCTTTGTTTTGTTTATAACTCCAGATGTAAAGGGGGCTGGCAGATACAACTACAGTATCAATCCCCATTCTATGTTGATACGAAAGTATCAGCAGTATCTTTTATAAATGTTTGGAAACACTTTTAAATATCTAGTTACTTTCCATATCTCAAACATATTGATAGTTGACATATCGACATTAACATTAACATAACCAACTATATTTAACACTATATATAAATGTTGATAACAATAACCAATTATATCAAACCAACTATATACAAGTATATATATAAGTATATATATACACATGTTGATACTTAACTTACTTAACCAACTATCTTTCACCAACCATAATGCTTAACATATGTTAACACTAACATTAAACCAACCAGTTGTCATCCCACTCTCAGCGTTTGAGCCAAGCCACAGAGACCCAGGAGGCTGCGATGGCAAAGAGGAGCAAACTGCTCTCAATCAACGCCACCTGCCGTTTCGCGAGTTCCGGCAACGGCCGTTTAGGTCGATTTACCAAAAAAAAAGGTCAGAAGGACCAAACAAAAAAGGAAATTCTAGATTTTTCTGGTAGATTGTTTTTATGTGTTCCTTATGTGTTCCTTATGTGTTCCTTGTGATTGTAGATTGTCGATTCATCCATTTAGAATGAATTTCTGTTGATTCAACCATCAAACATTCAGGAACCTGGGGATGGATCGTTGGTTTATCTATGTTTATCTGCTTCATGAGAGTCAAGTTGGATTATTTGCCTCGCTAAATTGCTGGGCTTATGTTAGTTATAACAATAGTATTCATGCACTTTATAAATCAACAAACCAAACTGGGGAACACCAGCTTGTGAATATGCCATTCTTTGAGTTCGATATGAGCTAATGAAACTGCGAACGCGAACTTTTTCGCAAGAGATGGAACAACACCCTTTTTTCTGTTTTGTTTCTTCATTTTTCCTTTCTTTGGGGACCTCTATATGTCTGAGAGGTTACAACTAATCAATGGCCATTTCAGGAACCTAAATTGGAGGTACCTACCATATATATAAGGCCTAAGTAAGGGAATATCCCCACAAAATATGGCCTTATATGGTACAGTACCTCCATTTTAGGATCCTGCGATTCCCATTGAACTAATCCCATCTTGCGTTTTTGAGACACGTTTTTGTTCAGAAAAACTTTGCAGGCGGATCTGCCCTGGGTGAAGGAACACGTCTTTTTGAGCAGTTCATACGCCTGGTGGTGCCCCGCAGTTGTAGCTTGGTTGAAAAAAACACTATTAACTACTTAGAACAAATAATCAAATATATATATATAATATCATATCTACCAGAAACCCAAGTGAAATTGAAGCTATTTACAGCAACGGAGCGATTTAGCTCACTGGAGCACCACCTTTAACGTATGCATTTGAATGGAATACCTCTGATTCAATTACTATAGTTGTCTATAGCTATCTATAGGTTCAATATCATTAACCATACTTATCTTGTACTATAGTTCAATAGCCCAGTCATAACAACAATAATGGTTAATATTGTAATTAACTAATATTCTTATTAACTATAGTATTACTAACTATAATTAACTATAGCATAATAGTAGTTCCAGTATTATCAACTGTCGGACTACAGTTCAGCAACCAAGTATATAAATGACCCATTTACTATACCATTAACCATACTTCACCATTGTCTGTTCAATAAGCCAGTCACTCACACCATCTTAGAACCGTGACATTTTTTTGTCGCTGTGCCGCATGGTCTTCTTTCAGTCCTCTCTCGCTGCGGGGCTGTGGTGTGCCCGGGGTCTCGACGTAGCCACAGCGCAAATGTCCGCACCAAGGCCGCAGTTCAAGTGGCATGATATGGTTGATATATTAACTATAGATATATTAACTATAGATATATTAACTATGGTTTTTGGTAGTATTACATTTTAATATGTCACTAACCTGAATTAAGGCCATTTGGGGATGATTCCCCTTACTTCCCAGTGAGGGAGAACAGTGAGGTCGTTATAATTTACCCAGATCTATGGTTACTCTACAGTTATAGCCCTCAGTTATGGCCATGGGATGGGATGAAATCAATCCTACAACTACGGTAGTATTCAGTTCACCAGTTATAACTGTGAAAAGGGCCACAACTGTACCAAGTTATGAAGTGCATGCTTCACGATTGAAATATCGCAATATAGCAATGGTATGCAATTGTTCATTAAACATACAAGAGCCCGAACTTTCATGCATTCGTATATTGAAAACATTGCCACTAGCCACTAACCACAGCAAAGTGGTGAGTTAGTGTCAATCAAAATCCGGTTGGGAGTCGGGAGATAATCTCGCTTGGATATCTAGCCTGACGAAGCATCCTTTCTAGTGACGGCCAGTGACATCATGGCCAGCTGGGAAGTCTCCGCAGGTACCCCGGCCCTGCGAGAAGTCCGGAATGGATTGACACATGTTACTGATGAACAGGTGAACCCTTGTTTCAACCAATGTCATGTGCAGTTCCTGCGGCCCAAGAGCATCACCAGAATCTGGCACCAATTTGGTAGCGAAGCGCCGCTTGTGGGCGTTGTTTTCCGCCATCAAGGGGAAGGTCAAAGATTTGGACCGGCGCAGATCAGGTGGCACTTGGTATGCTATTCTGCCAAGATCATGGCAATCTTCAATAGATTTCAATACCCTATCCATCATTATCCTGCATTTAAGTTGTTGGTTTAGCTGCATATTAATTAGGCCTCAACATCAAGGCTAGTCGCAGATTTAAGGCTCTATATACGCCAAACACATGCCAAGTCCGCCCACAGATCCCAGAGAATTGGAGAAATAACCAGTTGTCACCGGGTTGATTTAAGAAACATGTTACCTATTGTCATAGTGGGTTTTCCGGTTTTCCCTATGTTCTTGTTCACAGGAGAGAGCACAAAAGATGCCCCTTGTCTGCAACATTCGGCATTTGCTTCCTGATCCCTTGAAGCCTTGACCCGGTTTTTGTAGGACCGCAAGCATTCATCAGTCCAAAAAGGCCATTTTCCAAGCTATATCATGCAAACCACCAAAGCTTAGTCAGAACAGCTATAATATACAATGTGGAGCCTAAGACAAATAAACCCATAATAAACCCGTGATTTATAGAACAAGTTGTCAGTCTCTAAAAATTGTTTATCACTATTCAGATTTATTGATGGCGAGGTCGTCTCACCTTGCAAGCCATGTCCTACACTGGGGTGCCGGAAATGTGTAGTGCGATACAATGATCTACCCTACGTACTTTTTCCAAAAGAGTTAAACTTGCACCAATTTAGCGATTCCGAACCGGGGCACCACTGAACGTATCAAACTCACCAACGAACCTGTGATTTGCGTAAGCAACCAAACATAAACCCTAAAAAGACATATTATCTTCATCGATTCCCCAAGATTTGTGGTTTTCCCACCATGATTTTTTTCACAAATCACCTTAAACAAACTAAACAAACCCAAGACTATGGACTATGGCTATACAATGTAGATGACCTATTCATAGTCACATCCATAAATATACAACGTATAAATATGTATAATTATGCCATATTAATGTCCTACCCAATACTACAATGTGGCCCCCCCAGTTATAAGTTGGTTTATAAGCCCCAGTAACTATAGTCTATAGTTATTTGCGTACCATAAACTATATAGTTATTGGAGTTATTGGCACCAACTGAACGCTATCGACTGGGGGCCTCACATTGTATGTGGATCGACATATCACATCCTATCCACCTTGACGACGATACCCGAGGCGGCAGCTGAATTCAAGGCCCGGATTGGAACGACGAGGTCATCGTGGAGAACATCATCAACTTAACAGTTATAACTGGCTTACAACCATATTTAAGTGATAATATATATATATATACACAATCTTAATTGCAGGAGTTATCATACCATTTATAAGCGTTAAGGGCCATAACTGTAGGGTAAACACCGTGATTTTTCATGGGAAAAAATGGAAGACATCATGGGATAACCGTTAACTGTCCTGGACTGTCCGACATGGTCAAGTTACATGGGTTGAGCTTCGTACATAAATAGTGGTGCCCCCGTTGGATAGCTAAGTTGGTTTATAACTACAATAAGTGGGACTTATGGTAGATATATCTATAGTTGATGGAGGTTATAAACTAACTTATAACTGGGGGGTACCACATTGTAGGTTTTCCCCGGTGAGTGGCTGACTTGTAATTACAAGGTGGGCCCCCCCTAGTCATTGGATGTCATGGGTGGTTTATGACATATTATGACATTGTGAAAACCCACACGAGGTATACAGCACGGTTTATAGCATAGACCCTGAAAATCACCAATGTTGAATGGAAACTAGTCTTCCAACTCGATGACTGCCAGGGTCTATGTTAATATACCAGAGGGTATATCTTTATATCTATATAGATCGCCCACCATTTGAAGGGAGCCACATGGCATGCACCCAACGAAACATTGGGCCCTGGGATACGGCAATCCAATTCGCATCCAACAGGGGAAGCCCCAAGTCACCATGGCTTTGATTTTAACGAATGGTTCAACGACTTGGATGATTGCTGGGGGGTAACATGACTTAGGAAACGTCATGGTAATATGCTGAAATGCCCAACTTTGCGCTTGGTCTTGACCCTCCTTTCTAGAACATGTGGATAGAAAACAACTTCACATTTTTTCTGTAAATTTGACACAAGGCATGCTACACCACATTCGATCATATTACAGACCTAGATTTAATTAACGAGAATAGAACTTGAGCATCAACACATATTTAAACGCAGCTTTCCCCGAGTTTACCAATCTAAAGATAGCCACTGCCATTTAAGTTCCGTTTCTTCTATTCACTCATCCAGGCGATCTGAATTATGGCCAGAACTCTGGCCGTGGGCACGATTGACCCACGCTACTATGTCCAGCCGCGCGGGGGTCGGCTGTTGATCCTCTGAGACGATGGGCAGTAGATGGGGATGGGGATGCGATTCATAGAAACTCACTGGGCATCCAATCAATGCTATATACAAACTAGATGAATCCTATTGATGTAGGTCATGTCCAACATGCAGTTCAATGTGATCATGTTAATATACATAGCTGTATATACTGACACACAACCTCTATGCAAAATAGCCTCTATGCACACTACCAAAACACACACACACATATAATATATATATAGACTATGTATAGACTATATGTATGTCTACATTCATCCAAAATCCATTCTTTCTGATTCTAAACACTCCCACCCTACCATCAATTTATGTGATCTGCCCGCGCCCCGCGCGGAGCTGCAGGAGCTGTCGCGGCACATCGAAGCCGCTGCAGTCGTGTCAACATCGATAGGGTGGGAAAAACTGCGCGTGACCGCAGAAAATGATGGATCTACCTATGGTTTAGTACAGTGAAAGCCAAAGAAACCACTTATAAATGGTGATAAAATGGTGATAAACATTTATAAATGATTAAATGGGGTTATACCTGACTTATAACTGGCAAAGGGCCATAACTCTACCTATGATTTTAGTAGGTATCATCCATAAAGTACAACATAATATGTATGTGTATATATTATATATATATATATATATGTGTATTTATATATTATATAGCTATTTCAGTACCGCTTCTTATGCATCTCATGTTTATGCTGGCGGCTGGTTTACCGTACGTGCGTTTTTGTGTTTTTTTTGGCCGATGGGGTGGGGTGGGTTGGGGTGGGTTGGGGTGGGGTGGGCTAATAAAGTTCAATGGCACTAGCACACATACTTGATGCTACGCTACCGACCTCGTCTCTTGCACTTGCACACATAGATGCTACGCTACCGACCTCGTCTCTTGCACTTGCACACATACCTGATGCTACGCTACCGACCTCGTCTCTTGCACTTGCACACATACCTGATGCTACGCTACCGACCTCGTCTTTTGCACTTGCACACATACCTGATGCTACGCTACAGATGGGTTGGGGTGGGGTGGGGTGGGGTGGGCTAATAACGACGTTCAATGGCACTAGCACACAAATGTGATGCTACGCTACCGGTCTCTTCTCTTGCACTTGCACACATACGTGATGCTACGCTACTGACCTCGTCTCTTGCACTTGCACACATACCTGATGCTACGCTACCGACCTCGTCTCTTGCACTTGCACACGCCGAGACTCTTCGAGCGAACATGCAGTGAAAGTGCTGCGCCAGAAAAAAAACCGAAAAGTCCGAATTTTTTGTTGTCTCCCTGTGGTGAAACGCAAATCCATCAAAAAACAAGGCATCCTGAAACAGCCTCTTTCTACTCCTGGCGTTCACAAAAGCCTGCAAATACAAGTGAAAAATGATGAAAAAATAAAAAGCAATGGAATTAGCCACATTTTGTGACCAAACATGATGATGATTGCTTCAAAAGTCCTGCAAATACCAAGAGATAAACATGAAGGTCATCATAAAGACTCTTGAGAAAATGCCAAAACACACGCGCGGTAAACCAGGCGCCGGGATGTTTATGTAGCTAAATTAGCGATGTATATAGAACTCACCAGCCGTGTCATGTCGTGTCTGCACGCCTCAGTGGGCTAGCATTATCTAGTAGTTGTCCAATGGCTAGTAAGGTATGGGATTTTATGGAAGTTTACAGTAAATACAGTGATATTTGTTTGGGATATAACTAACCCACATTAGCCAACAATACAAATCTGGGTAACTTAGCTATATATTTGTGTATTGTTTATGGGATGATCCCCCCGAAAAAACATCCGCATCATTCCAGGTCCTCGTTCACTTAACATAGCCATGGAAAATCACCATTTGTTTATAGATAAACCATCTATTTCTATGGGCCATCTATACCATGGCGATGTTTAAAAAAAACAGGATTTTGGCATGTTGTCATGGTCAATCTTTGGTACTTCACAACATTTAACATCAACATCATTCTTTTGCTATGGTTATTTCAATGTTTTTCGCAAAAACTGAGGCTTAAACTAGCTATCCAGTCCGCGGTTGGGGAGGTTCCAACCACTGAGATAAAGTCAGCTGCACTTCAATTAGCGTACGGGCTCTGAATATGGGTTTACACCAAATGGCTTAACATCTTGAATCAGGATATGTTATATGACTATCACTGAAAACTACTGTATGTGTTTCAACCTTATATTATACAACACTATATGGTTGAAGAGAAACACTTCCTCTAAGTTACGGGTCATGGTTGCTGATAGTCTTAAGACTCTTAAGTCTCTTGGTTTTGCCACATTAGATAGTTGGGCTACATGTGCTAGGGTCAAATTACGTGGTAAATTGTCATCCGTCCCATTTCTGAATGAATCCCGAACTTAGCTAATGGATTGGCTGATGACACTCATATCGGTACATCGCCCACTTCTGATAATAGTTTATTATATCCCCGATGATATCACTATTAACATCTCATTGAATCTCTGGTAATTTCAACTATGGACAAGTGCCAAACTATACATGATACTCACTACATAGTGGTGCCCCATAGATAGCTAAGTTGGTGCACATAACTACAATAAGTGGGACTTATGGTAGATATATCTATAGTTGATGGGGGTTATAAACTAACTAACATCACTGGGGGGTACCACATTGTAGAAATGGTGATTTTCTTAGCTATGTGACAAATGTTCCGGAGGCTAAATCTCCAATTTTCATGCTTACCCTACAACAAACGTTCACATCGACCTGGAAAAACCATGGTTTCCCGGGGAAGAATCATCTAAACATGGTGGGTTTCCACATGTCTTTTTGGTAAATCCAACTTTTGACCATGGCACATGGCTGGGTTTGCTGGTGGGTTCCCACCCCTGGTGACATCCTTTGCTCCGCAGCTGGCTGAAGAGCGCCGCGTTTTAAGAAAGACACGTCCCTTGAGGGCACTGGATAGATATGATATATGACTAGATATGGATTTTTGGGAACTAGTTATGATATGTTGTGTTTTACATCATCTGTTTATTTCATGGGTTCCTGTTTCTTAGTTTCACTTTGGTCTTCATGAACTTATGAAAACAAAAAACAACTTACCCTCCCATCAAAGATGGCCTGATGGCCGGAAAATTCACCAATCTGTTCGATGATTTTCCCAGCGATATAAACCTCCAATAATTTAACGTAGCTATTGAACATGGCCATAAATAGTTGATTTTCCCATGAATAGCATGGTGATTTTTCCATAGCTATGTTAGTTTACCAGAGGGTAGCCATTGTTGATTACCGCAGGGCAATTGCCAGCCATGTCCATTGTATCCTCATGAAATGTCATCAGAAACCCCTATCTATAAACCCATTAAGATTACCATATTTTCCACACAAGACTGATAACCATATAACCATAGATGTTTGTTCCGTTCAAACCCGCATAAGTTGAGATATGGGGCCAACTATGGTGACATCTATCCACTTAGTTTGCTGGAACTGAACTTCCAATTGGGTTGAATGCCTCTTTCTTGGCCCATACCATGCCATCACCACCCTTACCCATCACATATGACAAATCAGTTTATGGGAGATCATGTTCCCTCCAACAAAAATCATTGAAGGTTATATCATACAGCTAATCATCACCTACAACTAACCATCACCAAAGCTTACCCAGCAGGATATAATGTGAACTCCAAGAATAATAAGCCCGGGATTTATAGAAAACAAGTAGGGTCTTTAAAGATTAATATCATATCATATATACACTTAGCTAAGTTTGTTTATCCCCCAATACTTAGATGGTTAATACTAACAATAGACAAGTCAATCTTGTGGTCCAGGTCTTATTTGTTCACCCATTCCCATAGTCTACAATGTGGTACCCCCCAGTGATGTTAGTTAGTTTATAACCCCCATCAACTATAGATATATCTACCATAAGTCCCACTTATTGTAGTTATGTGCACCAACTTAGCTATCTATGGGGCACCACTATGTATGATCCATGAAATATATAGATCAACTATACCCTATGGATCCAAAGACCTCCTTTTTCGGTGTTTAACCCAGCAAATCATTCCCCAAACACTTCCTAAGAACGTACGGCTGGATCCATTCCGGGATAGACTAACTATAGAGTATCTATAGATCAACTACAGATTACTATAGATTAACCACAGATTACCCTCTGGTTATTTAACATAGCTATGGAAAATTGCCCATTTATAGATGGTTTACCTGGGTCTACCTACTAAAAATGGTGATGTAACTATGATTAACTAACTAATGTCAACCCCGGATTAATAAACCATGGTTGATTAATTAGGGGGTTACCCCTCCAATAGTCATAATATGATACTTAAATGGTACCCTCCCAATTAAACAATCTAGGGGTTTATTAGTCCAGGGTTGACATTAACTATGATTAATTAACTATAGATTACTTAAAGATTCACTCTCTCCCAGATGTCCATCCATGTCCATCCGTTCACGCGGCCCAGCGTGGTCGAGGCTTGTTGGGCATGGCGTTGAAGTCGTAGGAGGTCGGGGGGACCAAGGCTTCCTTAAGCGAACGGATGGGATTTACCAGGATTTTTCGGGCGCTCAAAAGATGGGTTTCTATATGGGACTTTCTGGGATTTTCTGGTGATTTTAACAAGGGACTTCTTGATTTTTCTTTATGGTGATTTTCTGGGATTTTCTTGGATTTTACGGTGATTTTTATAGGAATTGAACTGATTGAACCAACAAAACATGAGGGATTTCTGAATGGGACATAGCGGCAATGGCCCTTTTGGATCGATCATTGACCGAACTTTGGTTCGGTGGCGATGTTCCATAGCTATGTGATAAGTTAGAGGCTACTTGGTCAAGAAATGGCATGCTTGGCCTCAAAAATGGATAATTAGTGCATAAAAATGGGATTCAATGAGATTTTACAGAGATATTTCATGGGATAGAACTGATAGAACCAACAATGCAAGTCTGATTAGTCACTGAGTCAACGTCAGCTGGTGTTTCCAATCGGGTTTATGAGCGCTCTATCCTATCCGAAGAAGCCTACTTGTAACTAGGGTGAACTAAGCTACTTACTGTATTGAACCACCAAGTAGTCGGGAGACTGCGAAAATTGGAGTTCTGTGGGTCATGTGGATCACTCATGTCCATGTACCAGTTTTTAATGTCAGCTTCCATCTAATTCTGTTTACCCTATAGGTCCTAAGACATGCAAAAGTATAGCCGTTCACAGAAAGACCATTGTTTACACCTGCCACGCGTGGTCACGCTCGGCCACGCTCGGTCACGCTTCCTTTTCCCCAACACCATGTGTCACTTCCGCGCAGCTGCTGATTTGTTTAACCTGGGCTGACTCTGTAACCCAACATAACCCAACCAAAAAATAGCTGGGATATGTTGTAGCCAAGGAAACGCTACCTTATCGCTTTGAAAATGTTGAAATTCCAAGCAACGCTTGGATCTTCCACTTCATTGACCACAACCGACATTTGCTGATTTTGAGTGCCCATGAGCGCTGGTGTAGGGGATGAGCTCGTAGAATGGTTCCTAATGATCTCAAGGTGTGCAGTTGCTAAGGTGTATTTCAATTTACGTTAGTGATCCATTGCTCCAACGGCTATGCTTTTGCATGTCTTAGACCTATAGGGTATAGTGAGTTCAATGATATTCCAACACATGCACCGTAGCCATTGCAGCAGGCAATTGAATTTCGTTCGAGTTTCCTTTCAACGCGCCCATGGCATCTTCGTCTTGAAAACAATGCCAATGACGTGGGTTCGCTTCTAGGCTGCATTCAGAAAACAAAAACAAAATTTGGGATGCTGGCTGCAAGTGGATTTTCACCAAGATAAAAATGTGGCAAGGGGCTGTGCTTTCTGATTGAGCGCAACAAGTGGGATAGGACCTGAGATAGGTAGATGGTCAAGTGGGGCATGTCCTAGTAACAAGTCACTTTACTTCGAGTGTTCCCACCATGGCAATTCAAGACATCTATTCTGACATTCTATCTGGCATTATCTGTCTGGCAATCTCTCGTTCAGGTCCAGGGCCACTCCACAAGAGAGAGAGAGAGAGACACAGAGAGAGAGAGAGAAGGAAGAAGGAAGAAGGAAGAAGGAAGAAGGAAGAAGGAAGAAGGAAGAAGGAAGAAGGAAGAAGGAAGAAGGAAGAAGGAAGAAGGAAGAAGGGAAGAGAAGGAAGAAGGAAGAAGGAAGAAGGAAGAAGGAAGAAGGAAGAAGGAAGAAGGAAGAAGGAAGAAGGAAGAAGGAAGAAGGAAGAAGGAAGAAGGAAGAAGGAAGAAGAAGGGGGGAGGGGGGAGGGTAGCCACACACACACACACCCCCGGCACCTCGTAACTCTTCTCCAGAAAGACCTTGGTCACGGCGAGCTCCACGTTGTACCTCAGCAAAAGGGGTTGGGGGAGGATGGAAGGAGGAGGAGAGGAAAGAGGGGAGGGAGGGAGGGGGGAGAAGAGAGAGAGAGAGAGAGAGTGGCACCTTTGTTAAAATCTAGGGACCCTCACCTGGCAGGTGGGATTTATATTTGGAGCATTTTTGCTGAAGTACATGCAGGTTTTCGAAATAAATGTAAGCGCGGATGAGGGACATGTATTTTTGGACGCAAAATCCAATGGTTCAGCCCCTAAAGATAAGCTGACAGCACATGTTTCAGCACTGGTGACGTGATGTGCAAATAGAAGCACGTTGGACATGCAAACTCTGGAAATAAACGCCTGTGTGACCTCTGTGCCAGAAGCACATGTGCTCTCACGCATGTGAGCCCTTCAGAGTAAATCTCCCGGGATTGTTGTTCTGTCCTGAGAGGCGGCAGTTTGAAACGTGTTCACCGCAGGCTTAGACTGGAACGCATGCTGCATTTGTTTTGCCAAGCGGCAGAAACCTCCCAGCTCTCTCCAGCATCCCCATGAATCGTGCCATGCTATTCCTTTGCCAGAAAGCATGTCGAGGGACAACAGCTCTAAGACAAGAATTAGTTGCTTTCCAACACAAGCAGCCACGGTCAGTCTGGGCAAGCATCATTGCCAAGAACATCATGGAAATCCTGTCATCTGCCGCGTTCACCCGCGCTTGCCCCAAAACATGTGCAAGCCACTCCAGGATACAGCGATTGTTGTAGGCTTTCGCAGTCATCAGAATTTCATTGTGTTTTTTCACGATCTTAGCCACGGGTGAATCAGTTTATGCGCGCGCACATTGACGTATAACACCTTGCAAAAGACTTAAACCGGACAAAAAAAAACATAAACTTTCCAAAGTGCCAACTTGACAGAGAATGGCGGTTGGGAACAGCTAATTTGTCGAGCTTTGCAAAAGGCTTTGAAATCCAAGAAGGCTGTGTCCAATCTTTTCTGCAAAGGGAGATTGCTATCGCCAAACCACGACATATCCAGCAAAGCCATCCTTAGTAGTAGCTACCACATCACCAAACACCCAAACAAAACGGACCCTCCCCAACGAACCAATGCACAATAAACGCGCACAACCCTCCTACACACCGGCACCAGTCAGCAGAACCAAGCATCAAACTGCACCCGTTCATACCATATAATAGGCCGAGATTAATCGCGTGCATTGTGCAGAAAGATATCAGCTGATGATGAAATCCGTATAGGCCGAGATAGGGGCCTCAAGCAAGGACGTGTGCGCACCATGTTATATGAACGCGTATAAACAATTTAAAACCTTGATCAATACTTGGTGATTTCACCAGCTGAGGAACATGGATTGCGCAGAGGGAGTTGCTCGTTAATGAAATCTAGAAGAGAATATTCACGGCCAATCTCATCTCCATCTTCGATCCGGAAATAAGCCTCATGCCCTCGGTTCCTCACATCACACTGACAGCATACCGACTCATGAACACCCCCTTTCCAGGATGCCTTGTGCTGCCACACCTGTTTATGCCAGAGCTGGTCGCCACGCAATTCCGTCACTGCGAAGCGCTTGCCTCCGCATATAGGTTTCCCAGAAAGTTTAGGATCAAATTCCTCTCCGAAAGGCCCGCTCGCAGGGTACACCCCTTCAAACAACAGGTTCACTGACCAAACGATGCGTCTAAGCACCGAATGAAGTGTCACATTTTGGTAGAGAAGCTTCTCATCAATCGAGAAGAGAAGCCAACGGCTCATGCGAATCGATCGAGGACGAAACAGGGGAAGACTAACGAAAATGCCTAGGACCTTTTGCACTTCGCCAAACGCAGGCTGCCTGACTAGCAGCGTCTCCGTACAAACCCAAAGGAATGTGAGAACGGCTCGCACCAGTATGCAATGCCCATTCAGCCCCAACTGCTCTCCAGTGATCCCAATATTGGTTCACTTGGCTTCGGGGATGTCCACTTTAACATCCATCATCAGGTACCGGATGACATCGTATGGTTCCAAAAGCTCAAGGGTGGCCATTTCATAGCCGCGATCATTCTTTGGGTTTTTGATTTTTGTTCTGATTTTCACTGTTGCCTGACTGCAGTAGAACCCTGCTGAAAAAATGCTTTTCAAATACCCACATAAAAAATGTTTGTTTTTTGCGAAAGAGCCAGGATGCAATTGGCACTTTGGCAAATCTCCAGAAATCACGAGATGGATTCCAGCTAGACAAGTTTCCCAATTTGCGGCTCTGCTCGTGCACATGTTGCGGTCCACTTTCCTCGCAACACCATGTGAACTATTAAGGTTTTGCCTATAGGAGTTGCAATGATGATGTTTCAAAGCCGAGACTCTGTGTGCTTTGTTTCAGTGAATATTTGTGCGAAAGATGACTGTGCAATGCTAGTGCCAGGGGTCAAGCATATGCAAATAAAATCTATTCCCCGATCCTTCACTAACTGACATGGTCAGCCGAGAAGCTAGCACATGCTTCCTCATACCTTCCATAGACTGCCTGATGCTGGAAGCCTGCAATTGCAATGCATGGAGTTTGGTCACCCCAATCATAGATACGCGCTTCCAATCAGAAAACTACACCCCCCAATATCGTAAGTGTCCATAGCATTATCATCATATTCTCTTGGGTTTTTTACCGGGCTGATCCAAACTGCTAACATCTCGATCTCACCTACACCCCCGAACAGTCCAAGAAGTTGAGGCGCATGTGGAAAATTTCCAGAGCAAAGAAGATAATATCCCATATTGTGCCACTTGTGGTGGATTCTCATTATTTGGGGAGACATGAAAAGCCTGCTGGGTTGAACCGAAATATACCCAATTTAAATACTGTTTTTCCAGAAATCCAGAAAGCATTTATCTGTCCCAATCATAACCCATTGGATGGAGGCCCCCAATCTTGACGCGTTTGTCTGAGGGGCGCCAGAAGCAACTTGATCAACCACGTGCTCTGCATACAAGGCCTGCTGAGAACCTGCGCCAGGGGCATGGCTCGATGAACGGAATGGAGCGGTGCCTGTTCATTATCAGGCTTAAAAGAAAAGGCTTTCAAAAAGTGGCAGTTGTGTGAGCATATGGCACATCATTGTAGGTTTGTTGGCGTTAGCAGCAATGTCCTTTGACCCGTGCTGCGGTTGATGTAGATCAGGCAGCTTCCCCCATAAAGATCCTCTTCCAAAAGTCAGATTTGAACCGCAACGGTTCCAAACATGGAAGCGTGGCAAGGACCACTCAGCTTCCCTAAGATTGAGCAGCCTAAAATGCTGCAAACTCAGCGCCTTCGCGGCAAAACTCCATCCCAGCTGGCAACGACAATTCACGTCAACATGTTCGAAGCCGGAACATGTTTGTAGTCTGCTACTCATTTTTGAAACATGACTCAGCCTGAAGGCGGCCCCTAAAGTATCATGACCCAACTGCGATGTACCATGTGAGACATTCGGCCTCCAAGGGTGGCATCTCGAATAGCCTACCTACGTAGATCTACAGACTCAAGCCCAAGATTGCTTGGCATCCCTGAACTCAGCCAATCTTCGTTTGGCTTCATCAGCAAGACCCGCCAGTGCAGACACCTGCGCAGGGAATTTGATGCCACCAGTTCTGAGATATGGGAACACACATATGTGTTGAAACATGTTGAAACCAAATATGTTTTTGATACCCTGGGTCTGAAAGATCAAAAAAGACCAGGATGATGAAGTAAATACATGTAAGATATGCCAGTGCTGACCAATATCGCTTGACCCCAAGTCACACATGCCTCATCTTTCTCGAAGGCCGCCAAAAGTGGCTTGCGAGCGGTGGTCAAAACCGTCTTCCAATTCTGAAGCTCGCTGGCCATGGCGTTGCGCATTGCATCGTTGGACCTGGGCATTGGACTGGGATAGATAACAAGAGGGTGTGGTTTTTGGGACGTTTGTGAGCCATGATGCACCGCATTACCCACTGGATTTTTTATCGGAACCCTTGCCCAATCCATAGATGCAACCAAAAGAACACACAGAGATATAGGGGATCGTTGGGCATATCTGCTATGTTAGATGGCATGAGGCATGAGGTAGCAAATGAAAAACATATCTAGTTCATGCAGATTCAAAGTAAATGATATCCAATGAGGGTATGAAGTGGAGGTTTCCGTTTAAGTGCAAAATAAATGTGTACATATCAATATATGTACATGTAAAACCATGTAAACAATAAAGCTAATATACTACAATATATATATATATATATATATGTACATAACACAGAGAGAGAGATAGATATATACATATGTGTGTGTGTTTTACATGCCTTTGTCCCAAAATATTGAAACAATGGCTCCCCCTTTGCGATTGGTTGCTGAACTGGACAACATGAGGGGAAAGATGCTTCAAACTTGCCACCGCATGGGTTTTGTTCTGACTACTGGAGGCCCTAGCAAATAAGGGGCTAATGAAATCCAAGGGTTGCGGTGGTTTGACGGCAAAAACCCAGTGAGGGAATTAAAGCCAATCTGAGGCTTCTGCACTGTCTGGCATTTGGCCTCACGTTTGGAGATGTCCTGGATTGCTGCCAGGACTTGGCCAAGCACCTGGGCATCGATGGTACCAGGGAAATGAAATTAAGCAGGATAGCGATAATGGAAATAGAGTCTTATACTTTTTCTTGGTGCCTTCTTTGCTGCATTCCGACGTTCCCTTTTTTCCTTTTCTTCATCAGCTTTCTGCTGTCGTTCCTTTTTCTTCAGATCCTGTTCCGCTTCTTTCTTCAACTTCGCTTCTCTCTGTTCAGCTGTTTCCTTCTTACTTTTCTTGTTTTTCTTGTCCTTTCCTTTCTTTGTCTTCTTACCTTTCCGTTCCTTTTTCTTCTTGGCGGCCGCGCTCTTGGCTGTACGCCTAGTTTTGCCTGTTTTCCCTGAGCTCTTTGAATCCGACGACGACGAGCTGGACTGACTGCTGCGACTAGAGGACGACGACTTGGAACTGCTGGAAGATACCTTTCGCTTCTTGCTTTTCTTCTTCTTTGACGGTCCCGGTTTCGAATTCTTTGGGGTATCATCATCACTACTGTCCTGGTCATCATCCCTTTGTTCGAACAATTGTTCCAACACTTCGTCACGCTCTTCAGCCACATATTCTTCATCCCAAACTAAGTAAAGCAATTTGCCAGGCCTGTCAGGATGGGCCTTAGTGTCAGCCTGCTTGAGATTTGGATCGTTTTCCTTGGTCTGACAAATTTCTGTTGCAACCTCGTGGCTGTCGTATTTCATTGCAATCTGCTCAAAACTCAACCACCGCCTCCCACCGCAGTGGGTAGTCTTGTGAGATTGTTTCATCCTAACGATCAAAGAGCTGGAGTCCCAATTTTCGTTCGCTGCGACCCATTGCTCGTAGAGCAGCTGCAGCTTCCTTGTCTTTGATTGCTTTCCACCTGTACATTTGGATGTTGAAAATCAAATACATCAACAACAAAAAACAATTGAAAGAATCTTCATCACTTGTAATATTGACTGTGGTTCTTTCCTGGATCATTCCGTATGTTTGGGGAGTTCCGTGGTCCCTGTCAAAATATATCGATCTGATCTTTAGAAGGAATCATTAAAGTCCTGAGCTGTATGGTATGTGACGTTTGTTTGTTTCTTGGAAACATCAACAGGATTTCGAAACGACAAGAAATACAAAGTGAGAAAGGATGAATTAGTAGAACTGAGTTGCTGCCCACCAGCCGTTGCTCTCATGCTCGCACTTGAGGCATCCATCCATGGCCTGCTCTGGCATTCCGGGCCAATTTCTTCACTTCGGGCAAAGCTAAGTTGCCTTGGCATAGCGGAAGGAGCGAGAGGGGAAAGTGGTGGATCCTTGAGGGACATTTATGACTATCGGTTCCACACTGTACCTGATCATTGCATTGGGTTCATTGGGAGCCTGGCTATCCAAGCTTCTGTAAAATCGCATCTTCCTGTTGTGCAATTCTTTATCTCGCTTCTTTCGCTTCGGCTTGGTACCTGGTGGACCTGGTGCCACCTGCTGGTCAGGGGGGGCGGGCCCCTCAGTCTCAGAGGGCAATGGGGATCGCATGGAATTTTCTAGGTCATCATCTGAAACCATGTCCTGGGTAGTTGCCCTGGCGAGCATCCCCAGAGGGTCCTCTTGAGAGTCACGTCGTTCAATCTTCACATCAGGTGCGGGGGCAGCCATAGGACCACCCCCACCTTGGTTTCCCGGGGCAACTTGACTAGGTGGGTTCTCATTCTTCTCTGCAACCTGCTTGGGGGTGGACGGCGGCTTTCCACCCAGCGGCTTTTTCTTCAACTTGCTTTTCATAACTTTCTTTCCCTTTTTTGCATTCTTTTGGCATTTGGCTTCTTTTTTCTTGGCTGCGCCAGATGAACGAGGCACACTGGCAGCCGGGGCTGTTCTCTCAGAAGTAGACGGTGTTTGAAGCAAAGCCCGACGTGGGGTATCAATCTCCCCATCATTACCACTGGCACCGCCCATCACAAGTGTGGCCTGACTATCTATGGAGTGCAGTGATGGAGGGGTGCAAGTTCCCTGACTCTTGCCCTTACCATTACCTGATTCCCTTGATCCAGTCCCAGGAGATTCAGATGGCGTGGTGCCCTTGGCTTTTGCTCCTGGAGTGGCCGGCTGGTATCAATGATGGGCATCTTGTCAAAGGCATGTTAAGGGACCATGGGCCGGCATATGGAAATATTTTGCATTGCTATACCAAGAAAGATGATGCTTATAAAAATGCCGCCCGGG